AGTATGACACAATGTTGCAATAAGACTGGGCAACCAGCATAAAGGAGCCGCAAAGTGCAGGAGGTTGAGTGTGGTTGGATACTTAGGCAAAGTATAGAAAAGCACAGAAAAATGCGTAAATTGTCTAAGTAGGATCAAGAGAGTAGCAATGAAAGCACTTTAAAAAATGTCACAATTTAGGAAGTATTTAGCATGTTACTCTCTGATGATGTTCCTTAAAAAGCCAAGGCTGGAAAAATTGCATGTTAAACAGTCGATCCTGTTACTAAAGCGCAACACCTAATGCATCAAGAATTTGCCTACTCTATTATCAAGTCGTCGCTACGAGAAAGATGATGAAATAGCAAACACACCAAATGCGATACGCTGCGTATACGTAACCGCTGAATTATTGCGCATACGAGGTGTTTGCACAATGTTTACCACGTGATTCCCCATTAATTAAATGCGTTTGCGAATTATGATGCAAAAATATGAAGTACACATACACCCAGTAGCAAAAGAAAGCGGTGGTTGCTTAAAAGGTTGCGAAAAAATAAGATCAAAATGGGATTCTCCGCGCCAGGTTGCCGTTGATGGAATGCACTCGCTTCGCTTAAAGGTCAAACGACATCCTCATCATCGTCATCATCAACATCATTACCATTTTCATCATGATTATGGGAAAAGCGCTGCTGGCTGGGCGAGGTCGACGTCGCTGTTCTCTCTGTCTGCGGTTTATTTCAGTTTTTATTTTATTTGTATTTTTCCCTCTGCGTTTGCTTCTTTGCATTTAGCTCATTCATTTGCATTCCCTGCCACTGCCTCTCGTTTTCCCAGCTTTTTTTCTCCGTCTGTTGCCGTGCGCAGTCTAGCTGCAAACAAAAAAAATAAAATCAGAATCACAGAAAAAGGGTTGGCCTCTCACAGAGGAATTGAAAAAAAGAAGGGGTAAAACGCTGACGGTAGCAGGCATTCCGACTTTTCATCTTCTGCGCCAGACAACATTGTAATATTTTGCACAAACTAGACAAAAATTGTTGCCAAAAAAAAACAAGTCAGCAGAAATAAAAATAAATAGAAATCCAATTGCAGACGAAGCTGACGTCAGCTGATGATGCTGCTGCTGCTGCTGAATCCACTTCCTATATAGAGTGTAAATCCCTTTCGCACCAAGGCTAAACTGAATAATAAACAAGACGTCGAATTCTAAAATTGCAATAGAATTTGGTTCAAAGTCAGACCGAAAAAGTTTATGATAGTATTATTGTTTACGTTTAGGTTTGAAACCTGTTTTGATTGCGCCGACTAGTTCTACTTTTACGAGTTCATTCTCAAAAAAAATGCAAATATAAAGTTTTCCATTTGTTCATAAACAGAATTTGTTTTCTAGATTGGGAAGTATTATGAAATAGTGTATAAATCGTAAGACCTAGTTTGCTAATGTTGAATTCTAAAAAAAAGCTGAAAAGCAAGGCGCTAGCAATCCCTTTTAATCCAATGCCATAAATCGCGCCTAAATTGCATCAAAATATCACACGCGATACCGAGAAAATCTAAACTGAACTTCAAACAACAAAGGCACACCATTCAACTGGATTTTTCAAGTTCAATGTCACCTCAATGTATTATGATTGCTGAAGCTTATGATAATGGCCTTAGTTAGTTTATACACCCGGCGAGAATGCGATGATCCTCGCACAACCTTGACATCCAATCAAGGTGTCAATGGCATTGCCTCCGAATGTTTTTCGGCACTTTTCTCTATGGGAGGAGGTGGGATCAAGTGCTGCACTTGACTGTCATTAGCGCGGTGATCATAATCATTGAATTAATAACTTTTGTTGTGCGCCAGAGCAAGAAGAGAGTTGATCGAAAGTGATCTTCGTTCGCGGCTCAAATCGCGCACTTAATCAAGTGCAATTGTCACCGTGGTGACATCGAAATAAAAAGGAAAAGGACTGTCTCTTGATTATACAGACTTGATTATATCTTCGGCGGTCAAGGAACCTAGCTAGTCACACGAATTAGGAGAGAGATCGAAACAAGTTCCCCCACGAATTGTAAGCTTGCCCACTGTCCGTTCAATGTCCGTTCCACCATAAAAATAGCCACGAAAGTCGTTTGGATCGCTGAAAGTGTTAGCCAACTGTCTGATCTGTCTGGTCTGGTTGGTCTGATTTGCTTTGATTTGATGTGGTTTGGCCGGGTGCGAGGTGTATTTGTATGGGATGTATGGGATCCGAGGTCTGGCATTCGCCGATTTGCGTCTGGTGTGATCAATTCAAATATTGAATCTGTGTTCGCTCCATTATTTTAGCACTTTTTCAATAGTTGGCGACCACACGTGCGTCAGAGGTTCAATCGAATGGAATCCGGGCGGACAGTTGAACTGTTGCCAGGTATTCCTTTCTCTTTCGCCGTCCCGGTTTCCTAGGGTATCAGGTGATTTGTCTAGCTTTATACATGTACATTCCATATTCATGTTTGTGCGGCGGCTCCAGACGTAAACGAAGTCCCCAGACGTGCTCAATCATTTCACCTGCGATAAAAATAATTGCAACAAGCTGAAACGAGCAGCACAATTAAAAACACAAAATAATGATCAGACTGTGGAGTGATCAAATGAGCTAGTACCTTTTTTTTGTCTAATGAAACCGGACTTAAAGCGCCGACTAGTTCTAAAATCGATAAACTTTTACGATTGGAATGGTTAGTGAAATGGAAACCTACCAAGAATGTTCCAAACTTGTAAATATAATTATTATAAGGGTACTTATTAAATATTGAATTGTGCTTAATGTCTGAGGATATGGAAGTATTAAGCCACAACATTTCTCTGAATGATAGGAAATAATTGCATTTGCAAGCCAATTACTAAATCCCACTCTGAATGGTGGAATTATTCGGATTTAAAGTTGTATTATAGCCCAAAGTAACCGTACATATCAGCTTTTGTCACGCTCTGCGCGGTACAGGGTAGCTGAGCTGGCAAAATAATTATCTGAAAACAAAAGCCATAAAAGGCAGACCGAAAGCAAATGACTGCCAGCCAGGTTGAGTCACCTGAGACAGTTGAATCCGAGTGACAGCGGCTGGGAATGCGCAAAAGTCTAAAGTGCCACTTGTTGTTGTACCTACCTGTTAATATTAGTTTTCTTTTTTTTAGTTGCTTGTTGTCTGTCTCGCTTGGGTTGACGCCAGACAGTCAGACAGACAGACGGAGAAAGAGTCATAGAAATTGTTGACATATTTTAATTGGTTGGCTGGGTTGTTTTGTGCCTCTCCTCTACGTAGTTCGCAGTAGCTACATTTTAATTTCAGTTGATTAACTCCAGTCTGGAATTTTGTGAATAATTCGTTCATGTCTGCTCGCTTTCGGCTTGTGTACATTTTCTCTTTTCCACCCATCCACCCCTCCACCCCTCCATCCATCGGAGATCATAAATTAATGATATCCAAGCATTTATGTTTTCATTCACCCACCGATCGTTGATTAGCGAGAGACAGAGATAGCGACGTTTACATAGCTGCGTCATTTTCGCCTTGATGAAATTGCGCTGCGGATTGCTGTTGGTTTTTGTACACGTATATCAGACGGATCGTCATGATATATTCCACTATACGTAGTTGTAAAATCTTGTTGCGCAAGCTTTTCGCATGTATCTGTATCTCAGTCGCGGCGAGTATCTGTATCTGTGCTGGTATTCGAGTCTCGGTATCTGTATCCGTGAGTTTGCTCTGTTACAGGGTCTGCGACCGCGACGGGTGGCCTCCGTCTGTCTGCCATTCTATCAGTAGTAACGTCTGGCCGTACGATATCGTCTATGTAATACCCATTACTAATTGAAGCGTTCCGGATTTAAGAGTAGTCCTAAATGCTGAGGCGCTTTGGCGCTGAAAGCCTGTACATTTACCAAAGTAGCATTCGTATTACGTATTTCGTATCGGCACAAGGATCGCAAATTGGATTATTCTTCTACGTTCTGCGTATATCTTGGGCGAATCACATTACTTGAAATCAAGCCTACTCGGTTCCAAAGCAACAATTTGTAAAGTATCTTCTTGGTTATGAAACACTTGATGGCCTCCATGTGCACCATGAACCCACTTCCCCACTTACAGGGTACCTAACGTGCCAATCAATCCCTTCAATGGGGTTTTTTTATCGAACTGCTGTCCGCCTACATTTGCTGGCTCGCTCGCACCCCTGCGCCCCGATCGCGCATGTGTGCTTGTATCACTTAAGTCGTCTGCTATCTAGTCTAGACGCATATGTACACACATATAGCTGTAGCCGTACGCCTTACGCCGTGTCCGCTGGCCATCCGTCCGTAGACGTAGACATTGCACGGGGTCTTACCACAGGGCGAAATCATCGAGAGAGCCGAGAACGGCGCGCACCTTGTAGATACGGATTGGAATACGTGCGGGTATCGGTATCTACGGAATACAAAATACGAAAGTTGCACGTCGTTTGCTCTTTTTTTACATTTCGCTGCTCTTTCATTGTTATTTGGTCGGTGCTGTGGGCCGCATTCGTTTTGTTTCGTTTATTTATAGTAATTAAAAGCGTTCGTGAGTGGGAATAAGTTATTTAAATTGTACAACAAACAAGCCGAAAATTAAAAACAAATTGTGTAGTTACAAGAGAGTGAATGGGTGATCGAGTGTTGCGGAAAAAGTTGAAGGAAATGCAATTACAGGTTCTCCTTGCATAAAATAAATAACTTTTGACTGGTGATTATGCACAAATATTAGGCTTTATGGCATATATTTATGAAGTAAATTACAAATTCAAGATAAAAAGAGTCGAGTTCAAATAAAATGAAACCTAAAGAAGAATTTAAATATTTCTTATTTGTTGGTTATAACTTATTTCCAGAGAGAGTGAATGTTAGTCTTAAAGAAAAGCTTGAGATTACTGCTTACTTATTCACCGCATATGTATATGAACAGCCGATAAATGCACATGAAAGACGACCAACTAATATTTATATTCCGCTTGGCAATCGTTTTAGGTCGCTTGTTGCTAATCGCCATTAGTTTATCCGTGTGCCTGGCCTGTGGCAGTGTGTTGGTGGCCGCGATTGCCCTGCGCCGCTCGGCCAACGCAACAGCTGCACTAGCAGCAACACTAGCGGCAGCAGCAGCAGCGACATCTGCATCAGCAGGAGCAGCAGTCACATCCGCAGCAGCTTTAGAAGCGGCAACAACGCGAAGGATACGGCACAAACGTCGCTCGTCGCAACGACGGCGCAGCAACAACAACGCGGTGCTGTCATCTGGGATCGGGACTGGCATCGGGATCGGGATCGGGCTTGGACTGGAAACCAATTCGGCTCTGGCCCTGCCACTGGCAACCACACCACCAACATCGGGCTCCACAGCAGCGGATCAGACAGCTATAGCCGCCACCGCCGCCTCCGCTGCAGCAGCAGCAACAACACCAGCAGCAGCCGCAACAGCATCGACAGCCGCAGCAACAGTTACAACAACACTTTTGCCAACCGAGCCGGAACATTCTGTACCCGTAAGTACTTACCCTTCGCTAGAAAACCAGAGAGGGGAAGGAAAACCGGAGAATACGGGTGGGAAAGGAGAGGAAAGGAAAGGCAAGGAAAGACAAGGAAAGAAGAAGAAAAGAAAAAGTTTTGCAACTGCCGATGGGCGGGAAAGTGGGTGGGCATGTCTGTTACTAAACTGCACTTGGCAAAAAATATTTAACAGTTTAATAAAGATAACCAAAATATTCCAATTTATAACCAAAATATTTTGTTGCCTATATGTAGGCCACATGGCGTCATTGAGTTATTACTAACTTTGGTTCCTTCTGCTAATAAAAAAAAATAATCATTTGTTACTATTTATATAAGTATTTAGTTTACCTTAAATTTAAATTGAGTTGAAATGCGGTTGACAAAACTGAAATGAAACGATAAGAGCGCTATTTAAAGCGAAAATATTTTTATTGCCATTACGTGCTGGCGCTATTCATGAATTCCAATTACCTTTCTGACCCAATTGAAATGAGTATCTCTTTTCTCTCAGTACAGCCACAAAAGCAAGGAGACACGTGTCGCAAGTTTCCTTTTTCACTTTTTCAGCACTCCCTTTTGCCCTTTTTCTTCGCTCTTGCCAATATCCTATGCATTCCCTTTTGGGGGAATCAGAGAGACAGCGGCAGACAGGAAAAGTGGGGGAGAAATGGTGGGGAAAAGCGAGAGAGACCCAGCTCTCTGTCACTGCAGTAAAGGTCCTTGAAAATGGGGAGTAGCTGGGCGGGAGAAGTGGGTGGCAGACAGGCCTAAATTGCTCTCGTCGGCGCCAACGCAAAAGTTCTTATGTAACTGCGCCTATACCGATTTATACTCCACGATTCCCCAGCCCAATTTTTTCGTGTGTATTGCGAGTGTTATGCAACGTTCGTGGAATGCACAGCACGTCCTTCTCTCTTTTTTTTTTTTTTGGAAGTGGATGGGCATGGAATCTCCATTTTGTGTCTGGCACTTGTGCGCGTCTTTATTTTAATGGACAAGCCAAATTCAATTTCTCCATCGGCACTTTACTTTGTCTATTTGCCCGACTTTAAATGGCTGCCATTTCATTTGTCTATAAATTTTATTCATCTGCGCATTTGCTTATTGAATTTGCACTAGACAAAAGCCGGCATTAACCTTGAGGCCAAGCGTTTTACTCCAGCTACGGAAAGCGACAATCTTCCCAACGAAATAGCCGCCTACACACGTGTGGATTTTGTGGATTCTCGTCTCGTGGGCTGTTTGGGCCAAAGTTGTTAATGCGGCTTTGCAGATTGTGGCTTTAAGATTTCCTCCTAATGGTGGGCAGGGGGCTGTGGGGGCAGAAGTAGGAGAGTGCCGCCCATTACAAGAGATTAAAGTCGGCAACTTTGACAAATTGTTACTCGCTTTGCTGACATCTTCCAGTGCGCATTTGCTCATTTTCATTCTCCGCGTCTAGAATCTTGTTTCATATTTTTTTGCCGTGCTTAGTTTGCCCACGCAAAATCAACATTATGAATGAAACACATCAGATACGGTGGGCACTCAATAAATGGGCCCGGGTTGGGGTTAAATTAATTGGCACTTAATTATGGAACCTTTTATGTATATCTATATTTGTATACACTTATCTGTACTTGTTTTGGATTAAGATATTTTACGATTATTCGGCGTTCCAAGGCATGAGTTATCGTGATAAAAATCTAAATATATCATGAGATTATACACAGATTGACGTTTTATTAGGATTGAGGTTCCTGGCCCATAAAGCTTCTAATAGAAAGCGAGGTGTGTTTCTACTGTAGTGAGAACATAATAAATGAATGCTTTTCAACATGCCCCTCCAAAACGTGGGCAAAACCCATTTGGAAACCCAAGATGCGGATGGCAATGTGGAAACGGTTACGTTTATGGATGTGGATGTGGATGTGGATGTAGATGTGGATGTTGATGTAGAAGCGGTGGGGACATACGTAAGTGCGTGGGCGGGATGGTTGGCGGGAAATGTGAAACACAATTGCCGCTAATAACCCAAGGCGTTTAGCAGAATCAGAAGCAGCAACGTCGGCAGCGGCGTTCTGTTTTAATCGAATTTTATTTGCCGCCGTTAGCCAATGAATAATTCAAATTGATTATTAAAATGTACGCTCGCATGTGCGCCAGTGTTGGAGTGTGTGAACTTCTGTGGGCGTTAACATTAACAGCATTAGGATGTTGATGTGGATGTGGATGTGGATGTGCGAGAGCGGGCTTTCATTAAAACCGTTATCTATGCCAGACGCACGCACCAGACGCAGACGTGCATAAATTAACTACAATTACAGCAGAGAGAAGCACGCACACACAGACAGCTGTTCCTGTTTTGGAATTTTTGACGGCCTGGAAAAATGTTTACTGCACAACTAGTGGAAACACACCGTTAAAATCAAAATCAAATACATATTCCATTACATAATATTACAACTTAAATAATTAGTGAAAGTAAGTTACAGAAAACATTCTGGTAAAGTTACAGTATTGAGAAAGGAATAATTGCCTTTTAAATACGAAACAATATAGTGTCATCTTGTTGCTGTGTACCAGTTGGAACATTTCAAACTTTTGATATTTGGGCATTTCTTTGGATACCCTAAGCAAACGCAGAGAAAGTCGGAAACTTTCAAGGATTCAAACAAGGCCAAAGGCAAACAAGCGGGGGCAGGAACGAAAACAAGGGTTTACCCCAAATATTATGTCACATTATTGGCCATAAAAAAAGCGCCAGCAAAAAGATAAACAACAACATGCGACAGATGCAGAGCAGTCGGGGAAAGTATGTTAACTTATGGCTGGGCTTAGGCCAACAAAAACAACAACGAGCAAAAACAAAGGCAGACATTTCTCTTACGTCAGAAAGTCTGGCCCATACGCACACATGCACACATGCAGACAGGCACACGCATACTAGTGCACAAACAGAAAATGAGGTTATTGCCAATCCCGTCTGCAATGCTCGAGTAAACATTTTAACCTAATTTTTTTTGCCACGGGAGCGGGACGATTTGGGGGCTATACATACACATATGTATATACATACATATGTGTGTAAGTTTGCGAGCGGAGACGCCCCAGACAATGTGATGCGATATTTTACGGTGCTTCAGATTACCCAAAACGAAGGGAAATATTGCAAGAAGACCACTACAGTGTAGCGTCCATAATGCAAACTTTGCATCTGGCATATCACAAGCTTTAACCCTAAGTTCAGATATCATTGGGAAATTCAGTTTTGATAAGAAACGCAAGTAAATGTTATTCAAAAAAGCACGGGCATTAACAAGGGTGTATACATATGTATATGGATTATAACTCCATATGGAGTTATAATGGATTTACTTAAAATGGTACTGCAAAAAACTGCCGTTAAAAATACTGACTTATAAAATGGTAATAATGTTTGTACCCAGGGAAAATAGTTTCTATTAAAACTGGTGAATTTCGCGCCAGCATAAAAACATTAGTACATCTTAGCAAAACACCTTATCATAAAAATGGAACAAGACGCAAGTTGTGTCATGTCGGAAGCAACGATTAGAAATAATGTAAAATCTGAAAATAAATTCAAGTTAAATACTTTGTCTTGTGCAATCAAATTATAAGGAACATGCTTGCCCACAGAGCTCTTACCACATAGTTTCCCCAGTTTTTAATTTACAAAATTGCATTTGCATATTTGTATAATTTACAAAGTACGCGGCCCCCGACGTCGCCGAAAATATTCGTGCTCTTTTATTTGTTGTTGCCCGCGCCGAGATTTGTCATTTCTTTCATGCTCGCTTGCACACATCAATCGCCAGGTGGTGTGGTGGGGCATTAGGGGGTTAAGATACACGAAAAAATAAAAAACTTTGAAAAAGGTGGCCAACGGAATGTGGACCATGCTGAGTTATGCGAATCGCTTGTGCAGAAAACATAGGGTGTACTAATCGTACAGATGGGATATATACAATTCTTACTGAACATAAGCTGCGTGCAAACTTTAAAACAATTTAAGAAATTTTAAATGTACTATACAGAACAGCATAAGAAAGGTAGGTGTGTTCAATTCACTATTTGTTTAAAAAAAACAATAAGTCTGAGCCGCCAGTACAATATTCAAGCTTTTTGAAATGTACCAGAAAACCGAAGTTCAAAAACAGTTATGCACTACCCAACACTATTTGAACTAATACGATTAGATTGGGCACACTAATATAATCGATCTATCGCTTTTACGAATTATGCTAAAAAAATTATAGTTTGTTTATAAGAGAGTTTTATAATAACGTAAAGTAAAATATGTATGCATTTTTGTTGAATCCCCTGAGATATTCCTTGAACATTCCCTCAAGAGGTTGATTTTGATGTATCAAAGTCCTATTAGTGACGTCACAATCTTTTTCTTCTGCGCCACCTTCCCAACGGTTCCATCTTCTCACTTGCACTGTCACTTCAATTCGCTTGGGAACTTAATTAGCTTATTTATACGTGCAATGACTGGAAAGAAGAGTACAAACTCACTCAATCTGGAAAAAAAAGCGATCAACGCTGGAAAAAAACCCACAAAACTAAGTCTAGCCGATTTCCACAGTCAACTGGACAAAATACAAACAGAAAATGAACGAATGGGAAAAAAGACGATCGCGGAAATCTGGAAACAGTTTCTCTCGCATAATAGTGGATTACACAATGGAACTCGTGGTCGTGGCGTTTGTTGTGAAAAGCTGCCAATAATTTCCCAAGATGTAGTTCAGAATGAAACCACTACTAAATCGAGAGTGGGATTTTCAAGTACAGTGAGTAGTGTGGCAGAGGTAAAGAAACTTCCAGAAAAGCCGGATAAATCCAAGACCGGAAAACCCAACGATACTATAGTAACATTACTGCGGAGACCTAATCCCCAGAATGCTTCCCAAGGACGCCGCAAAACGCGAGTTCGATCCTCTCCAGGGATTCCCACGCCGCCAAGAAACGTGCCCAAAGAACTGGAGGAACTGGATCGCATGACTTCGGCGGATTTCCGGCACGATACCGCCGCTCGTCTGGATATAATGCGATCCCGGGAGAAGGGTCAGGAGCACATGCACTTCTTTCAAAACGTCCTCCATCAGCAGAGGAATCTCATCAAGGATCGCACAATCCTGGTACTCTGCTGTGGAACTGGAACTCTGGCCCTCATGGCAGCTCGAATGGGAGCGAAAAGGGTGTACGCCGTGGACTACTCCAAGGTCACTGGCTATGCGACCTTGGTGGTGCGGCAAAATGGCTATGAAGGTGTGGTCAAAGTCATGAATGGTCGCATGCAGGATCTTAAGCTCCCGACAAAAGTAGATGGCATCGTCTGCAACTGGATGGGTCACTGTTTGCTTTACGAATCGGAGATATTGGAGGTGCTCGAGGCACGTGATCGCTGGCTGAAGAAAGGCGGCTTTATCCTACCCGATCTTGGTTCGCTATATCTTGTTGCGTCCGAGGAACACAAACTAAAGAGCGAGAGATGCAATCATTGGCGGAATGTCTACGGATTCAATATGAATGCCTTACGTCGATATGCGGTGGCTGAACCTTGTGTTGCCCTAACGACCGGTGAAAAGCTTCTGACCATGGCTCAATGCGTTCTCAGACTAGATTTGAAAAATGCCAGGAAGGAAGATCTGTTTATAGACCGAAACATTAGACTAACTGTCAATAGAGAGGGTTATATCGAGTGCTTTCTTCTCTTTTTCGAAGTGCAGTTTAGTAGTAGCTTACACTTCAAGCTGAGCTGTAATCCCTGTTTTAAGTCGCCTTTCAAATCGCTTTGGATGCAATCGGTACTCTTTGTGGAGCAGCCCTTTGTAATGCGGAAAAAACTTCACTACACGGGTAACCTGAAATTCAAAGCCCTAAAACCGAATAACTTTAAGGAAATGGAAATACGTATTGAGCTTTACGAGGGTCACGAGTACTATGACGATTGGGTCATGTGTACTGGTCTGGTGGCCAAAAGATGGCTCATGCTGGAGGGCTCTCAGACTTTGAGTGATGTGGAGAGCTGTCAGGACGAGCATGGGGAGAATGGTGGCCAGAACTTTTAGGTCTCTTCCAAACCTTTTTGATAAGCCTTTCAGTTGACTTTATGCTAATTGTGGTTTCACTTCATTGCAGATGCTATCGGTACAGACGGCCGGCTGCGCGGGAATGGAGCGGCTCGGCGTTCCGACCCGCACATCTTTGAGCACACCACCCGATGATAGGTAAGTCGAAGTCCTTATTGCAGAGCAGTAAGTTCCTAGAATATCATGAACTGAATTCTTTTAAGAACGCAACTGCTTTTGAAGTTCTTAAACGTAACACAAATCCATTCTAATTTAATTTTACCTTAATTGCAGGGATCAATTTAGATGTAGAATGCGCGTGGATGCGCTCCAGGCACGTGAGCTTCTGGCTGTACGTGGCGAGACTGTGATTCGTGGCGCCGGCAACAATCAGCACCAGCAGCAACACCATCTCCATCACAGCAGCAGTAGCAGCAGCAAGCAACAACATTCCCACCACCAGCAACAACGCATGACAACTCCAAGCACGCATAACTCCGGCGGCGGAGGAGTAGGAGGAGGAGCAGGAGCAGGCGGTGACCACCAACACCACCACCATCACCAGCTGGGCAACAGCAGCAGCAACAACAACAATAGTATTAGCAGTAATGTGGCGCGAGGCGGCATAGAAGCCACCACGCTCAAGTACGGAAACACGGGCAGCGGGAGCGGTAGTGGTTGCTACAAAGGCGATTGCGGCAACTCCTCATCCGGATCCTCGTGCAGTTCACTGCAGAGCCACAGCAACGATCACCACCAACATTACCAGTACCAGCTGCAGCAGCAGCAAACTCCCCGCTGTCCCCATCACGTACCACTGCCGGACAGCGAGTACGGACAGGATCGACACCTGCAGATCAGGAGTAGCTATCAGGTGAGTTACCTGGAATACGCTATATAATCCAATTGGTATACTTAATGCTTCAATCCCAAACAGCAATCGGAAATCACCAGATCGTACACGAAACCGCCGCCCAACAAGACGGTGCGGGATGTTCCCGAGCAGATCTCGGCGGGCGGCTGTGGCGTCTCCAGCTCCAGCTACCGTCTCACCACGCTCCAGGCCGCCTCCTCCACATACACGCCTGCGGGCGTGTCAGCTTCCGCCTCCTCAGCGTCCAGCAAGTCGAAGCCGAATGCCATAACCAAGTTCTTCTCGCGGATCAGTTCGCCAAAGTCGCCGCCGAGCAGTACAATGACCTCGGCTGCAACAGCTTCGCCTGCATCCTCCGTCTCCATGTCGTCGTCCGCCTCCTCGCTAGCCTCCTCCGCCTGTGTGTCCACCTCGTCGTCGGCCTCCTCACTAGCTGCTGCGCCCCTGCCCACGCTGCCGGTTTCCAATGCATCCCTGCTGAAGAGCACGGCCTGTGGCTACGGCACTAATCCCAGTGGGATCTACTCAGGACTGGGACCCAGCACGCAACTGATAACCAGCCTGGGAACTGGAACAAGCGGCAACTGCAGTCCCGAGAGGATACCTACACCACCGCTGTCCGTCTGCGTGCCAATCGGAGCTGGCCTGCAGCCGCTGAGAAGCAGCAGCAGCGGGAGTAGCAGCAGTACCGCCAGCCTACCCGCCGTCGAGACAACCGCAACTACAGCCACCACTCAGTCTTCCTTTGCCGCCGGAGCGACGGGGGATCTCCCGCTGACCACGATGAGCCGCAATAATTCCAACTCTAGCATGATGAGCTACCACTGCAGCTGCAATAGCCGGAATTGCAGCCACTGTGCGGCCAACTCATAACTGAGCTCGTGTTAAGTTTAACTACATTAAACAAATCTGGTGGTGCGGAAACCACTGGAGATTTTAGAACATTAGTTAAGTTACAAGTGCTCACTAGCTGATTTGAACTTCACACACTATAAGACTTTTGCATGGTATTTGATCATAATTTGTAAACTTACCACAGGTCTTGTATTTAAAAAGCTTTACTTGAGGTAAAACATTGCCAAATTTAGTGAAATACTTATCTTTTGTTGTCGAATCTCCAGAGATTTGTGCGGCACCTCCAAAATATATATACATTAATATATATATACATATATTTTTTTTTATGTTAGCCTATGTTTATCTATTATGTTAAAGTTTAACAGATTTATTTTATGTAGGTCTGTCGCCAACTTTTGCGCTGGTACGAAAAGACTGTTTATTAGTCAGAATTTAATTTGTAAATTTGAGTAACAAGAGGGAAGAAAGTTAGAGAATGATACGGAGAAGACATATGTATAGCTGCGCTGCCGCCTTTTAAGCACTCACCACAGACCGTAGGAGGTTCATTTTTAAGTTATGTACCATTATTTCCATTCGTCGCTTGCTAAAAGTAATAAATCGAGAATTTTTTTGTAAAAACCAAGAAAGCAACAAACTTGAAAGAGACAGACACAATACCACAAAACTTGAAGAAGGGAATGAGGAAAGTAAAAACAAAACATAAGTGAATATGTAACTGTAATTTTATGAATGAATATTGTATACACTTTAGTTTCAATAACTCTAGTTTTAAATCGAAGCCAACCAACTCTTAACTATACTCTATCCCCTACCCCTATCCACATACCCTTTTATTATTGTACGCAAGGCCCATGTGCTGGAACACACGAAAACACACACAAACAGTTTTTAGTTCAATTGAAATTTGTATTTGTATATTTGCTAACGGAATTACGATGTAAAGAAAAAAACAAAAAATGAAATGAAATCTATGTAAACCAAATTTTAGAGAAATTATTGTTTTCATTTTTAATTGGCTGAAGCTAATTGATTTGATTGATTTCAGATTTTAGCGGGATTTATTTTAAATCTAAAATTTGAAACATAACGATCGATGAACCTGAAGTTATCGATAACCTGTTGCAACCGGGCAACAATGGACGATCGTGTAGATTCATGTGCAACTCTGGTCGAGTGCGGCAGTCTCAAAATATTTTGGCGGTTTATTTAAAATGAGATTGGCATTATATTTTGTATGTTCTGAGTTTAGGAAAATCAAGGAGCTAAGAAAAAATCCCATAGCAATGTATAATATAAGCACAATTAAGCAGCTCAGAGCTTTTATTGTTTAAATATCCAGCCTTATTTGGTAGTCTTTATTTTCACGAGTTTCTGAAATTCTAAGAATGTGTAATTTTCAGACAACCCATGCACCTTGTTGCCCCAAACAATTTATATTTAAATTATCAAAGAGAAGGAAAACAAAAAATGGTTTCAAGAACTTACGATCCATTAAATCAAATTTAAACCACATTTAACCAACAATTTAGATGAAAAACGGAATGCGAGAAACTAGGAAAATATGATAACAAATGCAAAATAATGGAAAACACTTTACTACGCCAACAAGTCCTACAAGCCTACACTTTAAATACATAACGATAACGATATAGTTCGATGTCTATGGATCAAAGAATACTTAAAGTAATGCAACCGGAAATAGCCCGAAATATCACAGAACGAAGAGAAAACCGGAGACAATGAATAACTAAATTAAACGCGTAGAATTTAATTACTTAATTAGTTCTAAACAAATTAAGTCCAGCTAAATATCGAAGCGATTGAATTCGTTTGATCGGAGAATCATATACACATTTATACAAACAGGCCTAATTTCAACTACCTCCAAAACTGTTTTTTAAATTTAAAAATTAAATTCTAAACGAAGTTCAAGTCTACGAATTATGTTTAGCAAAACTAAACGAAAACTAAGTAAATCAAATGAAACAAATCGATTAAATTATAGTAAATCAATTGATTGAATTACAATTTTTTTAAATTCAAGCAGATCGATTAATTCAATAAATCAACAATCATTGACAAGTAATTAATTTTACACTTTATATATACGATATTTATTACTATATGGTATCTGTACATTTAGATCGAGAATACAAATGAAAGCGCACACGAGCTGCGTTTCGAAAATGCAAAACCGTCGACTGATATATATATAACAAAAGATAAATAAATAACGTAAACTACAAGAAAAGTATAGAGATTCATTTGTAAATACACCGAATGCAGGACAATGCGCTAGGAGCATTATGTTAATGTAACCACATCCTATCCCAAGCAGATCCCAAAGATTTCGAAACCATCCGAGACCCAAATCTCCCACTTCCCAGTAAATCGAATTTGATTTTTGATCCCTGCAGACAAAGTGCACCCAATACTAGCGAAATTTTTTAAAGCGCATTAAGCAAAACGTCTAATAAACAAAAATCTGAATAAAAATCGATATATATCTAAATACATATATATTAATTGAATACCAATTATTGTTGTTGTCTCATATAAAAACCAAAAACCATTTAAAGCAAAATACAAAAATGGGAAAAATGAAAGCAAATTTAAAATATATTTCCAAAATATATAGAACATAACTTTGAAAGCATAAAACATTAAAAACATTGTTTCTTTAAGGCGGGAGAGTTTGTTACCAACGGGAACCTTTCGTTTTTGATTGGCACTTGACACACATTATCGCAGTTTGGGTTTCACTGATTATAAGATTGTACCCTACCATCGACGCATCATGCTATGGCATGGTCAACAATTAGGGTTGAAGCTAATGGTCATATCTGACTCAAAGAAAATTCCCACCATAAATTAGTCAACGAAAAGTGTTCAAGTGAATCATAAACTCAGTTTAGATTTCACCAACGATAGACACCCACTCAATGACAACTTGTGCCATCCATTTGCATTAATGATTTGCACAAATCCCCCCGAGAAAGAGACTGGTCACTGCCTACACTAGTGGGTCGCCTTGAAAGACGGTGAAATTCTCACGTAATTCTTATCAGCCACAAAAAGCAGACAGATTGTGGAAATAAAACAGCAAATAGTAATTGCCCGTCGAAGGCGAGACGGGGAAAACAGGTACAAGGCAAGTACAAGCGATCTACGCGATTGTTTGAACTATTGATAAATGTTAAACATAAGCTAGGGTCGCCCAATGGCACGCGTTCAGTGTTGGCCAGTCCGTCCAACTGTTAACAACAGCTCCAAAAATTAGCAAATAAATAGCGCAACCTATCAAACCAAATTAACAGCGGCCATCAAAAGACATTCATACACACCGGAAAGCAATTAGGCAATCGAACCAGCAATGTCACAGTTGTACGAACTCTCCGAGGTGGAACAGCAGAACGGCAAGAATGGCAAACCTTGCTGGCTGATCATCAAGGGGAACGTGTACGATGTAACCAAGTTCCTGGCCGAACATCCTGGCGGCGGCGATGTACTGCTGGAATACGGCGGCAAGGATGCTACCAAGGCCTTCAAGCAAGCAGGCCACTCGTCCGATGCCGAAAAGGAACTGAAGAACTACAAAATTGGAGAAATTAACTCAGCTGCACCCATTCAGGTCCAGCCCACGTCCATTACTGCAGCGAAAGTCACGGAGAACACAATATCTGGAGATCCCGAACCCGCGAAGAAGAGCTCTTCCGGATTCTGCTGCTGCTAGTCATAGCTTTACATGTCATTTGATTGATTTATTAACATAGGATGAGGTCGTATTACTTTAGCGTAGTTAAATTGTAAATAGTTCTAGATTTATCTCATAATAGCTACATCATCATGTCCACAATGCCTTCCTAAAAAGATCAACTCTTCTTACACGATCTGAATAAATTGCAAACAAGGCCGGTGGAGCTGCTCCACCATGCTCAAAAAATTTAACTAAATCTAGCCGCCGCCTAATCTTTCGGTTCGGCCTCCACGGATGGCTCGCTGATGGACGTAGATTGGAACGTACTGCATGCAGCGTCGAAGTGCTCCGTCGTGAAACTGGTCACGTTTACCGTGTGGTTGCGCAGATAGTGATAGAATCTGCTCGACTTCCGTTCCAGTCCTGCCCGCTCCTTTTCGCTGCGGCAAATGGAGCGCAGGGTGGGCTCGAAGTCCAGCGATTTGGCGGAGTGTGAACGGAGGATTCCGTTGCCCAGGTGCTCGTAAATTGAAGTCCTAGAACAATTGCAGAAAGTTATAAAAAACTTTAAAAATTAAGATTATTTGCTTGGAAATACCAGTTTGGTATCTAATTAGTAAACCGTCTGGGGCATAACTTGATGAATGAGTGTTTTAAAGATAGTTATATGATCGTTCATTTTTATGACAATGCTATTAAAATTCAGAACGCTAAAGTTAACTTGTGACTGGTGGTAATTATGACTGCCGAATGATATCAAAACCCCGACTTCCTTTTTCCATCGATTACTCCTATGACAGCTAATTAAGTTAGCATTTTTAAGCCTTAAAATATGTTTAAAGCAAATGGGCTTTAAATATAAAATGTCCACGTTTTTGGTAGATATAAAAAGGCGCTTAATGCGTAGATAATGTTTCAAACATTTGTTGAGAACCAGAAATCTATTGATATTAAGGTGTTTGGATCTTGGGTTAAGTGAAAAAATCTTACCTCTGAGCCGGCTTATCAAACAGATTGTAGGGGCACTCCGCGGTCGCGAGTCCAGTTTGGAGAGCCTGCTCCACCAGCAGGTGACCGATTTCCTCGGACAGGTGCCACTGCAAGCGATCACTGCAATCGGAGTCCATCAAAGCAGCCACCGAAATGTTGTCATAAAAGGAAGACAACGTGGCGAGCGACGAGCTGTAGCCATCCGACTTCTGCCCTGTGGCGCTGCTCAACCAGGCTTTCTTCGGTGAGCGGGACTTCCGCTTGGCAGTGGTTCTGCTTCCCCCACCCGGTGGCTGCTGCTCCTTTAGCAGCGGCGAACTAGCCATAAGATCGGGGAGATTCAAACGCAAAAGGCTAAAGTCAACGGGAAAGGGTATCCGGTACTGGACATTCTGCGGACTTGTAAAGAACTCAAAAAATCGCTGATGGATTCGACTGCCGTCGATAGTGGCCAGTCGACTATTTGACGATTTCGTTGGCGATCTTATGCTGCCCCCCGTCCTACCACCAGTTGCATCTCCACCACTCTGAATGTAGAACTGCAGTTCCATTAACGTCTTGCGCAGATTCTGTTGGTTGTACAGATACAAGGATATTAACTCGTCCAACTCGATAGGACAGTTTTCCATTAGCGATAAAACGGCCAGGAATCGGGAGATGTTCAATGCGTTGGGGGCTTGGAAATTGATTACATTCTGCTGCATTAGGCGCTGCAAGTGCGCGCAATTTGGATCCGTGGCAACTACAATGACCGGCCTCTTGGAACTGGCGGCTAAGGTATAGATGGCTTCCGTAAATCCAGCATCCAAGTTATCGAACAGGATATCGGCATCTTCGATAAGAATCAGAGATTTCCGTACTTCGGATGGAGGTTCCACTGCGGCTGTTTTTGCTTTCAAACCACTCTTTTGCAACTTTTGAAGCAATTGCTTTGAAGATCCCCCACCGGTTTTTCTGTCTTTCCTTATCTGATGTGATTGCGTGGCCTCTTGGAGTTCCTGTATCAGCTTCTTGCCCGTCCTCTTCATCCCGGCGTTTATCTCCAAGACATTAAAGTTCATGTCGTTGGCTAAAGTGAAAACAGCATTGGTTTTCCCGCTAGATGAAGGTCCCACCAGAACCATCGTGTTGCTACTTGATCCCATTGATGCCGAATCGTTGCTCATGTCGAAGGTGTCATCCATGCCCTGTGAGTTGCGGTTGCTACCTCCATTCCCACTCCAGCTGGACAGGAACTCCCTAAGCTCCTGCACTGGCGTCAGATTCACCAGAACCTGTTCGAACAGCAGCGGTTTGTACTTCTCGGTGAAGAGCAGCTCGCCATTCGGTGCGGAAGGCGGGGGTTTCGCCTCCTCATCGTTCTGTGCCATATTCCGCTCCATGGACCGACGGGTGCGCCGCGTGACCACCAGTGATTCTCCCATTTGCTGCGTGTCCTGTTCACTGTCAATGGCGCTGAAGTGGCGATACTTCTCTCTCATCTGATTATAGCACTTAAAGGTGGGAAACCGATCAAAATCATTCTTCCAGAGCTTCACAAAGCCGCGCTTGTTTTCCAGCTGTGGTAAAGTAGCATAGTTGAACTTGTTTAAAGTTTTGCTGCATGTAAAGTCCGCGGGCAGACAGCTGGTGATGGTACTCGCTTTGGAACGTCGTTTGCTGGAGGGTACCACTTTGCTAATCTCTGCAAATTCGTACTCTGCCCTCAGAGCAATGGGTAATTCCAGAGGACCACCTTTTGAACCAAAACTTTCACAACCTATATGCGCCAGTCTGGGAAACAATTCATAGCTCTCTTCGTACATCTGCTCGAAGTTCTTTTGACGAATCTGCTCCTGCCGAATTTTGTCTGGAACTCCGGATTGTAGAAATGCCTGTCGAGCCTTCAAAACCAACGGATCTGGGCTGGGCTTTGGCAATTGACGGACGAAGAGCGGCGCTAGTTTCTTTGGTGTAGCAACTGGATTACTATTGTCCAGGTCAATAATCTCTACTGATTCGTCTGCCTTCTGGGTTTTCGCCTTTTGTTGCTTGCCAGGACTCGTTTCCAGATCGTAATCATAGCGCGCCTTTCCCACACACGATCGTCTTGGTCTTGCCGTAGGAGTGGATTCGGCAACAATGGGAGTCTCCTGCTGGCTTTTTCTGCGCAGCGTTCTTCGTTTCGGTGTCTCCATAGGTGGAGTTTCGATCGCTATTATCACCTTTTCAGCCAACTCCTTCGGGGATTCCACTTTGGCAAAGTAGCCCAACAGGCTGTCACGCTTTTTTGTGGGCGAGGAAAGCTTTGAGAGAAACTCCTCAGTTTCTGGATCCTGAGACTTTGTTTCTACGACCTGGGGCTTCGATTCCACAACCTGGGGCTGGGCATCCATGGAACTGATTCGTCGAGACCGCGGTCGACCTCTTACACGCTTGACTGTGGGATCCGTGGGTGCTGAGGATGGAGCCGTCACCTCTTTAGCGTCAGTCTTGGTCAGCATTTTCCTCAATCTAGGGAAATAAAATGGTTTATTGCCTTCTGAATCTTTTGGAAAAGTATTTAAAAAATGCTAACTATTGCATGTCTTATTCTTTACCAAACTCACCTCTTTGCCCTTTGCTCCATCTGCAGCTCAATGAACTCCCCGCGAGCATCGTCTGCCAGTCTTCTCTTGGCTCCGCCCTTCCGTTCGTTCCATTCCTGGAGGAGTAGCTTCCGCTTGGTGTTCGGCGTTGCTGTCTCACTGCCCACCTCCTGATCCGCGGGAGATTCTGCACCACCTTCATTTACCCCTAAAGAGCGATTCCGGGCATTCATCATGATCTCGAAGACATTGGAAGTTGGCTTAGGTTTGGTTGCGGTCAACGGGGAAGCAGCCAGGTTCTCCGGCTTGCCCGCCTTGGTAAAGTGCTTCATGATGCTCTGGTTGTCGGCCACCGGAGTGCTGGACTTGAGCGGACTGGAACGACGCCGGCCGTTTTTAAGTCCGTTTTCTTGCGAGGATTTTTCGCGCAGTGGCTGCGGTTTCTGCTTGGCATCCGCCTTGGCCTCCTCGACGGTGTTCTTCTGGTCATCCATGAGTGCTGCTCGGCGCTTCTCCTCCCGCTTCCGCTTGTGTTTCTCCCGATGCTTCTGCTTCACCGAGTGCAGCACTTCCTCCATGTTCTGGAGGATCAGTTTGGACTTGGCGCTGGGCGGTGCTCTCAGAACGAACGGGGATGTCGGCTCGACAGAAGCCGAGCCAGCATTTTTGGAGGGAGTTCCTGGTGGACTCGCAGTGGTGGTTGTGGGTGCAATGTGCTCACTTGTAAGACAATTTACATCGGTCATTTTTTTGGGTCTCTTTTTGCTGTTTTCTTTTTTGGTTTAATGCATATTGCTGAGTGTGTGCGTGTGTTTGTGTATGGTGTAGTATTCTTTTGTATGATCTAAGTACTTAAGCAATTGATATCTACAGATAATACGAAAGCCAAACTCATAAGATCGCAACAGAAGATCGGGGGCAAAAGCAAAAACATGACAACAATACAATAATAATGAGATCTACCTTTGCATCGACTTTTCGTGTTTCGTATTTGTTACACTCCCGCACACGCACACACACTGCCGCGATCGCACTGGCGTCCCGTTGATCGCGATCCTCTTCCCAACGGTACTTGGGCCCCAATATTTTACTGGTTTCGATTTCCACTTTATACGAATAATATCATTTTATCCGAATTTATTTGAAGTACAAGTTGTTAGCACAATGTGCTGGGGAAAAAAAGGCGCGAAGAAACGGTGTTGGCAAACGGTGGAGGCAGTTATGATTTCCAGCACTGATCGGTTAGGCCGTAGTTGATTTTCTTCAGTCGGCCAGCAATTTGCTTTGTAAGATTCATTTTTTAATTTGATGACAAAGTAAGATAGTCTAATATATTTGCCAATATTGGATTACAGTTGCATAAGAACGTATAGAAAGAGGAAATCATATGATTTTGTACAGCCTTATTAGTACAGTAATCAAAATAAAATACATTTTTAAGAATCACCTAATATTTAATTTGAAATAACTATATTTATTTTGTGATGTCTTAAGTCAGTAAAATTTGACTGTAAATTCAAAATAAAAATTAATGAGTTACCTATTTAAATTACCGCAGCTGTTGGTGGTATATTTATTAAAGTACTTCGCTTGCTGAAACATTTTTTGCAAATTCGGTCACACTGCGATTTACTCTGTTATGGTTTTTCGTGAAAATGTCCACATACTACTTTGTTATTGTGGGACACAATGATAATCCCATCTACGAGAAAGAATTCAGTACGGTGAACAAAGAACTAAGGGTATGTAGGTCTGGGCAATGGCTCATAGAACTGGGTAAATAGTTTTTCCTTCTGCAGAAAGAGGACCACAGGCACCTCACCCAGTTTATTGCCCATGCCGCCTTGGATTTGGTGGATGAGCACAAATGGAAGACGGCCAATATGCAACTGAAATCCATAGATAGATTCAATCAGTGGTTTGTTTCGGCCTTCATCACAGCCAGCCAAATACGATTCATCATCGTTCATGACAATAAAAATGACGAGGGCATCAAAAACTTCTTCAACGAGATGTATGACACGTATATCAAACACTCCATGAATGCATTCTATCGCATCAACACACCCATTAAATCTCAGATGTTTGAAAAAAAGTCGGAGATCTTTGGCCGGAAGTATCTGTTATCCTAAATTTGTTATAACCTGTAGTAAATAAGTAACCGTGTAACATAAAACTTCAACTAATTTGAAAGCATAACTCCGCTTTTCCCTCTATGTGGATTACTCCCGACTTTCAAGATAAGTAATCTAGTTTATATTTTATTTAATTTATTTAGAAAAGCAGCCTAAGCTTAACATTGATGGACTTGTTTTATTCACTTTTTACTCAATGCGTCCTCGAATCAAATCTAAAACGATTTAACGCCCGTCTCCAGACGACAGTCCCAGACTGGAGTAAATTAGATGTGTGGGTTGAATAGATGAACAACGCATGGAATCAATTTGAAACTAAAGCAACAAAATATATACGGAATTTGTAATGGGTCTTTGCAAAGAAATCTCTTGGTGGTGAGGAAATCATCCATCCCGAAGCTTAATGCTTCTTGTTCTTTCCAGAGCGCTCGTATTTGCTCTTGGACTGGTGCCACAGACCCAGAGGAATGGCCAGGGAGGGCAGAGTCATCACGGCGAAGGCCACCCAGTCAAAGAAGTGGGAGGAGAAGCGCTTGTTGTACTCGTTCAGGTTGACAATTCCACCCTCACCGGGTTCGGAGCTGACTGCCAGTTGGAGCTGCAAGAATTGGTGGGTTAAATATTTTGTGCAAAATCTCGGTGGGTGTATAACAGATATCTAATTGAAAGAATGGCTATCATAGATCGATTTTTCAACAGGTAATATTCATTTTTTTTAAAGAAACAACAGGTTTGCAAGACTGACTTGTGTATGCATTCACTTATTAGTTATGATTGTTTGAAAATCAATAGTTTTGGTATGCTTTGGCATAGATTTCTGTAACACTGAGATTAGATAAGATTCTTCAGGGAAGAATCAGCTATAACTTACCGTCTCCGACTCCTCGACAGCCTTGTAGGACACCTCGGCGGCGGTGAAGTTGAAGTAGCCGAAGGCCTTGGGCCTCACCACCAGGACATGGGTGAAGTTGGTCTGGGGAGCGATCCTGTCGACCACGGCAGTGGGCTGTCCCCCGACCACGTCGAAGGCCTCGGGGTGGAAGCCGGAGTCTACCAGTCGCACCTTGGTGGCGGCACCGCTGCCCACGTTAAAGATGGTGTAGCGCACCAACAGGTCGCTCTTCTCCACCAGGTACTTGTTCAGGATCTGCTTGGAGACCAGGAGACGGGCACGGGTCTCGTCCTCCGACAGGCAGGTGCTAAACACCGCGCACAGGGCGAACAAAGTCAGCAGGCTCTTGAACATTCTGCAATAATAGATAATAGGAAGATTAATTTTCACGTTTCTCTTTTTTGTTGACGTGGAAGGGTCGCCGAAAAACGAGCGGCACAAAAGGGCGACTACTTTTCCGGTGTAGTTTCTAACCATTTACGCATCATAGGTGCCGAGAGCACACACTCCACATATACCGTACACTGCTTAATTCATCATTTATCTACTTACTTGGACTTGGGTTATATCTTTCGCGAGTATTTCAATGCAACTAAACAGCAGTCGTAGCAGGCGGCCGCTTTCTCGGTGGTTCGTGACGTGGAATGGATCCGCTGTCAAACTTCGTGCGTCAGTGGTGCCAGGGCTGCATCAAAATATCGATGTATCCGCAGGGTCCGGCAGTATATTAATACCACTATTAATACGCACTAGTATTTTCGTCGGCTTTGACTAAGCCACTCACAGTTTTAAACCGTTAAAAACCGATGTTTATGTACTTTTATTATCACATTACTTAATTCATTAACTTTTCACTAAGTTATAATCAGATAATCTTTACCATTTATTCCGACAGCAGAGAAACTGTCTACTACTTATCGAGTTCCCAGATAAATTACTGAACTTTTGGAATATATTAAAGAGATTAGCCCCTTTCTTTAATTTTGTATTAATGTATGATCTAAAATTGCAGGCAAAAGCAGTAAGATAGTAAGAAATTGTATTCTTACTTATTTGTGTGAATAGTGTTATTCTACCTGCGGTGAATCGGCAACTCTGCTTCCCAGCGTCTGTAAAGCTGCTGTTAAACAGCTGCAGCTGTTGTTTAAATATGCATAAACAAATAAACAAAACTTTTTTTCAGGCTTTTATGACTTTAACTATTTTTTTGCTAAGTACTTTTTAAATATATAAGTATTTTATATGGCTTTGTTTTTAAATTTGGCAATCATTTCGATTAGAACAGCTGTTTGCCGGCACCCTGGAATGCCCTTGAATGACATTGCACCCTACTGCAAGCTTTTAGGCTTTTCAGTTAACCAATACATCATGATAAAATTACAGCAAATCGCGATAATGCAATGAAATTCGAGTGGTGAAAAAGAGATAGATGGATTCGTGGTTTCATTATGATTTTAAAGACACACCCCCGCGAAATTAGATTAGGAGTACTAGTAGTACGCACCAATGATAGGGGTTATCTTGATCGCCATGACCGAACCCATTTCGCTTATCAGTGGGAGGCGAATTTCGCTGTGCTGTGCTTGACTCTAAATTTTCATCGCACGCAAACGCGGTTCAGTCGTCCAGTTGGAATTCAGCCAGCAGCCGGAAAACTCCAGTGACATGTCGCTAACGGTGGAAATTGTAGCCACAAAGCCCTACGAGGGTCAGAAGCCAGGAACCAGTGGATTGCGCAAAAAGGTGAGGTCTTCAGATGGCGGAAAAACTCGCAGTTACATTTCATAACTTCTGAAATCCATTTCCAATCTCAGGTTAAGGTTTTCACCCAGCCGAACTACACGGAAAACTTTGTCCAGGCCATATTGGAAGCCAATGGAGCTGCTCTGGTGGGTTCCACGCTCGTAGTTGGTGGCGATGGACGTTTCTACTGCAAGGAGGCTGCCGAGCTAATTGTTCGGCTATCCGCTGCCAATGGGGTCTCCAAGCTGCTGGTGGGTCAGAACGGCATCCTGTCCACCCCCGCCGTATCCAGCCTGATCCGTCACAACAAGGCTTTGGGTGAGTTCAATGCAGGCAGTCTCCACTGTGCTCATAAAGATTTTAATTGATAAGAAGCATCTCCATACAATCAACGGGCGGCGGCTGTTCGTTGACAGAGGTCCCTGGGGTCGAATAATAACTATGGATTCAATCGGTTAACAGAGAGTTCGTTAATCGGGCAACCAAATATGAATCGGTTACAATCGATTTAGGGACTTTACCAAGGGTAATTGAATATTAAATAGTTAGAGTACCTTTTAGTTAAATGTTATGCTGCAAATACTTAGCGAATGAAATCATTAAAATGTTTTAAAAACGGGATAGATATCCATATCTAGTGCTTATATTACCAAAAGAACGCCTGTCAAGCTTACAGCTATCGCAATATAGAAGCAATATTGTAAAATCCATATGAAAAGGCATCTTAATACTATCCAAGATTTGAATCTGAGCTTTTGTACTTACTCAAAGATCTATAATGACCAGTCCAAGCAAAACATCGGCCAGTACTTCTAGACACTAATCAAGTACAATGCCGAACATCGAAATGTATAACTGTTAAAAGTGCAAGTAGTTAAAATAATTTCCGGAAAAGTTCTTTCACATTAAAGCCAGGATCCCTCAGCAAAAGGATGCCCCTTTGGAATTTAAAATTCTTTTAGAAAAAGCACACAAATATGAACAAAGGCACGCTTTAAAAATGCTTTTTAAACCTTATAGGCGGCATTGTATTGACTGCATCCCACAATCCCGGTGGTCCAGAGAATGACTTCGGCATCAAGTTCAACTGCGAGAACGGAGGACCTGCCCCGGACGCGTTCACCAATCTGATCTACAAGATTACCACCGAGATCAAGCAGTACAAGCTGGTGCGCAACCTTCAGATCGACATCACAAAGGTGGGTGTAACTTCGTTCGACATCGCCGGAAAACCATTTACCGTGGAGGTGATTGATTCGGTGGCCAACTATGTGCGCCACATGGAGGAGATCTTCGACTTTGCAAAGCTGAAGGACTTCGTGAGTGGAAAAGCCACTGGAAAGCCTTTGAAAATGCGCATCGATGCGATGAATGGAGTTACCGGCTCCTATGTGCGGGAGATCTTCCTGAACCGCTTGGGTGCCACCGAGTCATCGGTTGTTCACACCACTCCACTGCCGGACTTTGGGGGTCTGCATCCTGACCCAAATCTCACATACGCCAAGGACCTGGTTGACACTGTCGCCCAGGGAGACTATGACATAGGAGCTGCTTTTGATGGAGATGGTGACCGCAACATGATCATTGGAAGCAAGGCTTTCTTCGTAACTCCCAGCGACTCGCTGGCAGTGATTGCACACTACCTGGAGGCCATACCGTACTTCCAAAAGAATGGTGTTCAAGGATTCGCCCGTAGTATGCCGACTGCATCCGCTGTGGACTTGGTGGGTAGAAAGTTGGGCAAGGAGGTGTTTGAGGTTCCCACTGGATGGAAGTACTTCGGTAACCTCATGGACGCCGGAAGGTTGTGTCTCTGCGGAGAGGAGAGCTTTGGAACTGGCTCCAATCACATCCGCGAAAAGGACGGCATCTGGGCAGTTCTGGCCTGGATATCCGTGATGCAGCACACGGGTAAAGGCATCGAAGACATCCTTAAGCAGCACTGGTCTGTGTATGGACGCAACTACTTTACCCGCTACGATTATGAGGAGTGCGCTTCTGATCCTTGCAACGAGATGGTGGCCACCATGGAGAAAGCCATAACTGCTCCGGAGTTCGTCGGCAAGAGCTATTCAAGCGGCGGAAAAACCTACAAGGTCAAGGAGGCCGACAACTTCAGCTACACAGATCCGGTCGACAAGTCGGTGGCCACCAAACAGGGTCTGCGCATTGTGTTCGAGGATGGCAGCCGCATTGTGGTGCGCCTCAGTGGAACTGGAAGCTCGGGAGCAACCGTTCGGTGAGTATTGATGAGATTTATTCAATTAATTGCTTTCAATAATCGATGAATTGTCCCTCTTCAGCTTGTACATTGATTCCTATGAGAAGGAGAACGTTTTGGGTCAGGCCAGCGTGATGCTGAAACCCTTGATCGACATCGCTCTGGAGATCTCTCAGCTGCCCAAGTTCACTGGGCGCAATGCTCCCACGGTCATCACGTAAAGAGTTACTGCCTGCTAAGGACCACTGAGTTTAGCAACCCATCCAACTACAATCTCCACTTGTACCTCAGCGAGGCATTTCCTTGTTATGTTTTCAGATTTATTAAAGTTTGTTTAGCTCAAACCTGTTCGTTTGTTTTCATTTTAGCGGTGTGGATAGGTACTCGTACTCGCTAAGTATTATATTGGGAATGCGCTGCTCCAGAACTCCGAGTGGCAAACGACCAATGCGTATAAACGCTAGTAGGAAGTGCAGGGCGGTGACGACCTCGTGACCCAGAATTTCTTTATCCCTAATAAAGAAGTAGTATTTGTGATCTTAAATTCCTAGACTGTATTGTATGTATTGTACTTACAACAATTGAGCCTCTGATACAGTCACCACGTACTGGCTCAGGTAGGATATATACAGCATCTTGACATTCTTGTGGAACTGCTGCATGATCGTTATTAGACCCACAATAAAAGGCACATTATCAATGTTATCTTTGGCTGACTTTGGCAACAGACAATCGGTTATCGTGGAATACTGCAGACGACCCAAATGAGCAACGGTGAAAAGAAACATAAAGAGCGCCATGTTGTGGGTGTTTTTAGTGATAAGAAAGACTTGCTCCAGGGGCTCAAAGTTTCCCGTATAGAGCAGGGTTTCTTGTAGTTCCGTCAGCATGACTACGCCCTTTTCATCACAGAGATCCTTGCTAAGAGACAGTTCTAGTAAAAGTGCTCTGAGTGTGAAAAGAAAATTGAATATATATATTGATAGAAGATAGTTTATCTCACTTGTTTAGGGTATCAGCCGTGTTCTCCAGCAACTTGGCATCACATTTGCTGCTAAAGCGTAGCTCTCCTGCAATTTCTCTGCGGAGCAGCTGTTTCTGTCCGATGGTCAAAACCCAATCCAGCAGCGTGGGCCACACTTTTAGCCATCGGTTGGTGTAACCTTGATAATACTTCAAAGGCTGCTTGGACACCTCCGGAGATGGGAAGTCCCGGGCCTCTAATTCCCGAGTCAGAGTCTCTAACGTATCCACCCACATACGATCCGAGGTAAGGTTACGCTGTAACCGTTCCAAGTTCCGCTTTAACTCATCAGCCAACATGTGAGCGTAGAGGCGCTCCAATCCGACCATTCCCGCGGGAGCCAAGGCTTCTCTAAGTATCTCAAAGAATCCAGAGCCAGCAAGAACTTCCTGGTGAGGAGCTTTCTTCTCATACCAGGTGCTCTTCAGGTCCAGAAAAATAGTTTGCTTGGGATCTGTGCAGCGGAGAATTTCGTGGGCCAGACGGCCAATAAAGTTGTTGGAAGGATCTCCAAGCAGCGGTGGAAAGTTGGGAATAGGAATGATCTGACTTTGGTGCTCTGATTGAAATTCCTGCACTTTGCTGCGAAGAAAGGCGTTGCATTCTTTCTCCACATTGTAGTTAATAATGCGCTGCGATTCCTCTAGCAGAATTCGAAGTCCCTGAACTCTTAAATAGTCTTCTATATATTCGAAGGATCTACGATATCCTTCTATCGTTTTCGCCAGACCTTGCAGTTTTTGTTGAAGAAGCTGCACAGGAGTCTTGCCTTTTTCGGCCGTAAATATCAGGCCCAGATTGTACGCATTGGCCAGGTGATTTACAAGCTCCTTGCGTATTCCATCCTCCAATAGTTGTTTAGGATCCAGCTCGATTACTCCCACTAGAGTCGTTTTCATCATAAGAATTCCTTTCGTGAAAACAGCAATGGAGTTCGTAAGCTGAGCCACTTTCGCCCGCTCCTCAAACTGGGCATAGTCCTTTAGACGCTCCTTCTCCACTTTAGTGGGGAATTCCTTGATTACGTTTGTAAGGAGATATATGATCCTTGCCAGAATACTGAACATGGTTTCTGGAACAATCTGCAGAACGCGTCGCAGGAAGTTGGCAAGCTCGGTGCTGTAGTAGTTTGACACAGAGACCAGATCCTCGCTTCTAGCCTGGTTTATCCGCATCAGCGGCACCTCCAGAGTGCTGGCCAACTTGAGGAACACCGCTCGTATACCGATCACCGCTTGTGGCTGTCGTTTGATGTGTTCCTGCATTGGAGGTGTGAAGTCCCGCTGCAGAAGATGCCAAGCATAGCTGAAGTCAGTGATCATCTGGATTTGAATCTCAATGTCTTCTTTCAGATTTATTAGCTGCGGAACGTACAAATTGGTTAAAGCATGCTGATCAAATTGGTGTAAGTCGTACCTGAGCCATCCGATTGAGCATTTCCCGCGTCTCCTGCAGTTGCTGCTTCACCAGCATGTTGGAATGAAGGTTGTGATACTCCTGCACATCGTCCAGTGCCTGCATCACTTGAATAATCAGACGTCCGGACTTTTGCGGCCTGGTCAATTCCAGTTTTTGGAGCCGCCCCGCAACTTCCTCAAACCATTGCTGTAGTTGAGGATTCTGCTCAATCTTGGTCAAAGGTCTGGAGCCGGCAAAGGCTTCACTCAACTCCTTTAGCCTTTGCATGGCCTCCTCTCTGCTTCTCGTCCAGCGATTCTCCTTAGTCTGCTGAATCTCTGCCAGGAACTCCCTCACACTCAGTTCCATTTGGCTGCAGTTAAGCAGCAGGTTATACAGCATATTCCTATCGAATTGTAGTTCCTGGAGCACCACTTTTTGCACTTGACCCGGCAAAGTGGCTGTATGAGAAAAGATGAAAACCTCCCTTGAGGTGTGCAGGCAAAACCAGCGGAGCAGGACATTGGATTGCCTCATTAGGAGTATGATTTTGTTGGCGTGCTCCAAAACAAAGTTGTCATTTAAAACTCCTTCACGAACAATCTCCTGAGTTTTTAGAGTGGTCTTTCCCAACTGCTCTTTTTGCTGCTGACAGAGTGCTTTAATCGCTGTAGGACTGATCACATTTTCTATTGCAGATCGAGCGGCTTTGAAATCCAACCAGGCATCCACCAGATTCACAGTGATGCCCATGTACACTGATATGGTCCAGTTGTCGCAAAAGAACTTGTCCACAATCTCGCGCATCTGGGAGCCTTGAGAATGGAGAACTTTCGGACAGAAATACAAGCACACATACAACATGGCCGCTTGAGTAGACAGAGCCGTAGAGCGATGGGCGGGATGGGGGTACAGAGTCAGTTGGTTGTATATATCATCGCACCGTAGACGAGCCACAACTAGATCCACGAAATTCTCATCAAAACGAAAGCGAGAGAAGTAAGTTTCCGGGTATCGCGGAACCACTAGGCTCGCAGCTCCTGCAGCTGCCTGTTTGCCACCCACTGCTAGCACTTTAGCGGCATCCGAGGGGTGAACATAGCCCGTGGATCGGAGCAGAAGACAAACATCATGGATATTACTCTCGTCTCCGCTAGGCGTTGCATCTCCTCCACTATACCGATAGTAGGCGATCAGCAGACGTTCTCTCACATCTCCAGGAATGTGAAAATCGAGCAGAAGGAGAATCACACCAAAGAGATACAGGGATTCGCAGAGCAGCTGGCGACCCTCCTCCTCCAGAAGCACCGTCTCCAATGTCTGCTGAATATAGTAGCCACTGTTCAATTCCTCGATATATTGCTGGAGATCGGACGCATAGTGATGGATACTCTGGAAGGCCAAGTAAAATCTTGTGATTAGCGGAAGCTGGGCACGCGCCTCATCATCCAGTTCGGTCAGTTCCTGGAGGAGATTACGGGGTTAAATATGCCGGAGGGTCTGATATAGTCATGTCACATTACCCGACTTTGTTCGATCTTCTTCTCGTGATCCTCAGCTAACTTGAAGTAGCTGAAATCCAGAATAAGCTCGCCATATTTCGCCTTATCAGCCTTGTTGTCCAATCTGGGGAGGAGTGCTCACCAATTAATCATCGACTCGGATATTTAATCTAAGTTACCTATAAATTCTGGGCACGTAATCCTTGAGCCGCAGGATCTCCGCTATTATGGAGTTACCCACCGACACTATATTCAGCAGATTCTGCCCACATGCATTATTGTCATCCAGAAAACTCATTGTGCATTTCCTTGACTTCTGGTATAGCAGCAAATGCCTTTCAGCAGAAAGCTGAATATCTATAATCACATTATTAGGTACGTGCTTTTACTTACTTCAAATCACTCCCCAAATTTATGTTTTTGTTCGTATTGTCTTTTCATGTAGTCTCCTATCCATTATCCATTTTTAGCGCTAGTGTTTTATGTGAAATACTTTCTTACGTCCGGTCACACTTTTCTGATGGTATAGAGTTACCAGGAACCTCAAAACTTCTGGCGCCTAAATTTAAAGTGAAAAACTGATGATAACAACCTCTGAGGTGCATTATTTAACAACAGTCACTGAATTTATTCGACCTTTTATTGCATGGAATACAAAAATCAAAGGCTTTGGTATATAAATCTGTTCAATGCATTGAAATGCAACCAATAAGGGTGATCTTATCGTTGCCAACGCGATTTCACGATTTCAATTTTAAAATTACGAAAACAAATCGTACAAAAATATAAAAAAAATTGCCAATTTGTTAAGGGTTTCTCGTTGAATCCAAACGTGAATTTGGTTCCGTTTATTTTGTGTTAGATTTTCATTCTATGGGGGCTACACAAAATTTCAGTAAGATTAATTAACATAATAAATGAATATAAAAATATCAATAAAATTAATTAATTCAACTACATAAATTGTAATGATTTAACTAGCTAATTAACTGAGATACCGTTACATATTCTATACGACATAAAATAATAATTTGCATAAGAAAACACTGCGCACTTAAATAAATTCTGCGTTTTCCCAACTAATAATTCTCCGTGATCAGTTGAAGTTTTCTGAATTTTTTCTTTTATTTTTTTGCTTAATGTTAAAACATAATAATAATAATATATATATATCAATATATATACATATATATATTCAGTTATATGCTTACCAAACTATGCGCTGTTTACGGTTGCGTCTGCTTTTTGTTTATCATATGTTTATACACACAAAGAATTTTGTTTAGAATGGTTCAATTTTTTGCTTAGTTTTACTGAATTACATCAATTGTTGTCAATTTATTTGTTATAATTTTTTATGGGATTTTATTTTACAAGATTTTTCGGGCTAATTGTATAAAAATTTGTCTATTTTGTGTGCAGCTCATTGCATTAGGGGAGTTCCGGATCTATGAAGCCTAATGAACCGTGTTTCTTGATGGATAAACGAGCGCCACTAATAAAAACATATTGTATCTCGGTGTGCCAAGGTGTCTGCGCTCACATCGTTCCTAGCCATCGATAATTTGTTAATTACGTTTGCGTTTTTACCTAGTTATCTATTAGAAAAATCGTAGCCTAGCATGTATTTACAATTTGTTGGGTTTGTAGTGGTCTTGCCTAACGATTGATTTCCGTTTATACAATATAGGTAATTAAAAATTACATCTTTTTTAAACAACTAGAACTAATTCAATGTAAGTTTAAATTGATATTTTTTGCGGTTCTGTTTTTGATGTGTTGTTTTGTTTTGCTGTTGCTGAACTTGTTTCGATTTTGTGGTTTTAAAAACCATTTATCTGTAATTCGGTTTCGATTTATCTTCGCGCGCGCGCTTTCTTTTTACTTAATATCTAGGAATTATGCTTCGTTTTCGTTTAACAAACTAAGCTAAATAATTAAATATTAATAATTATGTTTATATCGTTTAGATAAGGCCGTCAATGCAGTTGATGCAAACATTATTATGTTACAAATTACAAATCAAACGCCCGCTGACTGCGCGTTCTCTTTTCTCTTACTTTCCTCTCTATTATTTTATTCTCTTCGTTTATTTACGTTACTCTGGTTTTGTTTTGTTTTTGGATTGGTTTGGTTTAAGTTTTACAGACAATTTATTGGGGAAATAAACGAGCTTTAAATTAGGCTTAAAATCAAATACGATTAAGAATTTAGAAATTTATGTGAATAGAGTAAAAATAGAAATTAAATAAAGCCGCCTAACTAAAAAGAAACAACAACAGGGGAGACGCGACGCAGATAAATTTGAGGTTAAATTATATTGCAAATGGATGAAATCGTAAAGCTGAATACACAACAACGACGTCAGTCCACGGAGTAGGAGGATCAGCGAGGAGAAGACGGTGCGATTGATGGGCAACAGCAGCGATCACTTGAGGTATGTCTTGAACAACATGGAACTGCGACAGAACTCCCGCTCTTGCTCCATGTAGAAGAGCATGTCGCGCAGGTTCACACGTTTTATACGAGGCCGTAACGTCGTCGGCGCAGATGCCGAGCTGCTTAGCACTCCGCCGCCACTTGAACCCTTTTTGGAATAACACAGCTTAATTAATAACCGTTCTGGGAGTCAACTGAGCTAAATTTAAGGATAATATCATTAAGAATGATTGCACTATACATACCGCTCCCGAACTGACTGTTTCGCCGTCCAGCTTCAGCTTTTTCCGAGGTCCAATCGCCTGCAGCGCCGTCAGATTGGCATCTCGTTGACGCAACTCCTCCATTTCGGCGCGTTGCATCTCCTTGGCCTAAACAATAAGAGAAGGACTTGAGTAAACGGCTACAGGGAAAGGCGCTTGCGAACACACCCTCGCCTTCATCTTGGCCTGTTCGGGATCCTCTACCCTCGAGCGGGACTTGGCAGCCCGCAGCAGCATCTCACGCTCCAGTTCCTCGTGTCGCTTCTGCTCGGCCTTGTCCAGCTCCTCAAGGAACTTGATCTGACCGCGTACATCCTTGGCGGGCTCGTAGCGTGAATCCAACTGTATGAAATAATGAATTAATAGTTTTCTTGAAAAATAATAGAAATTTCAACATACCTTGATGACATCAATGCGGTGCTCCGCTATCACAGCCAACTTCTCAACGATGTTCTTCAGTCGCTCCTGACAAGCATGCGATATCAGAACGGCCACATCCTGCGACGGCTCATCCAGTCCCGCCTCCGAAGTAATTGCCCGTATTCTGGCTTGCAGGGAGGGCAGATTGAGAAATACCTCATCTTTGCAGGAACGAATCTGCGTGCCGATGTTTTCCGTGCAGCCGAGAATCCGCTGCGACTCCTCCGCCAAGTTAACACCGCCCATGGCGGCCACATCGTTGATATCATCGTCACCGTACATAGAGGACATGGAGCTCTGCTGGAAAAACGAGTTGGCAGCTGACGCCGCTGCTCCGCTCGATGTGTTCAATTTAGCGTCCATTTCCATGGCATCGCGTTTCTTTTTCCCTATCGCCTTGCTGATCGGGGGCTGCGGCCTTGCCATCGTCTTGGCTCCAATTGGTGTGAGCGATGCGTTGATCCGCTCCATGTGCGGCGGATGCAGGGAGGGCGCCTTGATCTCCACCAGTTTAGCTTCGAAGTGATTGTTGTTGTGGTTCAGTGAATTTTGCATCTGCTCACGGGCTCGAAGAGCTTCGGGAGGAAGGTGGACCGTGGGTAGCGACGGTATCGGCAGCGATGTGGTCGAGGCGGAGTTCAACGTAGACAAAACAGATAGCGTGGGCGTCGGCGGTGGTCCCCCAGAGATGGCCGCCAGCGACGGTGGATGCAGGCTGGGCGTAATCGCTTTGATTTGCGTCTGTCCCACCTTGACGGCAGTGAGTTTGTTCGCTGTGGGCACACTGTTTGGAGGACGAGTTGTGGCCCGGATCTGGACCGATCCCGTGCGCTGCAGCTGCGCATGCTGCGGTCCACGTATTTGCACAATATTCTGCAAATAAATATATAAATGTTGTGTTTATTTTATATTGATAGAGATAGAGTTTTGATCAACTATAAATACATAGTGATGATTTTAAGGTTACCCCCTTTGATTAGTTCGAGACTAGAAACGCTCATATTCAAAATATTTTTACCAAAAATCATCAAATATAAATGGGATATACATTTGAGAACAAATAGATAAGATAAATTTTAACTTACCGCCTGACCAGGCACCTGCAACGAGGGTATCTGCGTGCGAATTCCTCCTGTATTGACAAGACGCGGGGCCGTGGGCAATCGAATGTTTGGCGGCTGCTTCGATATCGTGGTGTGGCCAATGGTAGGTCGCGGCGTGCCCAAGGCGTTCGGCGTTATCATACGCACCTGCGTCTGTCCAATGGTCGTTGTCTGGCTAGGACCGATCGGACGGATTTGCGCTTGGATTTTCTAATACAGAAAGAACAGAAACAAGGAGAATTAATAAAAATCACAGAAAATTGAATGGCTTGGTAGACTTACAGGCAACTGTTGAGATAGTCCGGCCAGGCCGAGAACGTGCTGCGGTGGAGGTTTAATGCCTTCGATAACCAGCTCCTTTGTGTAAAGCGCTTGTCGAAGCAGAGGCAAACTCTTCTTAAGGAATCCAATCAAACACGGCTGCGGGCTGGCGTTGAGCAAGCGCTCCAGGCGGTCACAAAACTCCTCTGGCTCGACATTCGCGTTGACCAGCTCCTGGATGAGGGTGCGCACATTCTTCTCCACCGGCTTCGGTTCCCGTGTCGACAATTCGATTAAATTGGCTAGAAACTTGCGACACTTTTCTTTGGTATTGCCCTGCTGCGTCGTCGTCGCTGCCGTCGTACTGCTGACCGCCGTTGCCGTTCCTCCCGCGGAGCTTACATTGTTCACCTGCTGCTGAGACTGCTGGGCCGGTATTGTTTGGATCTGCGTAATCTGCGGCAGTTGTGGCGCCTGCGCATTTAATTGCGTCAGGTGCGGCGGCTGCGATGAGTTTGCATATCCACTGCTGGCCACCGAATTGACAATAATGTTACTGGTAGCGGTCGTGTTGGTCATAGACTGCAAAAGGAAAATGAGTTATTAATATGTTTGGATAAATGTAAGTCATATATAGTAGTGCAAAATTAAGACCAAAAAGCGTTAGAATAATTATTAAAAATATTTCATAGCGGAATAAAGATGATGATGGTTCTTTTTTTCAGGATGGATGGGTTTAAAGTCCTGGTCTCCAATTATGTGTGCAGGGGGTAGGGCTATGATTGGGGCAATGAGATGAACTGGTTACATTACAGTAAAATGTCCTAAGGATCAAGGTTCATATCGTTCGGAAGCACAAAGATGTATCTTTTTGTTAAAATCAATTAGGTAATCCAAAATTAGACCAGGTAAATTTCACTACTCGACATTAGATAAGTGAAGCCCTTTGAAAAATTGAGAAAATAAATGAAATGACTATATTAAGTTCTCTAGATAAAATAATTTGCTTGTGAAGGAATTATTATAATTTCACTTATGATAAATTACTGAGATCTTATTAAGCATGGGCTCAAGGCATTACACCCCAGTGGACTTTGGTTAGAAAATATCCATCAAGGGGAGATCTTTAAGGAGTAAGACAACAGCCCAGCACACATCGTTGGTAAGCCCGGGGCAGCCCCATAGCCAATATCCAGGCATATTACATGATTTTTGGCCTGGACCAGCAACTCGTGTACAGCGCATATAACTAAATCGAATCGAAATAAGGAGCATCGAAAATACACAGACAGTTACACAACGCAGCATGCATTACATTTACATATATATATTATATATGTAATCATATTATGAAAGTATTTTGGATAAATCAAAATGAAGTGTTCGATTGTGACGAACCAAAACGGAACTGAAGCGTAGGCGTAGTTATATAAATAAGAAGATCAAATCCAAATGCATGACAGACAAAGGAGAACAGAGGAGAGAAGAGCAAAAAAATGTTCGAATAGGAGTATATCCTGCTGGCTTCTCTTTACGTTTTGCTTGATCTTTATGGTGGCTGCCACATTGGCGGCAGCTGCTGCAGCAGCAGCGGCAGCGGATGCCTGTTGCTGTTTCTGTTGCTGCTGGGCCTTCAGATGTTGCTGCTGTTGGAGCTTCTGTTGCTGCTGTTGGTGGTTAGTAGCGGATTTGTTGTTGTTGTTGGTAGTGGTGGTGTTGGTGGTGGTGGTGGCATTGATACTATTATTATTATTATTGCTGGATGGGACTGTGGATGAAGTACGGACAATCGTTTTGCGCAGTGCAATACTAGTGCTGGCGGTAGTGCTGGTTGCTTGTTGCTGCTGTTGCGATTGCTGCTGTTGTTGCTGCTGATGTTGTTGTTGTTGTTGGTATCTACTTACAGCTGCAGCCGGCACAGTTTGCAGACGGATCTGTGTGGTTGTGGGATGGTTTGTGGTGCTTGTCGTGTTGTTGTTATTGCTGGTGTTGGTTATAGTCTGTGTCACCGTCGGCGGACCCGTCGTCGTGCCCACGCGCAACAGCTGGAATCCGTTATCCGTCTTGACCAGCAATGCCGGGGTCTGACCCGTATTAAGTGTGCTTAAAGTTATCTAAAAGTAGAGAGAGAAGACAGAGAGACTCGGTTTTCATCTGCTGGAGTATGGTGTGTATGGTGTGCGTGAATGGTGGGCTGTGCACATGCGTGTTTGTGAGGAGCGTGGCTGGGTTAGGGAGTTCTGTGAGTTAGTAGGGAAGAACCCTCCACAACAACCGTAGTGATAGCATCATTATCCTTCATACTCACCGATGGACTCTGTGGTCTAACGCCCGCCATGTGGGAGTTGATCATCACACGGCTAATCGGGTTGGTGGGCACATTCTTCTGCTGCTGCTGCGACGGCGCCTGGTGGCGCATGCCCACCACCACGCCTGCCGGCAACATTGAGTTGAGCAGGGGCTGACCGGCCTGGGAAATACACGAAAATATCATTAGTCGATTAATCGTTCGTTAGTTTATCTCAGCACACTTTTCAAAGTCTATTTGGACCAGAGGATGCATTGAAAGGTTTGCGGGGTTCTAAGATAGCCTACATCATGCAGCAGTTGACTTAATCGCTCGTCAAAGGACCCAAAATAGTGCGGAAATAAGTTGTTTAACCGATTCTCTCAGTGCTAACCAAATTTGAAGGCGTGTGATCTACGATATTTGTTTTTATATAAAGCGAGCATCGAAAGCAAGAGTTCTACAAATGTTTTAGTTTGGATCTTGTGTAAAATAAAGTTGAGGTTGGGCTAGTGCGTGTTTTTTAATGGTAGTTAACGATTTGATCTTTTGAAAAATTTTCGGTTTCGGGAAAAGATACTTATAACAAAAAGTAGTTAAACTGCGTCATGTTCTAATTAAGTGAAATGACTATCGTACAAAATAAAAATTAAATGATTTAAAATAAAAGTATTGGAATGACTCAAATAAACGTGAACTAGTAAAAAGCACAGATAAATCATAGAATTTCCAAATTGACCCTAGACTCAGTAATACATTTCAGAGTTCATATTAGTGTATATAGGACATTTTTTAAAGCGAAAAATAAATAAAGCGAAACTAACCCCATTTGGGTAAGGATAAGGGATTTTCGGGCAGCGAGGCAGATGAAAGCATAATAAAAGTATACAACCAAAGTGTGTGCGGCCACTACTATCCGATTCGAGCGAGGAATTGAAAAGGTTTTGAATAAGGATCAGATTAGGACGAGGGATACGCCCGAGTTGCAATCGCCTAGTGCCCGAAGTGGGTTTAGCTTTAATATGGATACCTGATTGATGGTCTTGGTCATGGTTACGATTCCTGCTGGTGCACTTGAGACTAGACCCGCCGGCAGGGTGACAGCATGGTGGTTGGATTTAATAACTAGGGTTTGTGTTTGGGTGGCACCTACGGATTGCGTCTGCTGTTGCGACTGCTGCTGCTGTTGGACATGATGCACTTGCTGAAGTCCCTGATGTTGACCACCGATCCCCGCCTGGATCGTCTTGATGGTGGTGGTATTCGGCAGCTGGGCCGTGGAGATGACCGCGCCGGGATTGCCGGCTATGTTGATTGTGCCATTGGGCAGCGGCTGGCTGGTGAAGGTGATGCGATTGCCGGCAGCTGTCTGGCTGGTGTTCATCGTGCTGTGTGGTGTTTATGTTTTTGGCGAGTGTGTTCTTCCTCTGACTTCTGTGTGGTGGTGTGGGCGAGCGATCCTGTTCCGATCAACTAGTTGCGCACATCCTGTGTTGGTGTTGGCGGAGTTGTTGCATGCTGTGCGCTCCAGAAGCGAACTGCAATGCAAGGGGAGGCGCTTTTAGTATTTATACCAGATGATGTACGAGGTGGTGGAGAAACAGGTAAGTGGTGGAGGTGCTACCTGACCGCTGGCTACCTGGCGGTCGTGGGCCATAAACCAGGTGCTGCGGACACCTGGATGCCGCGCACAGGTAATCGCATTCACCTTGGCCAAAAAAGCGGGTGCTCCGCTGACTTGGTGCTGCGCTGGCTCACTCGCACTCGCCTTCGCCGTCACTGTCGTCGCCTTTCTCCTGGCGCATCCGTTGCAGTCGTTGTCGCGTGTGTGTTATCTCGCTAATTCTCTGCCTTTTGTTTGCTTCGCTATCCCTTTTCTACACTTTTCCCGATCGGCGGCTTTTCCTGCGCACACACACACACCCGCGTGCTCGCACGGACTGATTGTTGAGCACTGGAAGAATGCTTTATTTTGATTATTTTGATGTACAAAAAATTTGGCAGCGACGGTGCCAGAACGCCGCCATTTTCACGAATGCGCGTGCAAAGCGAAAATCGAGGGAGGCGGGCGTTGCCAGATACCGTGCGAAAAACACGTAACCAACATCTGGCAATGCTGCGCGTTTATGCGGGAGGCGAGTGCGCAATCTTCGTGAATGCACCAAGTTTAAAAATATGTTCAACTCAAAAGTGGAGCACTTCAAAGTTGTTGTTTTTTGTTAAGAAAATTTTGTATTTTTCGACTAACCACTTAAAAATATTGTAAACGAAAAAAAAAACGAATGCAACTTTTACATGTCTCAGCGGCAATATGGAGCATCGTGCCAACCATAGTATTAGTAATTTCTACTTTTGTGGCCAGCGGGTGGTGGCATAAACCCACGTCCGTGTCTGTACGTCTGTGTGCGTGTGTTTCAGTATCAGTTTTGTACAGCCTGCAATGTCGGGGGAAGTTTTCTGGGCTCTGCGGCAGATGCACTCACTTCAATTCATTTTGCCTTTAAACTCGGTGCACTGGGGCGCATTTTAAACGATTTCCCGTTGCGTTTCTCTGGCTATTTAGCCGAAAACCGAGTAAATATTGTTTACGGACCGCCGAGGTACGGACGAGTTGTGCAGTGTGACCGTTGTGGGTTAAATAACATCGTGTTAAACGCGATACCGAAAGAAAATACTAGATATAAAAATTGTGATTTGTGATTATACTAAATACCAAATATTTTCTAGTAACGGAAAAGTATTTCATAACGGGCAAACAATCGATAGTCGCATCTTAATACCGAATGAACGCTCCACCCCAACACGATTGTATTTTTTGTTAGTTTTTGGTATCTTGGATATGTTGACTTCCGCACAAAAGCTTTTCACGGGTAAATTAATTCTCTAAGTTGATTTATGGCAAAATCAGTAATTACATACTTACTTAGCTTTTTCATAAAAATGATAACCGATGCCAATTAATTATATTTAACTAATTAAATTAAATAAACAAATGAATAATGGTATATTTATAAAACATTTGCATAAATAAAAAGTGTTACCATAAGTATTTCTTAAAGTTCGGGTAAACGGTATAATTTTCTGATAACTCTGCGGTCACACTACTACCGGCGCATATAGACGGAGGAAAATTTTATTTAATAGAATTGAGGTAATTACAATTTCTATTAACTGTAATTTAGCCATGCGCATTTAGGGCGGAAGTACCGTTGGAAAAGAGTTCTCCACGTGTGCTCACTCGCATGTGGACTAGACACGCGAAAAGTGCGTCTAAAGTTGCAGGGTAAAAATCGATAGAGAAAAGCAGATGAAAAACGGATGGGAAAGTGGTGGGGGAGCTTCTTGTTCAACATGACGTGACTAAGACCACTTTGCCTTTACAGCTATAAACAGGCTATTACGCGGAAAGCACATATAAATTCCCAAATAAATCCGCATTCGAAGTCTCATAAATATTGACAGTCAGTCGGATAGGACAGCTAATGTAAGTAGAGCATGTGGTGGTGATGAGGGCAGATCCAAAATGCAAATGCCAATGGTAAACTAGTAAACCGCAAACAGATTGTCAAGCAAATTCGATTTCCGTAATTGCAGCACACCGACGACAATGGCCAACAACAACTACGCCGGGTTTAACTATGGCGGCACCCAGTACAATACGGGCCAGGTCTCGTACCCGGCGGTAACCAATGCCACCTACGCGAATGCGGCCGCCTATCAGAATGCCGCTGTGGCCGCCGGACAGGGTGGTTACGGCGGAGCAGCAGGAGCGGGCGCTGGCGCCCCCTCTGGCCCAGGGGCGGGAGGTTACGGTGGCTACGCCGACTACCGCAGTGCCATGCAATCGTACGACGCCTCCAAGACATTCTATCAGCAATCGTCGGCCAGCTACAACGCCTCCGGTTCGACAGCCTCGGTCAGCAAGACGCACTACTCGGCTCCGCCAGTCAAGAATCAGGTCAAAGGCAAGATGGACAAGTCGAATGGTGGTCCCAAGCCGCCTAGTTCGGCTCCTCCGGCGGGCAACAATTACAGTGGCTATGATACAGCCCTCTACAATGCGGCTAGCATGTATGTGGCCCAACAGCATCAGGGTAATCCCAACCAAAAGCCAAATGGCGGCGCCAATAACTGGTATCAGCGCAAGATGGGACCCACCATTCCGGGAGCTCCGGCCATAAGGGGTATGCGTCCCAAGGCACCTCCACGTCCCCAGCAGCTGCACTACTGTGAAGTGTGCAAGATCTCGTGCGCCGGACCGCAGACCTATCGCGAGCATCTGGAGGGTCAGAAACACAAGAAACGCGAAGCTTCGCTCAAGATGTCTGCTAGTGCCACCAGTACTACACAAAATCGTGGTAACAACTATCACTGCGAACTGTGTGATGTGACATGCACTGGCACGGACGCATATGCCGCCCATGTGCGCGGAGCCAAGCATCAGAAGGTGGTCAAGTTGCACCAGAAATTGGGCAAACCCATACCATCGGAGGAGCCCAAAAAGATGGGCAAAATCAACTTTGTGCCCGCTGCTGTTGGGGCTGGCGGGGCAGGAGGAGCTGCTGTTGTCAAGACCGAAGGCGGCGCGAACGAGAGCGACGCAGCTGGAGATCTCGATGATAACTTGGACGATTCGCTGGGCGAAAACACGGACAACATTAAGCCGGTGGGTGGCGAGTATATTGAGGAGGTCAAGGACGAAGAGGGCAAGATTTTGAGCTTCAACTGCAAGCTATGCGATTGCAAGTTCAACGACCCGAATGCCAAAGAGATGCACATGAAGGGCCGTCGCCATCGCTTGCAGTACAAGCGGAAAGTACAGCCAGATCTAGTCGTCGACTTCAAGCCCACTCCTCGCCAGCGTCGCCTGGCTGAGGCCCGTGCCAACCGGGCCATGATGTCCTCGCATCGCGGCGGTGATGATCACGACGGCGGCTATTGGGAGGAGCAGCGCAACCGACAATATAATGAAGAGTATGACTACAACAACTGGATGTCGCGCAGTTTCGGAGGTGAGTTCACGCGTTGTAATCCTTGGGGTGAAACAGTGCACTAGTTTAAATCAACACCCTTTTGGTAAGCTTAGGCAAAGGAATAAACATTTATATTAGGAAATCTAATCAATGAAGAACATTTAATTACGTAATAATTTTGCAGTGCTCTAATCGCAGTTGAAGATCTTAAAGATAAATAGCATTTTACGCGTAGAGTAATGTTGAAAAGTATTTAACAGGGAAAATTAAGTGTTTTCGCCCATATGAATTACATATATTCTTCATCAGGATCAAGAGCAGAGTCGATCAGGCCTTGTCCGTATGAACGTCGAGTTTTCGAAAATTATAAAAGCTAGTTAGTTAAGATTAGTCATACGGACTCTAGTAATGCTTACGCTGCGCAAGTTTGTTTCAAAACGTTTTCACCACTTAACGTTTGCCCACTATAACGCTCACAAATCCAAAACTGCAACGCCTACAATTTTAAATATTAATTTGATATTTTTCATAAGTCTTCTGAATTTATATCGTGTATCTTAAAATTTGTCAATAATCAATTTGAATTGCAGCAGATTTTATTCATTTAATAGGAATAAGATATAAAATTTAAAAACCGTTGATTATTCGGAACACAAATATACATTTCGAATTGCCATTGCAGGTGCCCAGCGTTTTGGGCGTATGGGCAATGGACCGCCGCCGCACTTTGGCATGATGCCCGGCGGAAATGTTCGGCGTCCGGAAAGCACCGATGATCGCCACGCCATTGCCCGTCACGCCGAGATTTATCCCAAGGAGGAAGAGCTGCAGACCATCCAGCGCATCGTCTCGCACACCGAGAGGGCCCTTAAATTGGTCTCCGATGCCCTGGCCGAGCAGCCCAGCGATGCCGGAGCGGCCAATAAGAAGGACAAGGCTGACAAGCCGTCGGAGAAAGACGGACGTGACAATCAGATCTTCTCGTTCCACAAGGACGCTGATAATGGTGGCAATGTCGTGCGCATCCTGAAGGGAGTGATGCGAGTGGGCTACCTGGCCAAGGGTCTGCTGCTCCACGGCGACAACGCCGTCGAGCTGGTCGTCCTTTGCGCGGAGAAGCCGACTTCGGGTCTGTTGCAGCGTGTGGCCAATGTGCTGCCCGACAAACTCAAGGAGGTGGCAGGTAAGTGCGATGGGGCAGATGCCAACGTAGAAATTGCATTCCACTATTCTTGAATGACATTTTGGTTGTCCTAATAAGAGGAACAGAAGAAAACTTTTTCCAGAGAAATGGCTTGAGTGATAAATGCGGCTGAAAAGCATCACTGAATCATGATCAAAACAAAAAATACATAAACACGTTCTTAGCTTGGCCAATTTCACACTGACCTGCGCAGGTGAATTTGGCCAAATTGGAAGCGGCTCAAACTAATCAACTAAAACTAATAAACGAAAACAAATCTATTTTCGGAGCGCTAAATATGCAAGATGAACGAACGCAACTCACGATACGTTCACTTTCGCTATTCATTACGTTCACGTTCGACGGGCAATTTGTGTGGAAAAAGTCAGCAAAATAAATCAAATTTAACTACATATATAAAATTATTGTACATATAAACTAGGACAACTAGAGTTGAGCCCTGTTGTTGCGGTGGATATAGATTGCCACGCCCGCCAAACCGCGCCCAACGCCCCAGCCAACATAGCAACTAATTGCGAATAAAAACGTATTTGCCGTTTTCAGCTTCTCTCTCTGCAGGATAAGTTTCGAGCCTCGAGCCTTGAGCCTTAGCCTAGAAGCTCTGTGAGTCTAGAGTCTTGAGTGTGTCGTTCAGTTAGCCATCTGTAGCTGTAGCTCAGCCCTCCCAGGTTGCTCCTCTTCCCGCTCGGCTGCTGCTGCTCCGCTCCACTCCAATCCAATCACCACCAGCGGATCGTCACGGTAACAAGCGCGGACTCGGTGCCACAAGTCCAGCCTCCTGCAGTCTAATGTGGTGTGGTGTCCTTGATGAAACAGTCAAAACCAAACTCTTAACCAACTGAAATTCGAACCAAAGGAATATATTTATACAAAGTTTGCGCGCCCTCGATTCGATTCCGGATGAAACTTTGTGTAAATAAAGTCCTTTGATGGCCTGGCCAAGAAGTTGAACAACACAACAACACGCCAAGAAGCAATGCGATTGATCCACACACGAGAATGCAAGTGCTTGGGCCAAAATTTCAGCGCCGATGTGCTGCCTCATCTTTCACTCGAAACCAAGCAAATATATCTATACTCTGTAAACTCGTATACATATATATGTGCAAGCGGCCGAATTGTGTGTATCAAGCTTGATTGTCCAATATAGAAAATATATATCTAAAAATGCAAACAAAAATTGCGACCGAAATTTGCGTTGCGCACCGTGAATGGAGAGTACTGAACACGAGACGTCTGGTCAACGTTTCCCGCAGCCATAAATTTCGTTCAATATTTTAATGCAAACTAACCAACAAACAAATCAAGATAATTCCGTTAAATAGTTCAAGTCGAAATTCAGTAAAATACAGAAGTGCGCGCTCTAAGTGGAATTGCAACGGGTGGATGACGCCGAGTCCGAGTCTCGAGCTTGCAATTCCGTTTACGAGGCCCCAAACGGAGATACCGATCCCAGCACGCAAGTCGAACGAATCTCCTGTTTGCTGGGAACAGAGCGAATACGAGGATCGTGGGAAGAAACAAACATTATTCGTGCTTTTCATACCGTGCATCAAGTCCCCATTTGAACAATATATATCTATATATTCAATTGTTGCTAATCACAATGTATACATACGTGTAGTTTGCGGGCCCACACTGGAATTTTGTTTCACCCACAATGTTTGTCTCTTTTTCCAAGTCGAATCTAGTATTTCGATGTTTTGAGCTTCCTTCAAAGACGCCTTTGTTACATTTTCTTCCATTGCTCTCTTGATTTCAGGCGACATTCCGGTCAATTACCGCGTGGAGGTCAATGCCGAGGAAGCCGCCCTAATTGTGCTGGACGAGGCTGTCTCGGTTAAGATTACCCTCACCTCGCCTTTGCTGCGTGATGCCAATCCCGGGGAAGTTTCCACCAGTGAAGAAGTTGAAGGCGATTCCGAATTCCTGGCTCGTGAGCCCTGTCTACGTGTAAGTAGCCCTAAAGAGCAACTAGAAAAGTCAGACTAATTATGAATATTTCTTAGGCTTTGGCTGATTTGCGTCACGCAAAATGGTTCCAGGCTCGAGCGACAGGCCTCCAGTCGTGCGTCATGGTCATTCGCATCCTCAGGGATCTGTGCCAGCGGGTGGTCTCCTGGCAGGCGCTGCCTCAGTGGTCCTTAGAGCTCCTCGTAGAGAAGGTGATCTCGTCGGCTGGCTTTCCCATCTCCCCCGGCGACTGCATGCGCCGCATAATGGAGGCCTTATCCTCGGGCTTCCTAATCAACGGACCGGGCCTGCTAGATCCCTGCGAGAAGGACCCCACAGACGCACTACTCGAATTAACCAAACAGGAGCGCGAGGATCTCACTGTGTCCGCTCAGCTCTTCCTGCGCTACATTGCCTTCCGCCAGATCTACAAAGTGCTCGGCATGGAGCCGTTGCCGGCCATGAAATTTCCCATGCGTCCATGGCGCGTCAACCGCAAGCGACGTAGGTCATCAGGCAAGGCAGGTGGTGCCCCCGGCACGGAAACCGAGTCCAATGACATCGATGAGACCGGCTCCGATGAGAAGGTGGCCAAGAAGGAGGGTGCCGGAGGCACTGCTGCCAGTGCATAGGCGGCGAGAATAGGTTATTTACACGTAGTCGGCTACTAAAATTACAATTTCTCTCAAGATAAATGCGCATCCAAGCGTCACTTAACTATAACCAACTCTTATCTGTACACGAGTATTCAAACCAATTTGGGCACAAGGAGCTAAGCATGTCCAACATGTTGCCCAATTGGCGATTAGTGAATCCCCATTACACGAACTTTAACTAACAATATTTAGCGGATCATAAAACTTGTATTTTTCTAGCATTAGTGCAAGGCAAGGCAATGTATTCAGTTTGAATGTGAACTTTTAGGCCCTCACACTCATTTACACAAATACAAGAACAAAGCGGATTTTAATAAAACGTATTGAACAATTATAATGAAATTATTTTTTTTAATAAAGCTAAGTTTAATCAATTTACAAAGCTCGAGTTCATCTTCTAAAGATAACTGGATACTGGGAATATTATTCGCTGAATAAATAAGTCTTAATAGTTTAGAAATTTGAATGAATGTCAGCATCTAATGACATTTAAACGGTGTCAAATTTGTATTTCGTTTCATGAGGTAAATATTTTTTAATAATTACAAAAAATCGTTCCATTTAGTGCAAATTTTCTTATTAACTGACGACATGTTTTCAGCAGAACGTTTGAAGGACCGTGGTCCTGTGCTTCTGCTTCTCTTAAAGTCCATCGAAATTTCGTCGGAAAGTTCTTCGGTTATCCTAGGTTCCGCTGCAGACTTTTGAGTGGTTTCAAGTGGTTTATCTACATAGTTTGCCCATTTATTTGTTTTTTTCTGAGGTGTAGTGTTTTCTTCGCTTTCCAGACAGTCTTCCTCCGCTTCGAGCTGCCGTTTTGCCGTGATGAATAAGCTGTTCTGCCTATCCTCCTGCATTCCGCGCTCCAAGTTGAGATGCTGCACCCTTACCCGGCATTCTGCTGCCGATCCTCGAAAAAATTCTTTAAGGACATTTTGCTTTTGCCGGCAAATTTTACACTGCCATGTTTTTGCTTTTTTCACGAAGTCCACCTTATGTAAATGAAGTATATATGTATGTAAGTAGTTGATGAGTTCTGATGTTTAATGGAGTTTATGCGCTAACCTGGTACATTTTGCATTGAATGCATTGTACCACGCGAATTTGCTGGGACATTTTTGAAATTTGTGAAAAACCAAATAAACAGACCAGGGATGGAAGCCAACAAATTCTGGAACCAGTGAACTAAATATTTGACCCAAATATTTTGTTGAAAAAATCTTAAAGCGAGAATTCCATAGTTTAACAAGCAGTATTATATATAGCAAAATTGTAATTCTTGAATTATTGTACCTATGGCTTATGATTTAGCAGGGTGCCGATTCCGGTTCAAAAGTGAACCAATCGAAGGCCAATCGCTTCCCATCCCTGGACAAAATATAAACAAACTTGCATCGTTTAGTCGGCATTGACGGTTTACAAAATGCGATTGGTAAGTATAGTTGCTAAATATACTTAATCAGCGGAAGTGACTCCCCACTTTGCAGTATTGTCTCAGCGGGGACCTGGCCAAGCCATGTTACATCATTACCTTCAAGGGTCTGCGAATAATGCTGGACTGCGGTCTCACGGAGCAGACAGTCCTGAATTTCCTTCCGCTGCCCTTCGTCCAGTCCCTGAAGTGGTCCAATCTGCCGAACTTCGTGCCCAGCCGGGATCACGATCCACAGATGGACGGTGAGCTGAAGGACTGCTGCGGTCGGGTTTTCGTGGACTCCACGCCGGAGTTTAATCTGCCTATGGATAAAATGCTGGATTTTAGCGAAGTAGATGTGATACTTATCTCGAATTATCTAAATATGCTGGCCTTGCCGTACATCACGGAGAACACGGGGTTCAAGGGCAAAGTCTATGCCACGGAGCCAACGCTGCAGATCGGCCGCTTTTTCCTGGAAGAGCTGGTTGACTACATTGAAGTTTCGCCCAAGGCCTGCACCGCTCGTCTATGGAAGGAGAAGCTCCATCTGTTGCCCAGTCCCTTAAGCGAAGCCTTTCGCGCCAAGAAGTGGCGCACGATCTTTAGTCTTAAGGATGTCCAAGGCAGTCTGTCCAAGGTGACCATCATGGGCTACGACGAGAAGCTCGACATCCTCGGGGCGTTTATCGCCACTCCTGTCAGTTCTGGATACTGTCTGGGCTCTAGCAACTGGGTACTGAGCACGGCCCATGAAAAGATTTGCTATGTCAGTGGTTCCTCCACGTTGACCACACATCCTCGGCCCATCAATCAGTCGGCGCTGAAGCACGCCGATGTACTCATTATGACCGGACTGACGCAGGCGCCGACAGTCAATCCGGACACGAAGCTGGGCGAGCTCTGTATGAATGTGGCCTTGACGATCCGCAACAATGGGTCTGCTTTGATTCCCTGTTATCCATCGGGCGTTGTCTATGACCTCTTTGAGTGCCTCACACAGAATTTGGAAAACGCCGGCCTCAACAATGTTCCCATGTTCTTCATTTCCCCAGTAGCAGACAGTTCCTTGGCCTATTCCAACATCCTGGCCGAGTGGCTAAGTTCCGCCAAGCAGAACAAAGTGTATATTCCCGACGATCCTTTCCCACATGCCTTTTACCTGCGCAACAACAAGTTAAAGCACTATAACCATGTGTTCTCCGAGGGCTTTAGCAAGGACTTCCGACAGGTAGGGTTTGTCTAGAATAAATGTTTTTTTATCACACATACTTTAAATTCTCTTGCTTCCTTACAGCCCTGCGTGGTCTTTTCTGGCCATCCTAGCTTGCGTTTCGGCGACGCTGTTCACTTCATCGAGATGTGGGGAAATAATCCTAACAACTCCATCATATTCACGGAGCCAGACTTTCCGTACCTGCAAGTACTGGCGCCGTTCCAGCCACTGGCCATGAAGGCTTTTTACTGTCCCATCGACACCTCCCTGAATTATCAACAGGCCAATAAACTGATCAAGGAGTTGAAACCAAATGTCCTTGTCATCCCAGAGGCGTACACAAAACCACATCCCTCGGCCCCAAATCTGTTCATTGAACAGCCGGATAAGAAGATAATAACGTTCAAGTGCGGCGAGATTATACGCCTGCCATTAAAACGGAAGCTGGATCGAATCTACATTACCTCGGAATTAGCCCAGAAGATATCGCCAAAGGAGGTGGCGGCCGGCGTGACTTTCTCCACGTTGACGGGAGTTCTGCAAGTTAAGGACAAGGTCCATTGCATCCAGCCATGCGCGGATACCATTAAAGAAGAGACCATCTCAAGTAATAGCGCTCCGACCAAGGAGGATGTGCTGAAGAACGTCAAATACGAGTATGGCAGCATCGATGTAGAGGCAGTCATGAAGAGGCTGGCGCAGGATGGCTTCTCCAACATCAAGCTAGACCGCACAGGCGGCGCTCTGACACTGAACCTTGTCAATGAGGACACAGTTATCAAGTTCGAGGAAAACGAGACCCACATTATCTGCGGCGGAAAGCCAACGACTCGGCTCAAGCTACGCGACACCATCATGAAATGCCTTCAGAGTTTTTAAAAACATAAATGTATTCCTTACACTTAAAAAACAACATGCTTAGTTCTTTGCATTCATAACGTTAGAGCATCGTTGACAGGTTTTCTGCTCATCCCCCAGACCATAGCGACGGCAACGCGGGCACAGTGATGTCTGAAGTGTGCTTAGAGCAATGGCCAAGTCGTCATTATTGGACTGCGACAGAGTAACTGACCCCACTTGCAGTATCTCGCATAATTCAGAATTGCTGAAAGCCTCTCCAAGGGGCCTGTGAAGTTCTCTCAGCAAATCCAGCTGGCCGCTTTCCTTTCCTTTGATGGTCACGGCCAAGTGCCAAGAGTTAACATCGCCAGCCTGCTGGTTGATAAGACGTTTAACACCGAACGCTGCGTTTATCGCTTCAGTGGCTTTGTTGTCCCGCCATTCAGGTTTAGTCCGAACAATCTGCTCATGGAATGCAGCATATGTAGTGTCATAGTAGCTCCAGCTTTCCTCCACGAGGAAGGGAACAATGGGCCATAAGCTCTTGCAGAGTTGTTGGTAACAGTGGCTAAGAGTCTGACGAATGGCCAGTATTTCCTGATCATCACCACAATAAAGACGGTCCTTGATGAGATGCACATAGACGGCGGACACCTGATTGGCAATGAAGTTTTGAACATAGGCCACAACACGATTATACTCATAAGCATTGTAAAGCTTCTCCACCTTAAAAGCGAATGACATGATTATATGAAAAACTGGGCTTAAAACAGTTTCCTACCTCAGATTCAAACTCAACCAACTCGCTTAACAAATAACGATTAAGATAGCTCTTATCTGAAGTTGGTATTAGCTTCTCCGCCGATTGTTTCTCTCCAATTACGCCCTTTAAATACCGCAGAGTCCCACGGACCTTGCCCAGATTTTCTGCCGCCTGCTGCAGTAGCTTGTCGCTAACCGTAATGGACATGTGTTGCGTTCCATGGGAGGCCACCCACCAACGCAGTGCATCCGTCCCATACTTTTTGGTAATCTGCTTCGGGGAAATTACGTTACCCAACGATTTTGACATCTTGTATCCCTTTTCATCCACTGTGAATCCGTGAACAAAGAGGGCCCTATTTGATATAAAGATGGAGATAAAGAGGGTTTCCTTAAAATATTGCGTATTCACTTACTTATAAGGGGCACATTCCCGAGCAGCAATACTCATTAGAAGGGAAGATTGAAACCAACCGGTAAATTGATCATAACCCTCAAGATACAAATCGGCTATCTTATCCTTCCCCAGCACAGCAGACCATGTGCTGCCAGAGTCGAACCAGATGTCCAAAATGTCAGTGCCCTTGACAAGATCTTTGGCTTCACACCGAAGCTCACGAAGTAAATTAGCAGGAACAAGCTCCTCCACGGATTTCACCCACCAGAAGTCGATTGATCCCTCCTGGCGCAACAGATTGCAGAGATGTTCTATGAGAGTGGAGTTAAGTACCACTTTTCCGGAATCCCGACTATAGAGTACAGGAATGGGAACGCCCCACGCTCGCTGCCTGGAGATGCACCAATAGGGTCTCTTCTGGAGTTGGGTGAGCAATGCCTTCTTGCTGGCGTCAGCATTGGCTCTAGGATAAATTTCAACTTGTTCCAAGGCGTCGGCAGCAGGCGACTTCAGCTTTTCGGTATTAATGAACCACTGTTCGCTGGCACGAATTATCACAGGCTTTTTTGTGCGCCAATCTATGGGATAGGAATGTTCCAGCTTGGAAGAGTGGACTACATCCTCTGCTATGCGTTCGAGGACTAGGGAATTTCCCTGATCCAACACTGATTGTCCGCGTAGAAAATCAGGAGCTTCCTTGGTGTACGTGCCCTCCTCATTCACAAAACATTTAACATGAATTTTTTGGGTCAGACTAACAAGGAAATCTTCTGGTCCATGGGCCGGTGCTGTGTGCACCAAGCCAGTTCCTTTGCTATCCTGCACATGACTGGCTTCGAAGAAGGGAAGATTCGCTTGTTCTTTGTCAATTGGATGATTATAGCTCAGCTTGCTCAAGGATTCTCCATTCAAATGCTGCACTATCTCACATTTTAGCTGAGTATTGGCCTCAAAGTCCGCCATAAGAGCTGAAGCCATGAGGTATAGCTCATCCTGGTTGCGATCCGACAACCTAACTAGAACGTATTCCAAAGAGGCATTGTAACAGATGGCTTGGTTACTCGGCAAGGTCCAAGGAGTTGTGGTCCAGACGAGTGCATAAATTTGCTTATCCTTTATATCAAAGCTACTTGGACTAATAGCAAATCTCACATATACTGAGGGACTTATGTGATTGGCATCATATTCCAGCTCCGCCTCGGCCAGGGCTGTCCTAATAAAATATTAGATAGTATAGAAGTATCCTTTTATGTTGGCTTCAACTCACTTGGATGACGGTGACCAGTAAACTGGTTTTAGGTCGCGATAGACCAGTCCTTTCTCATAGAGATTGTAAAACATTTGCAATTGATTGACTATAAACTCTGGTTGGAAGGTCATGTAGATATTATCCTTCTGCCAGTTAGCCAAAATGCCCCAGCTGCTGAACTCCTCCTTCTGCGATCTAATGGCGTCCAAAGCAAAGGCACGAGCTATAGGAAATAATAATGTAGGAATATTAGGGAATCTATACAAATGGAAATAACTCACATTTTTTGCGGATTTCTTGAGCACTCTGATTTTGAGCAGTGCTTGTGGCCTTCAGTTCTATTGGCAGGCCATGACAATCCCAGCCAGGAATGTAGTTGACCTGCTGACCATGTGCTACCCGCTGGCGCAGTGTGATATCTTTAAGGATCTTGTTGACGGCGTGGCCCATGTGGAGTTCTCCGTTGGCGTACGGCGGTCCATCGTGAAGGACGAAGGTGGGTTTCCCTTTCTCCGCCAGTCGCTGCTCCTGGTACGCATATGATACTGCAATCTTCTTCTGCGAAATATAATGTGCTACAATTAGATCTGGTTACTTCACATATCCAAGAACCTGCCTCCAGAACTAGACGCTCTTGTTCCTCACGTTTTGCTGCGGTCAGCCGGTTCGGAAACTTGGTCTTTGGTAGGTTGATGGTGTCAGTGTATTTTATGGCATCCTTCTTGGCCGCTTTCACAGAATATAAGCGATTTCCAACGCGGAATTTGAAAATCCTAAGCATTTTGCTGCCGAATAAGAAGAAGAGACAAAACGTAACAACAGCCGGCAAAGTGGAAATCATATGGTATTGTAGAACATAAGCACTGTTCACACAGCGCGCGATGTGGATCGTAAGTTTAAAATTTAATTGGTTCTTTAATTGGTTCTTTAACTTTTGCGCAGCAATATTTAGCATTTACTGAAAGCTTGTTTTATAAATTGAATATAGCAATGGAATAATTTTCCATGTACATTAAAAATTAATATAGAATAAGCTAGGTTGATTAAAGGAACATTATATTTTAGTATAATAAAAAATTTACAAATGTAGAATTCGTATATTAATTTTTAAAGGGTAGTCGGGTTGCTGGAATCGGTATGCAAATGCCCTAATCTTTCTTTTCCGGCTCTTTAGGCTTGTCATCCTTTGATTCATCCTTTTTGGCTTCTCCCTTGGGCGGCTCATCCTTCTTGACCTCCTCTGGCTTTACCTCCTTTTCGTCCTTTTTGCCGTCCTTGTCGTCCTTCTTGTCTTCCGCCTTGGCTGGAGGTGCATCCCCTGACATGGTGGCGGCCAGTTGGTTGGCCTTGGCCAGCACCTCTTCGGCATCCCCGACCATGTAGAAGGCAATCTCAGGGATATCGTCGTATTCCCCATTTAACAACCGCTTGAAGCCGTCCACACACTTCTCCACAGGCACGAGCTTTCCCGGATGTCCAGTGAAGATCTCAGCCACTTGAAACGGCTGCGAAAGGAAGCGCTGCATCTTGCGGGCCCTGGCCACCGTCAACTTATCATCTTCGGACAGCTCATCCATTCCCAGGATGGCGATAATGTCCTGAAGCGACTTGTAGGCCTGCAGAGTTTTTTGAACTGCTCGAGCCACATTGTAATGCTCCTCGCCTACAACATCGGGATCGAGGATGCGGGACGAGGAGTCCAAGGGATCCACAGCCGGATAAATACCCAACTCAGCAATGGGACGTGAGAGCACGGTGGTAGCATCCAAATGCGAAAAGGTAGCCGCCGGAGCAGGATCACTGAGATCATCGGCGGGGACGTAGACCGCCTGGACGGAAGTGATGGAACCGTTGCGGGTACTAGTGATCCGCTCCTGCATTGTGCCCATGTCGGTTCCCAAAGTAGGCTGATAGCCCACCGCCGAGGGAATGCGCCCGAGCAGGGCCGACACCTCGGATCCCGCCTGGGTGAAACGGAAAATGTTGTCAATGAAGAGCAACACATCCTGCCCGTCTACGTCACGGAAATACTCGGCGATGGTCAGTCCGGTGAGAACCACCCGAGAGCGAGCGCCCGGTGGCTCATTCATCTGACCGAAGACCAGAACCACCTTCGAGGACTCATCCTCCAGGGATATGACCTTGGACTCAATCATCTCGTGGTACAGATCGTTGCCCTCGCGGGTTCGTTCTCCTGCGCCTACGAACACTGAGTAACCGCCATGGGACTTGGCTATGTTATTGATCAGCTCCATGATGAGCACCGTCTTGCCGACGCCGGCGCCTCCAAACAGCCCGATCTTGCCGCCCTTTACGTAAGGAGCCAGCAAATCAATCACCTTGATGCCGGTGACCAGGATCTCTGGCTTCACACTTAAATCGGTCAGCTCCGGTGCTTCGTTATGGATAAAGGAGTAGAAATCTGACTTGATCTCACCGCGATCGTCGATGGGATCGCCCACCACGTTGAGGATACGTCCCAAAACGGCCTTGCCTACCGCCACACGGATGGGGTAACCCGTATCGATTACCGGCTGACCACGACGAAGCCCTTCAGTGGAATCCATGGCCACGCAACGGACGATATTGTTGCCCAGGTGGTGGAATACCTATGCAATCAGAAATTGGTTAATAAAGGTTAAGTTTTGTTATCGCACAATTTATATATGATATAGTATTAATGAAATGTATGTATTTTTGATGGACTTCAAACATCCGGCAAAGACTTAAAAAATTTTAAATTTATTATTTTTAAAAAAAATAGATAATAAATATTTTGCAAAACTTTTCAAATGTTTTAAAGTTAATGGGCCTTAATAGCGTCAGTCTAAAAATTGGATAGTCCTTTGACTTACCTCCAGTACCAGGTTTTCAATGGGAGCATCCTGCACCTGAAGCGCATTGAGAACCTCTGGAACCTCCTCCTCGAAGTACACATCGATGACAGGTCCGATGACAGCATGGATGACACCCTTGCGACCCTTGCTATCCAGCACCTTGCCTCCTCCGTCCGACTTCTTCTCATCACATTCATCCTCGCGTTCGTCCTTCTTCTTGACCAGTTCCGCGTCCGTCTTGCAGACGTCCTGTGGTTCAGGCTCGCACTCATCGCCCGACTTCTTATCCTTGTCATCCCAAAGGGACAAGGAGGCGTGAAGGTAGCGGGCATGGCTGGGCAACTTCCAAAGATTACCAAGATAGTTGGCCTGATGACCCCCGGTTCCCGGGCCCATCTTTAAGCCAATCCTTGCACATGCTGACATAGTTTTTATTTTTTTAGAGAAAGCAGATCATGTGAAATCTGTTTATTCTTCTTACCTGAAGCCATTTTTGCCCATGATGCCAACATTTTTACTTGCTATTTTTCTTTCGCTGCTAGACGTCTTCGCTGCAAATCCAACTTGCTTGTAATGACAGGTGACAGGTGACAGCAAAGCCTCCTAAAACATGGTATTCAAGGATTTGTAATATGCAATTTTTAATGGGTTGTCACCTATTTATTTTAAGGCCTTTTTCTTTTCTAACACTTCCCAGAAGTTTATGTAAGTATTTGAACGTTTTGTTCAGTTTACCCATCATTGCAAAATGCAAACTTTTAAGCTTTCGCAAAAAAAATAAAAATATTAAAAAATATAATACATTAATTTATAATCATAAAGATTAATCATAAAAGCAAAGATAAAGCTTAGAAACATAATTGATCTTCAGATAAGTTCCCCAATATCTTTTTTTAAGGGTTGAGGCGGTTGGTTTCCTAGGATACCGATTGCCACAAAGTATTGAAGCCAAAACAGTAACATTTTAAAGGTTAAGAAAAATGGACGTACTATCGCATTACAGCTCACCTGTGGTTGAATTTCCGGCAACACAGCCGTTGGAGAAGCAGCACGCCCTGGTGGACAACTGCACGGGCACTGACCCATCGCCTCCTAGCAAAGACGCCGCCACGGGAACGAAGGAGAAGCTACATGTGGCCACACAAACGGAACGACGAGTAGTCAGCAGTAAGGATGTGGAATACGATGAGAGGGCTTTGGCCAAGTGGCTACGACAAATCTGTCCCATGGTAGAACGGGAGCTTATGAATCCCACTCTTCTGATGGAGGATCTAACGATGAGTCAGTGTCGCTTGGAGGAGGAGCTGCAGGTGTACACGTACCAGAAGTTGGCAATGGGTGGTGCGGACAACTCGCAAGGATTGGCCATCTGGCTGTGTGTGCATACCAATAATGCCCCAGTTCTGGTGGCCACCACGGTAGCTCCCCATGATGACTGGTGCGAGCATGTGGATCAGCACCTAAAACTTTTTGTGCCCCAAAGAATGTCTAACAGAAACTTGGTGATGTACACAGAGGCCAAAACTCTGCCTCTAAAATCATGTTTGCGAAGTCTATGCACAAATCCGTTCGACAAAACCATGTTCGCTGGTTCCACCATGGATGGAGAGCTGTTCGTCTGGTTATATAAGCAGGCGAGGGGTTCGGATTCCAGCGTTGATATCAAACAGCTTTACAGTGTATCCTCCACCCAGGGAGCTGCAGTGGCTCTGGACTGGCCGAGGGAACAGCTTCTGTTGGCCTGCTATGCCAATGGCAGCGTTCGACAGTGGGATTTGAGCAGGCAGATGGCTCTGGATTGGGAGTAAGGCGCTCTAGTCACTACACGGAACTTTTTCGGACATTAATCTTAAATATCCTTCAATTAATTCCACCAGGTACTCCCTTCCCGCAACGGTTACCTCAGAGCCCACGGCAATGCTGACCCTTGGACTGGATGATTTCGTCGTGGGCACTAACGATGGTGGCGTCTATCGGTGCTGGAACACCGGGCGCCAAACCGCAGCCACTAAGCAGATCCAATTGTTGGCCCTACGACGACATCTTTTCATGGTGACCACGCTGATTCGTACTGAAATGGAAGGCAACCAGTTCGTCCTGAGCTGCGATCTCAGTGGGCAGGCCTTCTATCACGATATGCGTCTTGTGGATGAGGTTATTACGTGGCAAACAAACCAGCGGAACATGATTTATTTGCTCTTTATTACTGTACAGGATATGACTCAGTTGATAGTACAAATTCCACTACCCTTTAAAAACGTAATCGCCAGCAGCCGGGATGGGAATATCATCTACTGCCCAGCCAATGATGGATCACTGGAATACTATAGAGTGAGTGATGGAGCACACGCCCACGTCAAGGGCGGACTTCGCGGCAAGGGAAGCCTTATTCGAAGTAGCGACAATGGGTGAGCAAATTACACAACTAAATCATTAAAACGACAATTGTAAACAATCTTTGTCTTACAGACGCTGGTTAATTGCAGGCCTTTATGGCGATGAATTCCAGATATTTTACGTTGAATATTAAAATCCAATTCAAGATTTGGTTCTCTGTTTTGAAATAATCTCTTGTATTTGCATGACTGCTTATGTTAATATGTACGGTTTTATCTTCTCTTATCTTGCTATATACACAATTTTTATTTTAAAATTTCTCAGATCTCTAACAAATACCACATGTAAATATAGACTATGTATTTCATAAACAAGAGATATCTGTGCAGAATTTTGAACAAAATGCAAAAGCGAAAAGCCATTTCGAAAATTTGGAGTAAAACAAGACTGCTTTCTATGTGGGAATCTCGTTAAAACCGCGTTTTCACTTATGATTCACAAAGTAAAAAGTTCCTTTTACAACCATAGATCTTGATTAAGCTGTAGGTGAACATAAAAATAAAAATATGCTGTGTTGAAAAGTGCTTCAATGACATAATTACAAAATGGCAATAAATGAATACACTAATCTTTTATAACCATTTGCCTACAGTAAAATAAATTATACAATTAACATTAACGAGATATATGCGATATATAAATATATAATAGAACTGCACACAATTTTGCTAAATCTCTCGCGTTCGAACGTCCGATCCTATCTGTTTCAATCACGCGATACCACTCTAATCCATTTCAGTCCACTTTACGTCCACTCGTTCAACTTTTCACTTAAGCTTAGATTGCAATCTGCATTTTGCACATAGTTCACATAATAATAACTAGAAGCAGCGCTCGCCCAGCTTCTGATTGGCTGATAAATTCAGTTGAAGAGCACCGTATTGGGGTCTTCGTTATCCATCTGCTTCACGTGGCGCAGGACATCTTTCTTGGTAATTACTCCTAGTAAGCGACTGCAATGGAATTTAGATTTGATAACTTGAAACTTGTTAAACTGCTTCTGGCTAGAAACTCACCCGTTGTGTGTAACTAATGTTTGGCGAAGGCCAAGCTTTCGGAACATGTCCACTACCGTTTCCATTGGCGTTTGATCCGTTACTGTAATCGGTGCCATGTCCAGGATCTTTTTCAGCTTCAGCGGCTGGGGTCCCAGATTTTGAATGGGCTGGGATGATGTGAACAAAACTATAGAGCTGCTGCTAATGCCCTCGATCAGACGCTTGGCATTGCCTGTAAAAATATTTATATTAAATTATGGAATATGAGCTCGTTGTTACACGGGACTCACCTATGGCCAAGTTAAGATCCCTGCGCAACACAAAACCCACTAAATATTGATTCTCCCGCGACACCACAACTGGATAGCCATTGTGTTCGGTCTCTTTAAGAAGGTTCTCCACATCGTCCACCGTCATGGAGTCTTGGGTAATGACATTCAGAGTTTCATTCCGTCTAAAATGATGTATTTGTTAGATCATTTTTAGGATAATTTGTGTTCATTATACTTACTTTGGTTGCATCACATCTGCGGCCAGTGTTGTATGCGCAAACTCTTCTTTGCTATCTAGGAACGGATAACCATTCAGCGCTATGTGCGCATCGTAGATACCTTGCCTGCCGAGAGCATCACCCACCCACTTGGACGCCATGGCAGCAGCCATCAGGGGCACAATATACCTCACTCCGCCTGTCAATTCGAACATGATCACTACCAGGGAGACGGTCATTCGAGTGACACCTCCCAGCACAGCAGCTGCTCCCACAACCGCATACAATCCGGGAGTGATAAGATTGCTGTCCGCGCATTCGCCGGTGAAGAACCAAATGTTGGGGTAGCTGTAGGCAAACTGTTCCACGCCGATTCCCACAATGCGGCCCATGATGGCGCCCAGCAGCAGGGACGGAATAAACAGACCAGCGGGCACTTTCATGCCAAAAGTAAAGATGGTCAGGGCCAGTTTAAGTATAAAGGTGAGCATCAGCAGCCAAATGGAGCTGTATACACCGGGACCTGGTTCCGTAACCTCAATGAAAGTGTTGCCCGACGTTATGTTCATGCGCTTGTAATCACTGTAGGGAAATAAATATTTAATATAATTATTATTAATTTGTTATAAAATATATTATTTTAAATAATAATTTTTCAAAAACGTACCACAACGGATTGGTGACATCTCCGGGTGAGCACTTGCTCACCAATAGGAATATCAGCTCGTTCATGTTCATACGGGTGAATGGATTGGGGTAGCAAATAATGGCAGTGACCAGGGTCACAAAGAGCACTTCCATTACTGGATACTGGCCAAGCTTGCTGAACTTCCTGTAGCGGCACCAAAACAAATTGGCCTTGATGAAAAACGTGCCAATAACACCCTGTAATAGTTATTTTAATAAAACGTAGTACTTCAAAATTACATTACACCTACCCCCATAATTCCGAGGAAAACAAAAGGAATAAGTTCGAAAAAGATCCAGGGCTTGTTGTACTCCACGAAAAAGAGCACGGAATGCTCGTTGCCAAACGGAGTTAGCGATCGTAAAACGAATGCGGCGATCAATGCACAAAAGAATGAGCGCCACAATGTCTTCAGTGGGAAATAGTAGGACACTTCCTCCAGGGAAAACAGAACTCCACCGATTGGTGCTCCGAAGGCCACAGAGACGCCTGCAGCTGCTGCTGCCGAAAGAATCTCACGCTTCTTCGCCTCATTTCGACCGTATTTTGGGAAAACGTGGGAAAATATGTTTCCAATACAACTGGCAATGTGGACCATAGGACCTTCTTTTCCCAAAGTGAGGCCGGCGGACACGGACAGCATCAGACCCACTGATTTGATTAGCAGCGTCCATTTTCCTAGGTAGCCGCGTATGATGAAGCCCGACAAAATGGTCTTAATCTCTGGAATACCAGATCCGCAGGCGTAGGGCGCAAACATTCGCACAAGGGAGGCGCTGAGGGAAGCAAATAGCAAAGCCCACAGCACATACCAGATATAGGCGACGATATATGGTCCGGTGCCATTTCGATCCAAACCGAAGATCTCTGGCCAGGTTTTCCACTGAAATTAAATGCGGTGTTAATGGCTTATTTATAAGAATATGTTGTTTCACTCACCGTCGAGCAGTTGCCTTCTTCAAACACCGACTGTTTAGCCGGATAGCAGCATTGTTCCCTGTTAAACCAAAAGGCGGGTGGGCAAATGCCATGCTTTAGATCCGACATCCAACTGGCTCCAATGTCCACCATGCCTGCAACACAGCCTGCTGCAATTCCGACGAGTAAAACACATAGCCAGCCAGATCCGGCATCAATGGAACCCTAAAATAAAATGTTCGATTAGTAAAGTGTATTTAAAATCATAAACGATCTTATACCTTTATCAGATCCCACAGGGAGTCCTGTCGCTTCTTGACTATGTAGCGATGTCGCATACGATCGCGGGCAATGTCCCGCTGCCAATCAATGGTGTGAAAATCTTCGTACTGTCCAATGCCAGGAATATCATCTTGTACGTCCGAGGAACCATAGAAGGATAGTGCTCCTATAGCAATGAACAAAAATATAATAAACATTTTTGATTTGACACCGTAAGCTCTGATTCATATTTTCGTAGTTTACAATTGATTACTTTAATTCTAATGGTTTGGTCTCAAAGTCCAAAGAGAAACAGAGCCCTATAAGCACTAGCCCAAAAATTCTACGTATTTTACTTGTGATTCATTTGGGTGTCGAGATGAATAGCGTTTGACGTTTTCTGATACATGGCTTTTAATAACAATTTAACCTGATTTATCGAATAAAATTAGTTGATTCTTATAGACATTGAACGTTTTAGCTTATTGCTAACATAATAATTTCCCTGTGATTGAAATAACCATAACATATGTGAATAAGTATTTACTCAACAAGTATAATTCATTCCTTTTTGTTTAGATAAATAATTCCCAATAGAAATGCCAGCTGGTTGTTTAGACAACTCAGTGATTATTTTGCTAAATTTGCATCACGTGTGTTAACCGTGGCTCTGTGGTGGTGGTTATATTAATATACGTATATCGTGAGTTTAACTGGTAGACACCACAATACATGTTTGTATGCTAATGATTGTACATATTAATTGAATTGCCCAGGCAGAGAGTACAGCTGTGAGCCACGCTACCGAATATTTAGAACCGGCAGAGAGGGGAGGTGACGTCGCCTTACTCAAATGATCGTGATCTTGATTAAAGCCACACACAGCGACGGTGGATACTTTACGCAATGGATCTCTCTGAACTTACCGTCCATGGGATCGCCGAAGGCACTGTGAGTTGGCACATGCTGGTGCATTGTCCGCTGATTGTGGTGATTGCCGCCGCCGCTGCCGCCAGAGTGTCCGAAATCTCGTTCGGTGTCCGATTCGGTGGCCGTTTCCCGGTGATAGCCACTGCTGCTTCCTCCTCCGCCGCCGCCGATCACATCACCCGGACTGGAGCGCGGTGTGATGTCGATCATGTCCTCGTCGTCGGTTCCCGCCGCCGTCAGCGAAGTGGTCAGTTTGGCGTGCTGCGCTAGCGGGTGGTCACGAAAAGTTCCGTCTAGGTTACCGTCTCCGCCGGCTCCGTTTGTGTGGCCGTTCGACTGAATATGCGAAATAAACGAAAAGCTATAAGATAAGGTTTGTGAATTTGGAGAGCTATCCTCTAACGCTTTGTTTACGCATACGCAAGATAAGATTATGATCTCGGGCAAAGTGACACAGTTAAAATAATATACACATCTGTACGTTGAATTGAAAGCATTTCCGCCCCCTTACTGTGTAATCAGAGGTTTCGCCCTTATCCGGGAAGTTTGAGCAGTCTATTCAAATTAAATGTGAACCGAAAGTTTGCAAATATTCGATTACTCTTTGGATAGAAGAAACTCCTGTGTTGGGCTTTGTGCCATTTCTGGGAAACTAAATCTCACAGGAGTAAGGATTAAAGGATTTTAAAGTACACAAAATCCCCTTTTGAAGTGTAAATTTAAATGACCGTGCTGTAAGAACAGCTATAAGTATTTTTCCGCACATTTATCTAAAATTAAGCCGCATTTACGTTTTTCAACAGACATTTGTTCTGCTGCGAAGTTGAAGGGGAGAAATCCCTGTGGGTTTTATGGTGGGCTACCTTTTTCATGACCGTTTGGTAGGCGGTTATGTAGCTGTTGCCCTCCGCGGCGGCCTCCCTGCTGCCCTTCAGCGGAAACTTCTCCATCCTGCGTTCAGGCGATCCTACGTGGGCAATTTCTATGGATGGCTATCCAATATTTTGGGTTCCCTTTTTGCGTTGCAGTCCAGCAAAGCGGCGTAGCAGCAGCGCAGTTGCAGCGCAGCGAGCGCACGTCACTAAGTACAAACACACACACGCACAAACAACTGTTCGTGGGGCGAATCGGCAATGCAATCACTTTCTTTCCATTTCACTCGTTTCGCGGATGTGAACTCGATCTCATGGGCATAACGATGGGTCGAACATGTATTTGATTAACTATATAGTACACATTACTTTTGTAAAGTGCTTACTTTTGTGTGCAAATAATTTATTTGCGAAGTGCCAGTGTGACCAGAGCGGGCGAGCTAACGGAATACCGAATATAAAGTATCGAACAGAAATCGATAGCATTCGCGATAGGTATGATATCCTGACGCGATCACTCTGTTCAATGAAAAAATGCAGACGCGCGAATTACTTGCAAACTCAACACCAAACAAGTTTAAATTTCATCTAAAAGAGAACCATAGTGTTCACATACACTAAAGTGCAAGGATTCCGCCATGTCCTATCAAAACGTACTATGGATTGTACTCACGGTGCAGTTGAGTTTTGGTCTTGGTTATTTTGAAAATAACCAAAGGACGCAGGACTATGATGTCGATAAAAATGGTTCTGTACACCACAAAAACTGGGTGCGTGACGAAATGATGGATAGCTTGGGAATGTACTGGCTCAAATGGTGGATAAATGCCAACGAAAATAGCATTTACTTCGAAGTTACTGTTCATACGCGAGGCTTTGCCGGCCTAGGTTTCTCCAAGGATGGCCGGCTGGCCAGAGCGGATATGGTTCTATTGTGGGTGGATGACGCCACAGGACATGCGAACGTGTTGGACTGCCATGGGGCGAGCGGACCGCCGCTGCAGGACGATACACAAAACTACGATGTCATAGATGGCAAACAAAATAGGACGCACACTTTCCTAAAGTTTAAACGTAAAATTGAAACCTGCGACCCATTCGATATTCCACTTTCGGTAAGTTCTCTTCACAATCGATTGTAACTGAATATGACATTATTAATTTCTTTCGAAGGCTGATACGTTTAAGGTACTGTGGTCCATTGGAGAAAAAGATCCTACTCATGGAAACTTGGATTGGCATGGTCAGAGCAGAGGCGTGAAATCTTTGCAATTGTTTTCGCCAATGTTTACGAAAAATAGTCACTCGATCGAAGAGACCCAAAAGTGGGACATAACTGTGAACAACGTAACAATTGAGCAGTCAATGGATACACTATACTGGTGTAAAATAGTTCGACTCCCAGAGTTAACTGGCAAACAGCACATAATTGGTTATGAGCCTCTGCTGTCTGGTAAATACAATACGAATGTTGTTCACCACATGACCCTTTTTGAGTGTCAGTCAAAGTTATTCTCTGGATCCGATCCTTCGTCCTGGGACCTTTGGGTTAGGAGTGCCGGCACAGTGTGCAACAGCAACCTACTGACACCACGTGACTGGGATTCGTGTTCTACGCCAGTTGCAGTTTGGTCCTTGGGATCTGATGGACAATTTCTACCTCCCCACGCAGGGATCCCAATGGGCGGAGCTTCTGGAGTTAGATATTATATGCTGGAAATACACTACGATAATCCTGATGGAAAGGAATCGGTAGATCATTCCGGTTTCCGAATACATTACACACCCAATCTGCGAACCTACGATTCCGGAATCCTGATAAGTGGTGTTTCCATTTCGGAAACCCAACTCATCCCGCCTGGTCAAAAGAAATATCGATCCGTCGGCATTTGTGGACCTTCTTGTTCCAGCGTCATGTTCCCAAAGGATGGTATTAAAATCATTTCCGGAACGTTGCACTCACATCAAGCTGGTCGCACAATAAGTCTTCGGCATATTCGATCTGGTAAGGAGCTAAATCCGATTATTGTTGACGGCAGCTACGATTACAGGCACCAAAAAGTCCATCAGCTTGCTAATGAAACGGCCGTATTGCCTGGAGATTACCTAATCACAGACTGCTCTTATGAGACAGAGCTCAGAAAACGACCCACATTCGGAGGCTATTCATCGAAGGAGGAAATGTGTCTCTCCTTTATTACTTATTACCCGAAGATTGAGATGTCCGGATGTTATAGTATGACACCAGTGCGCGAGTTTATTGAGATGTTCCGTGTGTACCAATTCTATTCCTTAAATATGACTGATGTTGAGAACATGTTTCTCTACAACACGGACTACAATGACAACAGTAGACACACGAAGAATGCGACAATGAAATCAAATTACGGAAAAATGTCAAAAGAAGATGTAATTTACCAAGAGTCTTTGTTGAACAAACTTGTTATATCTGACCCACCCGAATTTCATGATCGCACATTTTTATCGCATTTGAATCAGTTGCCTTGGCATGACCCTCTTTTTACAAAACGTGTTGAACAAGCATTTATAACTGGAACGCATATGACTTTTTGTCGTGTATCCAAGGATTCATTATCAATTCCATCGGAAATAATTCGCTACCCCGAATTTACAGCATACGTAAAGCCACCTGCAGCTTGTTTAAACTATTTTTTCACTGATAATGAAGAACTTCGTTCAGGGAGTTCCAGAATTTTTACGGACTTTACGTTGAGTCTTTTACTTATTCAGCTCGGGTTTCAAATAACATTATTGTAAAATAAAATTGTATTTGGAAATACCTGTATATTTAAGCCATCCAAAACGTTTTCAGTGAAAATGCTAGCTTACCAAATGAACGATTATCAAATATTCAAAATTATTCTTCGTAATATGAAAAACTAAAATATATCAAATCGATAGAAATTCAATACTAACACAAATTAATATAATTTTGATAGATATTTAAGGTACTTTAAGACTTCTTTGTAATTATAATTTAGAAAATTTTAAATTTGATTTAAAAATTTGGCACGAAATGTAGAAGTTAAAAATACAGCTTAGACTTACATACCAATCAAAAAATCTCCTATTGATTAAGTTTTATGTTAAGTTGAATACAATAAAACAATAAAATCCCCGACCTACCATAGTAAAAATTTTTTTTTTTTTTGCAACAGTTATTTTTTTTACTCAAAAAAAGTTCCCTTCAAGGGTAAGACACTGAGTATGGCGACATTCCAACTTTTTTATAATAACAAAATAGACCGCAGTTTCGGCGATCACCTCTGCATTCGACGAACATTTTTTCCCAGCGAGCATTCTTTTGAGCTCTGAGAACAGGAAATGGTCCCTGAAGGAAACTCGGAACTCTATCAAGCCAAGTTCCTGCATCAACTGCATCAACAACCCTTTAAAAAGCAGTATTTTATCAAAACGCGAAATTCTTTGAAATCTTTTTTTTTGCAATAGCAAAAGTAGCTTCACACAAAATGCTATAACTTACAAACTAATGAACCGACGACAGCTGACAGATTTATACACTTGCTTTTTAAAGTTTAGGGCTTACTTTAGTAAGAACCGCCATCTATATGTCAGGCCGGGGACTTATCAATTGGTCTAGCATATTTCTATTTTGTTTTTCATGTTTAGTATGGTTCATAGATTTTTTTTCGGCATTCTAGTAATATCCGATATTTCAGATGTATGCAGGTTTCAAATGAAGGGGGTAATTTATAATGAGTACAATTTTTTTGGAGTGTATTATTGGTATATTTCTAATGTGGCCGGCTTTCAGAGTCCCATTTGCGGTGGTATACTTTAACTCAGCCCGCACGGTCACTCTGATCAATTTGTTTACGCCGTATAGCGCACGAATTGCAGTTGGGCCAACAACAAGGCGCGAGCATAAACAGCGATACCAACATGGCCGGCTTCGTCGCGGTGCACACAGGTACGTATCTTGGCCATGGTGATTCCGATCCGCCGGGCAGACAGCCAGATGATTGATGACCGCCACTTGCTCTCAGGGGCTGGGAACTGCATCGACGAGACGAAGTACCAGCGGGTGATCAAGGAGGCTTGCCTGCGCGCCACAGAGATCCTCCGCAACGGTGGCTCCGCCGTCGATGCCTGCGAGGCGGCTATTGTGCGGCTGGAAAACTGCGGCTACACAAACGCCGGCTACGGATCAAATCTTTGCATGGACGGCTCTGTGCAGTGCGATGCGGCTATAATGGATGGATCCACGCTTAACTTTGGGGCCTGCACGAACGTTAGCCGGGTGAAGAACCCCATACAGTTGGCGAGACGCATCTGCGATGCCCAGTCCAGTCCACAGCTCCTGGAGCGCATTCCACCAATGATCCTCGCCGGCACTGGAGCGGAACACTATGCCGACGAGGTGGGTTGCTCCATGGTGGAGCCGGGCGTATTGATCTCATCGAAGGCCAAGTTCCAGTTTAATCACTACAAAAGCAAGTACGACCTCGTGGTCAACAGATTGAGCAAGGCTACGTCCGAGGAACCCGTCACAGTGCCGGAACCGGGTAACGAGGTGGAACTTGCCGCTGCCTTGGACACAGTGGGTGCGGTATGTGTTGATGGGGCAGGGAACACGGCAGCTGGCTGTAGCTCCGGTGGCATACTCCTCAAAGTTCCAGGCAGAGTGGGCCAGGCGGCTACTTATGGTGCCGGCTGTTGGGCCACCGATACGGATGAACTGGCCATAGCCACCTGCACAACCGGAAACGGTGAGTACCTGATGAAAACACTGCTGGCCAGAGAGATCTGCCATGGGGCCTTTAGCAGTGATTGTGCGGTGACCAGTCTGCATAAGACGTTCAAGCAAAAGTTCCTGGATTCCCCGCTGCTCCCCCGACAGCAGGATCTGTACGCTGGAGCTCTAACCCTGCTCTATTATCCGGGCCAGAGCAGCGGCGAGGTGATGTGGAGCCACACGACACAGTCGTTTTGTGTCGGCTACATGGCAACCAACCAGAGGGTGCCAAAGGTTCGTACACCCATCCATCATTTTCTGATTCTACATATATCTAATTCGGCGTGTGTTTATATTTGCAGTTTGTGCATTCGCCGCTGCCCACGTACAGCGTCCCGGGACGATCGTGCGTCGTCAATGGCCATAATTTCCATTTGCGCATTTAAATGTGGGCTGGCCAACTAGCCGCAGCCCCCAGCACCTTCCCGTAGCTCCTGGTCCCGCAGCTCTGCATCTGCAATTCATTTGATTTAATGTTTAATTGCCGCGACAATCGCTGCCAATGACATATGGCAGCAGAAGGAGCCGGAGGAGCCGGGGCAGCATTATATGTATATGCTTCATTCTCTCGGCGAAATATTAAGATAATTAAGCAAAAACTTTTATTGTAAATTCTCGTAGATCGTATGTGTGCAGTACTGGTAGCAATGAAATAGGATTTCGAATATATTGTATCCCTCGTCGAACCGGGTGCGCTAGATAAATCAGCCGGCGGCATGCGAGTCTGTTCGGAATATCATATTCGAGGGGGCATATGTTTGTATCCGTTTGTATATTTAGACGCGCTGACTTGTGTGCGCATCTGTGTGTTTATGTCCAAGTGTTTACGGCCATCAATGTACAGAACTTAACCCATTAATTTCAGCTAAGCAGAAGCCACAGCATGCACACACAATATCAAGGTCTTTAGTATCGCGAGTTGTCCTCAACATGAATATTGTGAAAATGCTTTTACTTTTTAGCGTAAATCGATTTGTACATACATACATACACATATGACGCGAGCTGTTCTAAACGAAACATTCATACGTATTCATTTCTCCGTTTATGTGGTTCCAGCTAATAATCCTATGGTATTTCATGGCACATAGAATGCTAGACATCTCGAGGCTTTTTCAAAAAGTGAGTTCCATTAGACGATGAATAATACTGCCTAAGATCGTGTCCTTCATTTTAGTCATAGTTAAAGCCATTAGATCCCAATAACGATGAATCACCAATAACAAATTTCAAATGTAACGTATTTATTATTTCGGACTTATTAAATGCCTATCAAAGATTGTTTACAAATCTAATATGTATATCGTTTTATTATTTTAGAAGGTTGTAGAAACCATTTTAAAGTTTTCATTACTAAACTTTTTTCGATAACCTGTGCTAGGAGTAGTGCCAGCAGTAGAATCATTGGCCTACGGAGCAGCAGTCGTAGAAGTTGTTGAGGAGGACTGGTTAGGTGATTCCGTAGAAGACGAAGTGGACGAAGATCCGGCAGGGGCTTGCGTTGAAGAAGAATCCGTTGAAGAAGCACTCGTTGAAGAAGCAGTCGTTGAAGAAGCAGTCGTTGAAGAAGCAGTCGTTGAAGAATCAGAAGGCGACTGAGTCGTAGTAGTGGTGGTGCTGGTTGTCACCGAGCAGCTGGTCGGCCTGGTTGCCACACAAGAGCTGGTGGTCGAGTCGAAGAAGGGCGTGGAAGAGGCACAAGACATGTAGAGGGCTACCCAAGTGGTTCCAGATTTTTGGCAGTACAGGTAACTGTTGCACGTGGAGTCATCGGTTATCCTGGTAAAGAAGTACATAGGCTGGCTACTAGGCTCGCCTTCATTGCATAAATCCTGTTTTTGCTCAGCACTGGGTGTTGTCGTCGGTGCCACTGTAGTTGTTGAGGTGGGCTGATAAACACTGTTGCTGCAGGTGGCATCCAATCCGAGCTGCAAGGGATCATACGTTACAATGGATCTTTTTTTAGTCCAACAAAACCTACAAATTCGGAGGCACACGACGGTACACAGACGGTTTGATAAGTAGACAGAGCATCAATGATGCAAATCTCATCTGCGTCGCAGTTGTACACACTGGTGGTCAGCACATTACCGCTGGAGGAGCAACGGGCATACTGGGAGCTGCTGACACAGGCGTACTTGGCGCCTGAAGAACACACTTCACACTGTGCCCCATTTCCACCAGAGCCTCCACACACATCCAATACGGTAGAATTCACATCGGAGATATACGCACAAACACTGTCAGAATTGGAGCAAACGGTGCCCGCGGGACATTCGACAATTTCTCCAACTGGAGCATTTTCTGAGGTAACAAAAAGCATGTGATTTTTGAAGTGATTTGAAGGACTTCAGCTTGTAAAGGACTACGGCCCAGGACTTACTCATGCAATTCTGATAACTGTTCTGATTAACGCAGTACACATCGTTATCCGCCAGACACGTCTGACAAGACTGAGCTGCCACGAACGATAGTCCACATGCCACGATGGCCACCAAAGCGATTATCCTCTGCATGTTCTTTCCAAGCTTTTCGCGGTCTTGCTGCTCAACCTGAACGATTTTCTGATATGATCCCAACCACTCATCGGTCGTCTTATATAGCGGAGGAGCTCACTATGCATTAACCTTCAATTGTTTATGGGTTGATAATATTGTTTGTCAGATTTCGTTGTCTATGCTTGCCAAAAGTCTATTATCATAAAGTAATATTTGAGCGATCTAAATGACAGCAACATGTTTTTTAATTTTACGTACTTCATACCATGGAATGGCGGTTCATAAACGTAATCGTATATGGTATTTCTGAAGGTCTATGGCATTTCTGTTACTTTTTGAGTCATGCATTTTCGCTATACATTCCTTCATGCCTTCAAATTAATAAGATATTTTATGAAATCTGAAATATTTTTTGCTATTTCCATTTTAGTATCAGTCATAAAACGAAAACAAGACAAATAGTTCCCAAATCCCAAATTATATTATGTAAAGGTGCTGCATTTGAACATTTAAGAGTAAAGGTCTAATGATAAATGTTCTGCAAACAAAGGATTAATCGATTTAGGAGCATCCAGACGGTTTCGTCGATACGCAAAGGCTGGTAGTAGAATCGAAATATGGCTTGGTTTTGGGGCAGGACAAATAAACGGTGTCCCATTCGGAGGTTTCACTTTTTTCGCAGTAGAGATAAGTGTGACAGGAAGTATCCCCTTGATAGATCGTATAGAAGTAAGAGGTGTTTTCAGGTATTTTAAGATCAGTTTCTGCTTTAGTGCAGGCAGCCTTTTTCTGATCTATGCTGGGTGTGACAGTTGTCGGAGCTGCGGTAGTGGTTGTGGTGTATTCACTGTTGCTGCAAGTGGCTTTCAAGTTGAGCTGCAAAAATAAAGGATTAGGGATGACAACACAGCTCAATTGAGTTACCTAAGAATACATACAAAATTCAGAAAACAAGAAGGCGCACATATGTTGTCGAATTTTTCAAGAGCTTCCGAACTGCAAATCTCATCAGTGTCGCAGTCATAGATGTTGGACTCGACCAAACCCGAATCAGAGCATCTTGCAAATTGATTTTTGCTAACACAAGCATAGTTTTGAGTTGTGCACGATGCACATTCATATCCACCGGGGGCTCCACAGACATCTACAATAGTTTCTTGTATTTCAGAGCTTTTCACACAAACATTTTTGGAATTTGTGCAAACGGTATCGGTGGGGCAGCTTATCACGTTGCCAAAAGGTTTACTGTCTAAATGAAATCGTCTCAGAATTAGGTACAAGGAACTTTGTGGTAAACTTACTGATGCAATTCCTATAGGAAGTTTGGTCTATACAATACACTTCGTTATCGGTTAGACACTCCTGACACTTTAATGCCTTTACAGCAGCTAGGCCACAAAAAACTATGGCCATAATCAGCAGAGTTCGCTTCATTTCACAAGGATTTCCAGTAGATTCTCTGGTGAAACCTCAAAATAGTTTGACGATTTCGTTCAATGCACTTGCAGTCTTATATAGCTGAGGATTCCAAAGCCCTAATGAATGCAAGTTTTAGTGTCGCTTGTATGGCCCTTCTGATAATATTGTTTGTCAGAGAAAAGTAATATTAAAAGCTTTTCTACAACTAAAATAGTTGACTTTTAAATACCAATACATGCCGCATATTTTATAAGTAAAATCATGAATCATTACGTAAACTGAATCTGCAGATTTGTGGATTATTGTTTACCAAGCGAAGAATAACAAAAAAAAAAAAAAACAAGCGCCAAATAAATTTCTCATCTGAACCTTAAGGTTGATCTTATCAATAAATAAATAAAAACCACTAAATGCAGACAATAAACAAGAGGAATCGCTACAGTCGAGCTTCACGGCTATCAGATACCCTTTTCTCGGCATGTGGAAGTCCGAACTAGCAATTTCTACACTTTATGGAATACCGATAGAAATTGGGAAAAATCTAATCAAATGAAAACAATTTCAAGATTTTTCAAAAGTGTGGGCGAGACAGTTCTGGGAGTTAAAAGGGGTGGGGCCAAAATATTTTTAGTATACCAATAAAAAATCGCATGACAAATAATAAAACGCGAAAAATTAAAACATTTTGCAAAAGTGTGATCGTGGAAAAAGTTTTGGCAAAAAAAAAAATATCAATACATTTTTGCAACATGGATGCAAACTTGCGCTGCGTTTATGTCTCTGGAATCTGCTTTCCAGCTTTTATCGAGGCGTTCATACGGACAAACGGACGGACATGGCCAGACTTACTCGGCTCCTGATCAAGAATATACATATATATATTATACCTGTTACATACTTTTCAACGGTCGTTTACTCTACGAGCAACGGGTATAAAAATATACCTTGAAACAAGTTGAGTGAAAGATATCACCCTCACACTAATTGACAGTTTGTTATCTAGGCGAAAATAAGTATAATTCCGAGAAACATCTTACTACCCATTCATCCTTGGAAAAACTACAGGAAAAAACATGGATTTGCTTGCGATCACATTTATTAAGTTTCGTATTTGAATCAAATTTTCATAAATATTTTCTCACACAATTTTACATATTACACAATTCGCGTTCTTATAATTGTTTATGCTTGATTATCGTTTCCATTTACGAGTAACACAAAATCTCTTAAGCGAATTTAATAAATAACAGAAATATGCGTATGATCATTTGTTTCGTTATAAGCGAAAGTAAAATATAGTACGATGTAAATGTATATAATACGTTTCGAAGTAAAGGAGAGAACTAAAAGTGTCTGCTTATCTTAAGGTACTCAAATAATAGAAATAATTGGGCATACGCAGTGAAACCCATCCCGATCTATAGGACAGCGCCATGGAGCTTTTGCGAATAAGTCTCCTCAGTTTAAGGGTACACATTCTATAGCTTTTGATGGTATCACCGATGCCTTTATCTATGCAGCACTAAACACAATTACAATTGGATGATAATGATTACACTTAGTAAGATGACGCGTGGGCTGGTTTCGACACATCTCCGGAGTCTCATGAACTGGCGGTCTGGATCCTCGATGATATTACACATTGACATGTTGAACTTATGATTCTGTTGTTTAAATATATGTATATTATGTAATGTGTATATATAATTTATATATGAAAAAATATATATATTTATTTATATGTATCATGTAGTTAAACTAATCTGTAATGTAACTAGGGCTCATTTGATGATTATGTTCTCAGTTTGTATGTAAAGGTTTTCGCTTTCCATTTCATTTCTTTTGATCTGATAGTTATACACGTTGCGTATGTTTATGTAAATATAATTAAGCTTGATTTGTGTAAGTTTATTTATAATTTTCTCTATTTCGAATATAAAATTTGACCAAATACATAAGATTTCTTTATATAAAACGAACGAAACAATTCTCAACGATATTTGAAACATGGTTTCACCTAATTCTTAACGGCCTAACACAAATAATAAACAGATTTTGAAATATTCACGCGAATTCTCGGCTTTTGCTTGCATCGCATTTTGCTTTAACATTCATTTTCATTCTTTTTCAGCCTTCTTCCAGCTGGTAACTAAAGTAAAATTGTTGCTTCTCGATGATATAGGTTCTCAGACATACATACACTGAAAGTAAAACATAATTTCATTTACTTAATTTGCTAATTACTCTAATCAACGCGGCGTTTTCCTCCTTCAGGCGATGATTATCCGACTTGTAGGCATCGAGTTGCTATTGAACGGATGAGATAAGATTCAATTAGTTCACATTGTACAAATATCCAAATGAGTATACGTATATGGCAGGGGAGGCACAAGTCTTGGAGTTAGATGTGCATGGGGCATGCTTCGTTAATCTATTGGGGATGCGGTAGCCGCAGCCACAGCAGCAACAACAACAGAAACAACAAGAAACAATTAGTATTTACCTAAAAATGGAACTCATCTGGACGCCCTAATCTTGAGAATAAAACCAGATAGCATGCACTTAACCACAAACTACACTCGAAACATAGGCGCTTAGATAATTGTCTCTGCGAAATTTGATTCTTGTGATCTTTATGACGCGTGTCGTGTGCTGTGATAAGCGAGCTATAGGCGAATCGATCATATAATGCCGAATGGATCTCATGAATATAGATGCCTGATGCGAGTGTTCCATAGATATTTATCCACCCAATGTGGCGAATTCAAACAATAAACATAAGTAATAGAATAAGATCGACAGTGAGCAAAATTTTGTTTATTTCATATTTATATATATATGTATATATAACTCAAAATCGGTCGATGTGGTTGTGGTTGAAAACACACAGAAGGGTAAACAAAATGGCAGAAAAAACTTGTAACAATAGTAACAACAAGAGGTATAAATCCATAGTATAGTTTAATAGACATTATTTAAAGAGTAATTAAGTAAGTATTGTTTATATGTACATTCAGAGTGTTTCAAAACGTTGGTGGATTGAATGCAACTCAGCTCTTATCCACATTTTATAACAATTGTTCAATTCTGTACTTTCTATCCTAATTAAACAAATATATTATTTCTTAAAACATTTTAAAAAGTAATTCAGTATTTAATTGCTCGTTGTTTCCAACCATTCTCCATCAGTTTGAAACACTCCATGTTACAGTTATAGCTATAATAAATTTTATTATATTCTTTATAAGTGGTATGTGTATAACAACAAAACAACAGCCAGCTCATAATATTGGGGCGCAGGTTCTTAGAATGGCTCAATTGAGTGTCAGTGGTGGGGCATTTACCGTTAAGCTTCCAGCATCACCAACTAGACCACTTCGCTCTCCCTGATGATCGACTTTTGGAGACCCTATATATAGCCTCCAGATCCTTGGGCCGCTAATCGCAGATGCTGTTATTTATCTTGTTTGGTGGTGGGGACTTGATGTTTGATCTCGTTGGTTTTGATGAGCTTTACTTTGATTTGATTCGAGAGTGGTCTAACTTTTGATTTATAAGTGCATATCAGCCGTACAGTGGTCTGTAGTTACCATATGATATAGTTCGATATAAATTACATTTGAAATTCGAAACATTTGCACCTAGCGAATTTTGTAGGTTACCAAAAACGAACAAGCCGTGGGAGTAATATTTTACTATTAAAAAATTAACTACTTTTCGAAATTTGCGGTTCTATCAAAGGGTCTGTAGTATATAATAACTCCCAAGGAGTCGTAGTATATATGTATATGTAAATACCATATGTTATATTACCAGTGACCAGTCCAAAGCCGATGAGCTCAATTAGAACTTAAATTTAGCTACGATACATTTAGTTATTGTTGCTTTCGGTTATGCTTAAATATCCATATAATAGGTTTAACGACATCGAGGTGTGTTAAGTATTGAGTAACGAAATAGAAGCAAGAAAAACATCGATGATTATTGGCTATCGATGTTTACCTGCAAAAACATCGATGATTTTCCAGTTCTAAGAGAAACGATATAACGATATTCGCGACATTGTGCTTTTGAGCAAGGGGCGTGAGAATTTTGGGGTGTATGTGGGCTGGTGCTGGGCAATCTAAATGCTTTTGATCTGCGCCTATTTGGTCTTGGCCAGCTGACTCTGAGCCGAGGTTGTCAGCTTGGAGACGACCCGCGTAAGGGCCCGATTCTCGGCTCGCAGACGATCGTTCTCAGTCTTTAGCTTCTGCAATAGCTAAAATCACACAAATAATAAGGACAACAGCGGCGACGCAAGAAAAATAAGTGGAAAATAGGCATGTTTTCATTTGAGCGATTGCCGATAATCGAATGTTTCGATAGTTTCGATTGTTTGTTCGATCGATGAGGCGCGTGGGAAGAGAGAGAGAAAAGAAAATCAAATTTGAGTGAGCGTATTGTTCAATGAGAGCGCTTTTGTTTAAAATTTGTAACAAATAGGTGAGTGCGATTGGTAGACGTATAACGATAAACGTGTAACGTATAAACGCATGGGAACAGTGACCAAAAATCATAAAGGTGGCGAATGACAGAGCGAGATATTGAGCGAGTGATGAATTGAGATGCGATGATGACAGAGAAATATAATGGTCTTCAGATGAGAACATGTCTGATGTCTGTTGTTGCTGTGGTGTGATATGAAAAAATAACCATAGAAAACAAATATATGATCTGATCACGAGGCGGAGGTGGGGCAAAAATTAATTGGCAAGGGAAATCAAAGCGATCGCTTCACTATACAGCGGGGTGGCACAAAATAATACAAGTACGATACACGGGAGGACTTGCTAAATAAATTTCAAATCAAATCAAGTGCCATGGCATTCACACACAGAAGACAGCTAGTCAACTAGGTGTTCTATATGGTGGCCAAAAGGGAAAGGCAATTATAAAAGTAAATATTAAAATATAAGGGTGATAGAAACGTGTGCTCGAACTCAGTGCGAAAGGGGTATTATGATTTTGGGTTATAAGAACAGAACAGCTCAATTCGAGTTAATAATAAGGGGGTTAATTAATCAAGATTTCAGACATGCAACAATGCTTTTCGGGGGAGAAGTATCACAACTCTTGGACAAATCATATGGGGTATGGAACCAAAATAAAAATAAACCAAAGTAGCAATCAATTTTGGGGTCCTGTTCTCAGAACACAAAAACAGCAACAGCGGCGGCACTTTTAACGCTTATGGTTAGCAAAGGACACTTTTGTAATTACCTTGAGCTCTTCTTCCAACTCGGAAAGCTTGCGTTCCATAGCTCTTCTTTCGCGTTTCTCAAGTTCAGATAGTGAATTTTTCGTTGTCTGCGAATGTGAAATGAAACAAGATGTGGTTTTGCGATTTTGATTCGGGTCTTGGTTTTTCTTGTTCAGTTTTGTGGTGTATTTGTTTGTTGGGGTTCATATTGTTGTTCAACGGATCGAAAAGAGATATATATACGACAGAGCGGGGTGTACAGAGCGAAAGAGAGCGCGAGCAGTAAGCTTCACATGAGGGGGAAAAAGAGGCAGCGAGGTGGGTGGTTTTTGTGTGATAAAGATATACTGTATAGTAAATATATTTTTGTGGCATCCTTGAACTAAGTTTATGGTGTTGCGTGTTGTTTTGTTGTTGGTTACTGCTGGCAGTTTCGGTATTGGTTTATCGGCTTTCAGTTTATAGTGGGCTGATGTGGGCGTGGCATGTTAGGGGCGTGTTTCTGTACTTACGGCATTGGCGAATCTCTCGAGCGTTGCACGTGTCTGCACGGCTTCATCGTCCTTCTGCTTGAGCATCTGCCTCAGCTTATCGTTCTCCAATCTATGTGGGATTAACGATTATATTCGGTTTGGGTTACATGTACAGTTTGGGGTTCTTGCAGCGGAGCTCTACTCACTTTTCCGCTTCCCAGAGCGCCTTGTAGTCAATGCCATCGCCATTCTCGGTCTTGTCATTACTACTGGAGCTCTTTGACTCGCTGGTGGTGGCCGTACTCGCGGTGCTGCCCAGGCGGGAACGGGATGTCCGCTCACTGCCACTCTGTGGGGAGGAAAAGAAAGAAACGAATTTTAGCAATTAAATAAAACACAGTTCAAACTTGGAGTCTTATCTGAGAACTGCACTTTTTCTACTGCTGTTTGATTTCTTCAATCTTTACTCTTTTCAAAAGGTAAAAAATCTTAGCAATTTAAGCTAAGCAAGCTTGCAATTTTACCTACATTAACTATTTTTCTATAATTTATAAATATCCTATGAATAGGTTTAATCTGTACTAGATGTTTTCCAAGAAAGACTTTAAAAAGTAAATGTGTAAGTCCTAATGGCATACCAATAACAACAACAACAGCATTAAAAAATTAAATACAAACAGACTTAGCCGGAACACCTGCTTACTTCATATCCCTCACTCTTCTCCGAGGAAGCACTAATGGATCTCTGGGCCGCGCTCTTAGACCGCGTGCGATTGCGAGACTTGCGCTCCTGTTCCCGCAGAGAGTTGCTCCTCGTGGCTGCGATGGCCGCCACAGTGGCTCCGGCACTGGTTACTCCGTTGGAGGATGGACCACCATAGACTCCATTCAGGCTGCTGTTTGATGCCGACAACGATTTGGTCTTCAGTAAACGAGAACTCTTGAACGAATTGGACGGGCCCAAACCGGGTGACTTGAAGGTCAGTGAGGCGGTGGTCACACCCTTATCATAACTACTCGAATAGGGGCTGACATATCGATCGCTTGTGGAGTAGGAAGATCCCGCCGAGGAATAGGAGCTGGGATTGTACCTGGAACTGTCGTAGCCACCACCACCGCTGCCTGTACCATTTGAGGCCGAGGAGGAGGACGACGACGAGACGGTGGACAGAGAGGAGGAGAGAGCAGAGGCTTTAGACTGGCCGTAACTATGGCTCTGACTTATGTGCTTGCCCACCACCAGGTGGCCATAGTGATGACCACCGCTTGTGGCCGCCGAACCCGAAGCAGATGAAGTGGCGGTGGGCTGGAGCTGCAGATAGTAGCGACTGCCCTGGTGCGTTTGCATTTTAGTTGCTGGCATGGCGGCATTGGACGCAGAAGCTATGGATGCGGCATGGCATGTGGAGGCGGATGAGGTTACTGCCGTCGATGGGCCACTGCTTGGAGTTGGCTGATGGGAATGCGGATTCGGATAGTGGTTGGTGCTTGTGAACTGCTGATGCTGATGAAGATGATGATGATGCTGCTGCTGGTGATGGAGGTGATACTTGGGCGCTCCGTAATCGTAGCGACTGCCCGCATTACCATAAGAACTCCGACCAACAGCTCCTCCGCCATACAAACTCTCCCTCGAGCTGTAGACACTGGCGTAGGGACTCTGGTAACTGGAGGCGCCACCGCTGCTGGGAAAGTAGCCGGTGCTCAAGGGGCGACCAGTGCTGCCGGAGCTGCCGTAGCTACTTCCGTTGTAGTTATAGGCCCCGGATCCCCCACTTGAGGGCGCCATACGCGAATTGGAGGACAACGAACGCCGTCGACTGGACAGCGGCGCCTGGGTTCTGGATCTCGAGCGAAAGGACATCTCGCTGATGGAAGCTATAAGAACGTGGGCCCCATTAGTTTGCCATCTCGCCAGGCACCTCGTATATCCATCGTCAGTGCCAAAGTCCAATTACGCTTAAACAGTTCAACCAAAAGCCACATGACCTGAATGCTCTTTCCTATCGCAGGGGATTTGCCAGCTTGCCACAGGTTTGCAATGAGTTTATATTTGGTAAATCGTTCCCAATCCGTTTTAGCTATTTATATTTATATTTAAGCTATTGATAGTTGTTGAAGAAAAACCTTTAATCAATATGGACAGCTATTCTTCAAAAGACTCTGAACTTTAGTTCAAATTCAAGATGCTATATAAAGAACGCATTTGCAATGGAAGAGAATTTCGACTTCGATTCTGATCGATTTGGGTTCCAATTATAGACGCGCACACAAAAGGCAATTACAATTATAATCAAAGCGAGCACACAAAATGTTCTTGACTTCGGCATAAACAAAAATAAAGGAAAACAAACAGCTTTCCTGCGTGTTTACAGGTCTCTATATCTCGAGCGATATATTTCGATTTGGTTTGGCAATCGGTTTTGGCCGTGCACCAGGAAAACCAAAAATGACGTCAAGGCATACATTTTGACAATTTTCATTTCGGATTTCGACGAATCTATACCGCGACTGGATCTCGACGGGATGCTCTTCGTAGGATTGAAAACACATAGAAAACGTGATATATGGGTGCGAATATCCCGCTGCCGGCCTGGTAATTATTTGTTTCTCTAAGTTGATGCCTCTCATCCTCCGCCCACGCGATACAAAACAACAAACATGAAACCGACCGTCAGACCAGAAAACGTTTTTCTTTTCAAGCCATTTTCTAATGCATATAATTCATGACGAACCGTTTCTGTTTCCTACCAGACTCGTTCTATGTATCTGCCTTTTAAATGGCTTTATCTATAGCAAAATCGCCCATGAATGAAGCGCCTTTTTTAATGCTTAGACTTTTGCAATAATTTCCCCATTTATGCCTTCTGTATTGTGGTAATTCAAACATTTTGCTCGGCTAATATCGCGTAAAATGTATAAAAACGAAGCTTTTAAAAATAACATTTTCTGTTGTGTCATGGCGAAGACAAATGAACTGACCGGGTCGCAAAGGCATCATAAAAAAGATTAGGAAACAGACGTAAATCAAGAAAAAGGATTGATACTACCGAAATGATTTGGCAATTTTCAAGGCAAGTGTCTATAAAAACATGATTAGAACTCTAAGAACATGTTCACCTTATTTCTAGATTTATCATTTACAAAAATGTATATTTTTTTAATGGAAATGTGTTAATTTGATTTAAACTTGAATGTGCAATGCATTTTTTTCAGTTCTCTTGTTAAACTTTAACATTTGTGGTCACGAAAAAATACAAATAATTTAGGCACGTTCACGAAATCAAATTAAAAACTTATCAAAATAGTTGACCATATTTGCAAAAGCCACCTGAGAGAGCATCAACTTGAAATGTCCAAAAATTATGCGCAGTTGGCCAAAAAAGGCAACGCGGAGCGATTCCATCAACTGAAAACGAGCGAACTTTTTGTGGCTGGCAGTCAAATCATCAACTTCGGTTTGGAAGATCCCCTCCAGCTCCCCTATGATCTATGATCTCCCTGGGGTAAACTGATCTAAGCGTATTGCAGTTGATTGTTCCCCCCACCAAATCTTTGACACATTCGACAGGTCTTGTGGTTTTTGGTCTCTGGTTGCACTTGACGTATTGAATTCTTGAGTTTAATTGGGATTTACATTAAGATTTAGGCTTGTTTGATTGGATTAGCTGGGTTGGAGTGATCTGAACTGAATCGAACTGAGATGATCCGCTGTGCTGGGCGCACAAAACTCAACTGTGTTGCTCGCAGGCGATTTGAAATGTTTTATTTGAAAGCGAACGATCGGAAATAAACACGAAAGAGCGGCGAAAGAGTGCCCACATGGAGCTAAGAGCCAAGTGAAGAGCGGAAAAGCCGGAAAAATAAAAGAAAACAAGGTGGCGGCATATTTTCAACTCAAATATGAACACAAGAAATAATAAGAGCAGGGAAAGGAGCCAAATTTTCACTTGAAATTGCGCACACAAAAATTCGTTATGCGAGTTTTTCACCTGGTCGAGCCACATCTAAATTTAGTAAATCGCACACGTATTTGGCCCAATGTCCGACGCGCAAAATTGTTAACTATGCTGGGGTCAGAAGAAATCAGGGAAACACGCCACAAACGAGAGCACTGAGCACTGCAAACTGGGCCAAAAGGCGAAGCACAGTCGTTGACACATGACTGCACCGAAACTAGGAAAATTTGATTAAAAGCAGACATAGGAAAGCGAGCATAGGAGAAACTATTTTGGTTTGCGTTTAAATTTAGCGTTAAGTGCGCGACAGGAGAATCCAATTTGGGGAGTGGCTCCCTCCTCATAACTGGGCCAAAATCACACCCCTCCATGCTGAGTTTATACTTGCGTTGCATGCATTTTCCGGCTATAAATACCACATGACGATCCTTTCGTCGCAGGGAGAATGAGGAAGCAAATGCCTGCAGCAAGCTGTTATAAATTTAGCCGCACATATTCTCGCTTTTTCTGCAAAGTTCAACGTACGTGTGCCAGCTTTTCTTGATATTATGCGCTTCTCTATCGAAAAACATATATTTCCTTCGGTTTGGGTCGTGCCTCTGTAATTGCCCAATTTATTATAAAATGCCAACTGTCTGCAAAGGCGATTGTGAAAGTGATTTTCCCAGATGCATGCGCAAGATGAAAACTAAAAAGTAGAATAAATGCACAATGGCACACTTGACATCGTCAATCAAGGAGCTTCAGATGGTGTGCCGTCATTTTGGATGGATCGTTTGGGGGAACACATGCTGAGAATTGTATACTATTACTTATTTCTTCACGCTCAGGAAAACGAATGGTTAAAGCCTTAAGTTCCAGGAAAATTTAGTTCTCATAATGAAATATCTTTCCATTTCAAATTTAGACATCGTGTTACATCATTCACTTTATGCTTAGCGCAATTTCAGGCAAGTAAATTAACAATTAAATTCACTTTTAATGATTGTGTGTACTTGTAGCAATAATTCACAATGTGGATAAATGAATTGCTATTTTAAATGTGTTAAACAAAGTGGTCATTTATAAAGAGTTGTTATAAAAACACTCTTTTGTACATACTTTCCTAGTACTTTATAGTTTGTCTTATTCTTTAAAAACCCCTATGTATCCTCTTTTTACGTTCAACCATATTAAACTAAACTATATGAAATGCAAATATTTAGCATTTGCCAATGCTAAGCCGAATGTAAGATTTATGGTTCGTCTTCAATTGACCAATGGTCAAAACAATTAATAACTTTTTATAGGAACAAGCGAGCGCACGTTAATGACAAGATGCACTCAGAAATTGTGTCAGATTTTAATAATAGGCGACACCGGCGCTGACACTTGCTCAGATAAATTGTTAACAGGTTCTCGGGCCAGACTCGTGATTTCTATGGACGCAAATTGGATGCGCACTAATAGTTCTGACCTCGGCCATGAAAGGATTTGCAGTTGCCTTGCACTTACACTCGAATTGCCATTCCCACACGAAAATTCCGAACCCACAATGCCACGTGCATTTGCCACTTTTAAAGTGGCAAATCATAATTTCGTTTTTGGGTCGACTGCTAATTGGACCAGACATACGATGGGAGAAAATTGTGGGGCAATTGCGTGGATGGAGGAGGGGCACCACACTAGCTACTTTGAAGGACGCGGAGTGCTCTAAATTGTGACAAGGTGTGACGAAGGCAAAGGCACAAAGAAAACAAATGTGGTCAGTGGTCAGGTGCAGCTCGAAAATAAAAGGCTGACACAAATATTATCTAATTGCTTGGCAAGGTGTGAAATATTCAATAATATTGATGCTGTTGCTGCCGTTGTTGGTAGTTCACATATGGTAATCACTAATAATCGTTGGACAGACTCACCTCCTTCTCCTTCTCCTCGTTGTCGTTGTTGGACGATTCGTTCTGTCGCTCGGGATCCAGTTCCTGCAGCAGAACAAAAGATATTTTCAATTTAGCATTTTCCCATTCCTCCGACTAATTAGCAATTTGACTGAGAATAGTTGGCATACGGCTCTGGGCCATGGCTCATTTATTCTGACAAACTGCCTGGCAATTAGGCGCACAAATGATGTATCTCCCAGCCATACTTACATCCATATCGATGTGCACCACGCCCGTTGATCTGCGCTTCGGCTTGCGTCTCCTCTGAATGACGGTCTGTGTGCGATTATCGTTCTCCTTATCATTATCTGTTACAAAATTGGAAGGAAGATCAGTTTTAGCTTCTATTTTAGGTACTTGAATATTCCTTTATCTAAAAAATACTCCTTCAATACTCAAAATATAGACACAAGCTTTACTTTGATGAATCTTAATGCATTTTGCCTACGTTACAAGTTAATTTAGCTATAGATACTTCGGAATTAGTATCTATATATTCTGTTTTGTATGTTTCTAGCACAACTTAATGTTAATTCAATTTGCATCTTGATACTCCTACAAGAGACACATGAATCTCAACAGTTGCTGCACTTGGTTGCCTACTTCACATCGACTACTCCTTACCCTTATCGTCATGGTTTGACGTGGCATTTGGTGCCGTAGCCGCTGTATGATTGGCACTGGTTGCAGACACTGAATTGGAGGTTGAGTTGCTAGTCGTGGTCGCTGCAGTGGTCGCTCCCGTAGGCGTGGCATTCGTCTCAAACTTGCGAGCTGAGGGCGTGACATAGGCACTGTTGTTCGTGCCCTCGCTGGGCGCGGAAACTGGACGACCCACAGAGTTGAGCGACTGATTGGAAGCATTTACTGCAAGGGAAGTAGACATTACTATTAATCCGAAAGTTAGGCGGAATATACATGATAACTTACGTGCATTGGGACCGCTGCTGATGCGCCTCTGGACACCAGTTGTGGTTGATAGGTTGGCGGCTGCCATTACTGCCGGAGCACTGGGTATGATGGTGCTGTTGTTGGGCGGATATGTGCCACCGCTGGTTATGTCCTCCAACTTGAACTGCATGGATAATGAACATTTTACTTATTGCTCAATTTAGTTATGAAGATACAAATAAATATCAATATATGTTTTGAAATGTTTCTCTATAATTGTCGTATTTGTTTGGGTTGTGTGCGATGTATTTGTTCTTACAAGAAGCTATGCCGTGTCTTGAATCATTCGAATGCAGCGGTAGTTAGTTTATACTAAACATTTAGTAGTAATCAACAAGAATCAGACACCATTTTCATTTTGGATCCATCAGTTAGAGCCCGCAACCCATTACCTACGCTAAGCAATTTCTGTTTTTCCCTGAACCAGTATAGTTTTGTTAGTATTAGTTGAACAAAAATGTAAATGTTTATTAAGTAACATGCAAGTAGTTAGTAAAATTTTCTAATATATAATAAAGATCTTTTGGTGAACCAGGTAGTACAAAAAGCAGTCATTAAGAAACACAAATACCATGCAATTGGCAATTTCTTTAGCATGTAATATTTATAAAAAATGTTTATCAGCCGAATGAAGATAATTGGTATCTAAGAACTTACATACGAAAAGCGTTAAAAATAAAAAGTGAATCTATTAAATAATACATAAGGATTTACTTATTCATAAAGTCACTTATTTTTTGACTACATCAAGCACAAGTTAGAGCAAATTAAAACATGAATAAGTACAGATGCGTAGATACAACTAAATGCAAAAGATCTTAAAATTAATAATTTAGGCGTTTAACAATAAAAAACATATTATTATTTATATTTCCTATGAAAAGCATGTTACTTTCTACAAACATTAAACATTAATAAGGTAGGCGTTAAAACGGTGGCGAAATCGAAATGATATAAAACAATGACCTCAAACTACATTTCGAAAATTCAAAAATCCATATAGAAACGATGGGTTTATTTTATGAATTCGAGCAAAGCAAGGCAAATTTCCACATTTTTCTAAGCAGAAGTTCTCCATTAATTGTACACACACTAATCAAAATAAATCCATGCTACACTTAAAGATTAACAAAATTATTTACGGCGCACACGAATTTGGCAACCGATCGAAAAATAATCTTGACGTATACTGAGGATTAGGCTATCGGATTCGCTTAGAGGGCAGAGTTGGGTAGTGTGGGCATACCTTGGAGCCGGCATCGAATTTCAGGCGCCAAGAGGGACGCCGTTCTGCTGCCGAAGTTGAAGACGAGAATGCAGCTCCACCCGCACCACCTGCACCACCAGCACCTCCTCCTCCTCCCGCGCCGCTGTCCGTTGTGCGTCGGGCGTATAGACTGAGTAGCGAGTCCCGGGCATTGAAGTCCGGATGTGAGGACACGGGCGAGGCGGTATCGGACTTGGTTTCGGATTCCTGGCTGCCGGACAGACCCCGCTTGTCCCGCAAGCGCACTGGACTCTCGAGGGCAGCGGGCGTAGTTGCCGCCGAGGATGATTTGATAGCTTCTGTGCTAGGAGCAGCGGGAGCCGGAATCAGTGGCAGATCCGTGGGCCTGGCATGTGGGGGCTCCTCCGCCTTCTCCTCGCTGGAGGTTTTGGCAACTGGGTCAGTCTTTTGTGGCGATCTTATGCTCTCTACATTCTCTGAGCTTTCGGGTAGCCTTTCCCGCCTGGGCATTATCGTATAGCTGGCACTGACCACCGTCTGATCCTGATCACCCTCCGGATCACTATTGGCATCGGCCTCTCTATCGGCCGATAGGGATCTTCGCACGGGAGCGGATAGCGTAAAGCTAGCAGTCGTATCGTTCTGACTTTGGCCAGCTGGAGGATCGGACACCACCTCCTCGATCTCCGTCTCATCGGTGGCCGTTGTTGTGGTGGGTATTATGGCTGGCGGTGGTGTGGTGGGCGGTGGCGGTGGTTGCAGCTCGTCCTGCTGCTCATTGCTGCCGAGGATTGATGGTGTTGGAGCTGATGTCGATGATGCAGAGCTTGTTTCGTTCTGTTAATAATATTAGTTCGGAACAAATAAAAAACAGTTGTCCTATGGCGATGGACGCGAGTGCGTTTCAAACAAAATCAAAAAGGTCTCGCTATATATATAATATATAAATATCAAATGCATACTTTAATGATACTTAGGGTGGCCCGATTTGATTACGCATGCAAATGGGACATGCAAAATGATAATCATCAACATATTCCATAGACATACAGTTTATTGCTATATAAATATAGAGCCTAGTGAGTAGTAAGAGAACTGAACATAGAGATAACTTAAGAGCTGTAACATAAATACAAGTTGGAATGGTAACTACGCTACGGTTCGCTGATCTGGAGCTGCTGATGATTGGAAATCATAAATATAAAGCTACGCTATACAGAGTACTCAAAATCGATGAGGCGGAGGCGGGGCGAGTCAAAGGGCGTGGCAGGGCGGAGCGGAGCTGGGCGGAGGCGCATTACGCAGGAACTGAACTCAACTTGATTGGTTAAATGCGATACTGCGATCAATCACGAACGAATAATAATCAAACGGGTGGCAACGTACGCTAAATGAGCATTGATTGATCGATGAGACTGGATCTGATTGAAATGATGACAGCTTACGGCTGCTTTTTGTGGAGTGAGACGACAGAATGCAGTAGGTTTCAATTATAACCATCAAGGTGAAGCTAAAGCTGTTTATTACATTTTGTACATTTGTCAAGATCAAGACTGAAGGTGCTAGCAACCTTTTAAAGTAATCGATTTAAAAAGAGCATGTCAATGTGTTCCATTTTTATATTAATTTATTTATAGCTCAGTTTATTAATACGTTCAATTTCATAGCATACTTCTTGGGGCATTCGAGAACCTTTTGCATTCTGCATACTACACGATATTTACTAGACTACAATCACTATTTTAGTACACTTTTCACTCACTCACACAAACAATCAGTGGTATTGTTTAAATATAATGCTTGTGTTTCAGTGAGTGAACAGAATCGAACACATAAACAGAAAGGGATATCAAAACAATGGGGACACCATAACCATAAGCATATATTTTTCGGTTTTTGATCTGGTGTGTATTGCTCAACGTTTGAGTGGGTGTGAACTGCATGTGGACATCGTGTGTGGATGTTGTAATCCCGGCTAGGACTACAGGTATGATCTAACAGTGATTCTATGAAGAGAGCTTCCTCGAGTGTGAATGTTTCGGTGAGGTTTTTGTTGTGATAGCTTGGATGATCTGGTTAGAGTGTCCGCTTGGACACTGGACTACTTACGCCGCTGTTGCTGATCGTGTTCGTGGTGGTGGTGCTGATATTGTTGTTATTGTTGTTGTTGGCCATGCCCATGTTCTTCTTCTTAACCAGCTCCTCGGCACTCTTGATCTCGTCCAGGGTCACACCTTGGGTGGACCGGCGAGTCTCCCTCACGCGCTTAGCATGTGCCTTTCGCTGCGTTTCGCTCTCTTCATCACGCACCGGTGGCACAAAGGATCTGCGTTTGGATTGAGTAAAAAAATGTAGTTTTAGAATTTGTTTTACAACCAACACTTAAACTGCATTAAATAAAAGGGCTGCAGCGCTGGAAAGCCAGTAGAAACACATCGAGCCTTTTAATCTTAATTAACACATGTTAATACATCGATCGGAAAGTTTAAAGGAAACTGTAACCTCAGTTCTATATCACAAAATCATGCTACAAAAAACTTCGCTTTCTTGGGATCAATAATCGGGTTAGCTGCTGTTTAGCGGGGTTAGCTCAACGTCAATGAAAACAACCATTTATGCTTTATCATTACTTGAAGAAGTTCTTGATCATATTGCTCGCGGATTGCTTGGGCGGTGGCTTGGAGCTCTCCGCATCGCTGACACTGGCCGTGGACGAGCTGCCATTATTGCTCTTTTCTGCTATTTTCGCTGTAACTTGGCTAGTTGATCGACAATGGAGTTTTTAAAACGAGTTGTGCACAAAATGTATAACAAAACAAACTTACCTGCGAATTGGTGGGGTCTGTACAGTTGTCGATGGAGAATTGATCGCCGTGGCTGCTGTGCTCGTGGGCGTGCCAATCGCAATGGTCGGTTTCCTGAGGGTAATCAAAATAGAAAGACGTTAGAGAAGGGTTCAAAGTTGAACTGGGAACACAGCCAAGAGTAGGTAGACGACATTGGTGCGTGGCCTAGGAAAATATGTTAAATAGTTTGGTGCAATGAGTTCTTATTCTGAAGGTGTAGACGAGAAGAAGCTAAGCAAAAGCACAGTCAGGTTAATAGTTACAACAAATTAGGGTTGGGTTAACAGCTATGAGTAGGACTGGTTTTTAAACTAGATCAGATTTTAGGTCATGAAAATTCCATTACTTACAAGCTCGTATTAAGTGTTAAATAATAACTGTGACTATCAAGTAGCTTAGAACTACGTTACACAATTTCGATTTTACTAGAGCGTACAGTATTGCATACAAGGCAAGCCATATCCGCTCTTACAACTCTTTACTTAAAACTTCCATTTACAACGTATAAACAATTTAAATAAAGCAAGAAAATACATTAATAGTTCCCTTCTTCTACTTGATGTAACTAAGCAATCTGATCTAGTCGGTTTTTGGGATGTGTTGAATGCAAAACAAACCTGTAATACATTGAGTTATCTTTGAGTGAGGCCGATCTTTGTACGCTATATGATTGATTTGCTGCCGATGCTGCTGCTGGTTGCTGTTGTGCTTGTTGTGTTGTGCTTGTGTTGTTGGTGTTCGAGTGGGTGTTGTTGAATGTACTGGATGTTGTTGTTGTTGTGGAGGTGCTTGTTGTCGTTGTGGTTGTGGTGCCAGCAGCATATCCCAATAGCAGATCGCTTTTGTTGTTGTTATTGTTGTTATTATGATAGTTATTGCTACTTAGGTTGTTATTGTTATTGGATTTATTGGCAGCAGCGGCACTAGCATTCGCATTCGCCGGCAAAATGGGACAGGAGTTGGCCTTTATGCGGGCCCGCAGCTCATTGTACTTTTGATAGAACCTGTCATTGTCGGATTTTCGGTTTTTCGGTTTTGGCCGTTTTCGAGCGAGGAGTGTGATTTTCGAGCGTTTTTCGAACGTTCGTGCGGGCGTACAGGTGGGCGGGCGGAGCGAGCAGGTGGGCGAGCGGGCAGGTTAGATTTCGGGATAAGCGTTTGATGAGTTTGTTGTTTTTGGTTGGTTGTGGTGCGTTGGCAATGCAATTTTTTGTTCGATTTTTGATTGTTGTTTAAAAGGGTGGAAAAAAATAAAGCAAAACAAAAATTTTAAAATCAATACAAGACTTTGTTTTCCCTTATTTGTTGCCCTTTGCAGTCAACGCTTCACTTTGCCAAAATGCGAGTGGTGTTATGGAAAAAGCTCATAGAAGGAAAGCTTGTGATTCATGGAGATTCCCAGAGCTTTCCCAGATCATGATACCATCAGGGTAATTTTAAACAATTTATCAGTATACGAATTTCGAGAAAAGCTGAATGAGTGGTTAACAATTTTAGCGTGTGTATGTGTGATGATGATAAGCAAATGCAATCGGCAAAAGTGAAAAGCGAACTGCAAAGTCAACCAATAAATCAAGACCTTTCGGTGCAATTTGGCCGATCGATGTACATAATCATTTTATATGTGGGTTAATCTGAGATGCGATTGGGTGTTTGTGTGTGAGCGGCACGCAATGTTTTATTTTCTTGGGGTTCAACTCACTTTTGATCGTTCTCAAAGCTTTGCGTGCGCCGCAAAATGACGTCGTTGGCGGTCTCCGAGCTATTGCTGCTAAGCTCTCTATCAGGAACTTCTGCAAAATGATAATTATATTGATTATTATGTCTGATTCGATTACAGCCGTTGCCAATCAGTGCTCTTCAAGGGATTGCAGATAGCTATGACCATTGTAGACTACATCGTTTGATGCTTTTTCATCGACTACAATGATCTCCAAATAGATCTTACTTAATTTCTTGATAAAAAATGTATTTTCATACATTAGAAAACTGAACTTCCTTTTCCCGTCTTCCTTTTCCTTTTTGGAACACTTCATTGACTTCGTTAAGAAACGTCTTCTTATCTGTGACCCTTAAAAAGCACTTCATAATCCCATTAGGACTTACGATTATTAGTGGGACTGTCGTTGGGTGTCCGGGGCAGTTTGCGTCGCCATGGCGCCTCCTCCTCGACTGGATGCTCGACGGCGTGGATCTGCTGGTTGGGCTTGACGTTCTCAGCTGTAAATGCAACAAGTGAAGAATTGTAGTATGCACCACGAAAACAATTTACAACTAGGAATAGGTTAGTGGCTATTGGGCGGGCTTATCACAGAAAGGGTTCGTCGAGGAACTCCTCAAACGGGACGCAAAACAAATGCCGACTACCTTCGCTCTCGGAAAGACTGGTCAAGTGTGAGCTTTCCGTGGAATCACTCAGCTCTTCTGTATCGCTCTGGCCACTGGCCACCCTTTCGCCACCTTCACCAACATCATCATCATCATCATGAGCGGCGTTTGGAATCGAAGAATCAGCTTGGGTAGCTTCACCTGAGCCACTGGCAGCTGCAGTGTGCGTGATTTACAAGCAGAGACAATACACAAATACAGAGAGAGAGAGAGAAAGAGACACTATACAGATACAGAGAGAGAAAAACAGGATACCAGTGATGGATGATCGTGATCATGATGAAGGCAAATTATACTGGACAAAGTGATCTTGAATGACTAAAATACGAGAGGCAGTGGCAAATGTTTTACGATTAAATGCTCCAACAACAAAAGGTTATCGCGCATGAGAACCTAAACAGGATAATAAACAGGACGAACACAAGAGTGTGTGTGTGCGAGAAATCAAAGAAAGCTATTTGTTTAAATTATGAGGCCAGAGTAAGTTGCAGATAGCTCCAATTTGGAGGCATACGCACCATCCTTTGTGGCATCAGTTCTCACTTCAACGCGCACCAGTTTAGTGGGTGTCTTGTCCACATGATTTTCCATTGCATCTGAGATTCTGCTGAAAAGTATAAACAATTCATGGATTAGTCATGTTTCTTATGGAGTATGCAAAGCTACAGATTATAAACAAAATAATTTAACAGCACAAAGTTATCATAAAATAAAATATTTGAAAATATTTTATACGTCATTTCATATGCGTCATTTGCATAAAAATAATATTAAGAAAAGTGATTCACCAAAAATACTTTGCCTTAAAACTTCTGCTTTCGAATTAAGAAAAAAAAACATGCAATTTGCTTTAAAATGTTCGTCACCCTTTAGGCTAAAGAATCCATCACTTTGTTTTCTTTAAATTCTTGCTATAATTCAATAATTCCCTCACCTTATTTGACTAGATGGTCGCCGCTTGTTGCGTTTGTTGGCCCGCAGTTCTTCCAGGAATTTGACTATTTTGCGATCGGCCACATCGATGCATGACTGCCCGGCATAGTTTCGGATATCCATGTCGGCCAGTGACTCCACGAGCATCTCGGCCGTTTCCCGCTGACCCCAATGCGATGCCGCGTGCAGCGGCGTCCAGCCATCGTTATCCTGGCGATCCACATTGCCACGTCCTGCCAGGAGCAGGCCCAGCACTTTCGTGTAACCCTTTGCGGCGGCTACGTGGAGGGCAGTGGCTCCCGTTTTCGGGTGCGGTCTATCCACCTCGGCGGCATCGCTTCTCAGCCACTTTTTGGCATCGTTCAGCATCGCCTGCTCCTCGGCCTTTCGAGCCTCATCCACATTGATGTTCAGCTCCTGCACCATCTTCTCCATGTAGTCAATCATGGCCATGTGCTGCACATCGATGGCCAAATCCAATGCCAGATCGCCATCGCTGTTCACAGCGGCCACATCAGCGCCATTCTCCACCAAATACCGAGCTATGCTCACAAATCTATGAAATTGATTAGACACAGTAATGAGCAATGAAATTGATTGGAATTCGGACTAGAACTCACCCGCAGGAGGCAGTGGCGTGCAGGGGCGTCCAGCCCTCGTTATCCTGGCGGTTTATGTCGGCACCTCGCTCCACCAGAAACTCCACCATGTCCAGATTGTCGTCTATGCACGCCTGTAAAATAGCAGAATGAGAATCCGATTTAGTAAGCGGTTACTCTATCTCTATTTTGTTACAAAATATGAGCCATTATTAATCTCTTTATTTGTTTATATAAAACTATAAGCAAACTGAGATCTAGGAGCATTATCAGCTAAGGCCTTCCGCTCGTCTAGAGTGACAATGGTGTTTACAGTGTGGGAGAGATTATAATTTTATAGTTGATGGATTAGTTTGAAGCTGTGCAGAATGGTTCAGATTTTGTTGATGTTTTCGTTTGTTGGACTAGCATTGAATTTTTGCAAGGATAAGTTTTCCAGATAAGTTTAATTTTAAATAAGTTTATTTTGGAAGTGGTTAGAGACTGGGTATCTTATGGTTGACGGTATTAACATTTTAATTCACATGAGTTTTTATGATAACGAAAACTAGGCGTCATGGTAATCACTTAGAGATTTACACGCTTTTATATGACGACAGAAAAGTTAGCTTACATTTCATTTCAACGCAAAATTTCTGTGATCAAATAAGCAAATAATTTTTTCTGGTCAAGTTTCTCACAAAATAAAAGCGTCTGCCTATTATAAATTACTCATCTTTTGGATGAGACTCCCCATTGTAATTCCAAATTGAAAGGTCGAAACCATAAACATCAATCCTTGAAAGCGTTCTACTTTGCCAAATGAAATGTATTTATTTAAATTTTTATGGCCAGAAAAACAATTCGATTTCCCGAGCAGAGTCGTAAATGCAGTGCATCAAAAGTTGAATCAACTTTCATAGAAGAGATTCGCTTTGCAGCTCGCTTCGATTTGCTTTTATAAGAGCTACTAAATGTTTTCAAATTTTTGTGTTTATCTTGCTAAAACGCGAAAGTAAACAGCCAGAAGGCAAAAGTCAAAGCGGAGCGTATCCAGCATGGTTCGGTTGTTTATGCGGATTTCCGCTGAACCCGCCTAGACATCTCTTCATTTGGCTGGATGGTTGGATGGCACATGCACGCCACCGAACGACGATGATATCATCGTCCGCGACTCCGGCGCTTCTTTGGGGCCGCTGCTATCTGGGAACCAGCGAAGAACAACCCAGCCCGGCCCAACCCAACCCAATCCAACCCCACAACAATGGCGGGGCGACGCGAGTGGAGACGACAACGCCTCGTAGCTGCAAATGCCGATAAGCATTCTTTGGCGCAAAAGCAACAGCTCCGTCGAAAGAAAAGAAAGTAAAAGAAAAGGCCCACAACAAAAGGCGCTAACTCTATCAATGCACAGCTCAAAAAATCGAAGTCACATTCCAATTGTATACTGTCTGGGCTCTTATCTGCGAGATATTCATTCAACACGGCTTGTTGTTGGCATATTTTTGGAAGCAAACTAATAATTTTGTGTTTATCAAAGTTTTCAACGATAGTTAATTCTGAAAATGCTACAATCTCCTTTTAATGGATTATATTCATAGTAACCATACATTCAGACAAACTACCTATAACCCATTATTATAAGCTTTTTTAGCTAGTTTTAAAATGATGTTTTGATTATAAACATACTTAAGTAAGAAATATTATTACATTTTTAAGTGTTTTCTATATTAATTGTTATTTTTCCATATTTCGCAATGTATTTCCCCTACCTCCCCTTTCGCATTTTTCAAACATTAATATTTAGTTTTAAAAATATGTTTTGACTATAAAGATCGTAACATGATGTAAAATGATGTTTTGATTACAAACATACTGAAGGAAGAAATATTTTTAAATTTTTAAGTGTTTTCTATATTAATTGTTATTTTTTCAATATTTCCCAGTGTATTCCCCCTACCTCCCCTTTCGCATTTGATAACAGAGCCCGTTTGAGGAGTGGGGCATCGTACAAATCAAATGACCGATTCTCGCCTGTGTCTCTCTATCGTTCTCTTCTCTTTCCCTTCCGCGGCATATGTTAATTCAAATGCTTTACTGACCGAGCTTCAAAGTGACTTCTTTGCCGTTGCTTTTAAAATCCAAAAGCAATTTCCATTTCGCAGTAAAACGCATAAAAAAGCAGAAGAAGGCATAAAAAAAAAGCAGAAGATGGCTAGAACGAGTGAGCGAGACGACGGCGGGTGGGCCACACAATTTGTAAATCTGGAACGCAGCCAATTAATTAATTATGAACAATTTTGATAAGCTGACCGGCAGGAAAAAGGGGTTTTGCGAAGAGACAACGCCCACGCGTGACCATCCGCAAATCAACTTGACGACAATGTCCAATGGCATTTTGTGGTATGCAAACATTTTTGACACGAGCATTCCATCAGCGAAATTCCCCCGATTCCCCAGACTTTGGGCCTTAATGTCAGCAGAGCAATGGATTCTACGCTATTTCCATTTGCATGGCCAACCCGAAAAGCGGTGAAAAAAGCGAAAAGAAGAAAAAACAAATGCATGCTAAGTTTAGCCTTTTGTTTTGGCACGCCATTGAGCGGCATTTTCAGCCGTTGCACGCCAAATGTTATTCACCTCGCCGCATTACGTATACGCCGCGTAGGCCAGCAGCCAACAGGCAACAGCCAACAGCGACTTGTTGAGACGGCTTTCAGACTCTGGGCCGCCAGCTTAACGTGGCTCATTACGCGGCAGTTTGCCAGGCGCCAAGCTCCATTTGGCCCCCGCTTTCTTAACCATCAATGCACATAATTCTGGCTTATAACTCAATAGCCTGAATAATTCCTTTGATGAAGAGGCAGACAGGAGAGTTCCACGGAAAACACTGCTTCGAGTTAAGGCTTGAGGATTTCAGCTGAACTAGTACGCTATTTCATATTCAGGTCATAACTGATTAAGTTAGAGATGAACTTTGGAATTACAAACAACGCTTACACTAACAAACTTTACTACAAGTTTAAACTAAGCATCGTTAATGAAATATCCCTTGGAAATTTGTGTTTGTTTGCTGAACTTCAAAGCAAGAAATACTTTTCCCAAACCACATAAATTTTCAATTTAATACATTTTTCACCAATTACCTATATATTAAAAGATTTTCTTTTTGTAATTTTCCCTTTTGAAAAATTATGGGGCTACTTTTTAATCTCTTTGTTTAATTTCGACATTAAAAACAAACATACACAAACACGCTAGGTAAATAATTGACCAATTCATTTTATTTTAAAATACGTCTTAAGCAAAATTCCTCGGCACTCAATGACCTGCCGCCTTAGTATACAATTATTGGGAAAAATAGGAATTATGCATATATGTATTATTATTGAAATGCCAAAATAGGCGAGCAAACCGCTTGAGTTCAATAAATTACAAATTTGGATTAGCGCCACAAGATAAAAGTGCAAAGAACAGACATAAAACATATGATATATATGCACACATATAGAACATATATATACCTAGACGTGCATATATCCCACCGATTTTGAGGCAGTTGCTCTGTGTGAAATTTTCAAACATATTGCAGAGCCTTTAAACATTTCGATCGTATCTATTTCTCTTCTTTTTCTTGGCGAAAAGTTCTCATGTGGCTCAATAGCATTGTGCCACTAAAAATGCTTGGCATATTTTTGCCAAATTGTATAACGATTTATACAGCGCCGTGTGAGTAGGCGCTTTTGGTCAGCAAATTGTTTCCGACATTCAATATATTTTTATTTCTAATTTTTTTTTTTCGCCCAGGCCAGGTGGGACCAGTCATCTGGAAGTGTGAAAAATAATGAACACAAACTATTCCAAAAAGAAAAATAAACAAACCGAAAGAAAATCCAAACGGAAACAAGAATCTAGGCAATTTCCTTATGATTCCAAAAATGTAATGTTCTGCTTGCGAAATTACATTGTAATTATAAAATTAAAAAAACAAACGGATATTAAGTCTTATGTAGAATGAATCGATCTTCTTAGAAATACATTTTGCAAAGCATGTGCTTGTTCAACGCTTTTTAAAAAAATCTTATCTTGCTATGTTTATTTACACAACATTTCAAGTGTGAATAAGCTGTATGATAATCAGTATTTTCACAGTCTAACTTTCACCTGTGCAGTTTTCCATTTTACGAAGCTCTCGTTGATAAAAAATGTATAGTTCTAAAACACACGAGAAATCGTAAATGTGTAATAGAAGTTCCTAGAATTATCTAAATGATTTGGATATGGAAAACATTTCCTGTTGGGAAATGTTAGAAGTTAGTACGATTTGAACGATATTTTCCAAGAACAAATATCAATAATTCCATTAAACACGTATAGAATTCAACATATTTTTCCGCCGAACTATTTCTAAACTCATGTCGTCATGGGTTGGCAAAAATTATCGTATTTTTCGTATAGTTCCCGCTGGTTTCGGTTGGTTTATCCATAAAACAGCAGATTTCAAATCGTGTGTGTGCGGCGCGTGCGAGCTAAATGTACATATAATAATTATAATAATCGGGCAGCGGCAGAATTGGCAACCAGAAATGATGGAAAATGGAAGATTGGATAGGCCTAAGTCGAAGGAACTCGGTTGTAAAACGAAGCATTTTTAATGGCATACATTTCGCGTCTGGCTATGGCTAGAAATGGTATTATGCAACGCACACACATCACATACTGTCAGCAGATACAGATACAGATGCGAGATGCGGACTGCGGACTGCAGACATCACATCAAATTGTATCTGGCATAGAGCGAATTTTCATTTTGATCATTCGCATTCGTTTGTTATTTTGGGTGTAAAACACGAAACGAGAAATAAATCAAATCAAGTGTAGCGACCGCATCCATTTATATACAACCAAAACCGAACAGATACATCCAGAGAGATCATTCTTGAGGATATTCGATTTGTTGTATCTGTGAATCTGTGAGTCTGTATTCCGTAGTCTGTAGTTTGTAGTCTGTAGTCTGTAGCTGTGCGTTTCAACAGCTGTCCGTCCCGTCAGTCCGTCGAGAACCGGGCCAAGGTTAGAAAACACGTCAATAAAGCGCGTTAGCCGACAGCAACAAATCTACCAGCGCTCATGTGGCGTGTATTTTTATTTTGGATTTGGGAAAACTCACGCAACTTTTCCCAACTCCCCAAACACACCGATCCGCTCCGACCAGGACTCGTCATCCATCCGCGACTCACGATCGTCATGTCAGCGGATCGACAATTGTTACGATTATTATGCACTCAGCACTGACTATAGCTCAATTTAGCAGAAGTCTTGACAGAATAATTTCTTAATTTATGCGGCGCCAGTTGGCCTGCCCCTGTTCCCCCACCATATAAAAATCGAAATATATCAATTGCTAATTGGCAGAAGTGTATGTATATAAATCAATTCTTAATTTGAGCAAATCATTGATAGAGGCTGATTAATGAAGAAACACAGATTCGCACTCAGGGGACCAAAACCTGATTGTATGTTCAAATGAGTTCCTATAGATGGGTAAATTAGGCAAAATGATCACAAAAAAAAGCTTAAAGACGCATCAACTAGGTATAGTTTATTGATCTGATATTTCAATGTTCCCAATAGTTTCACTTCGGAGCTACGAAATGATTCATTTGATTATAATTAACGCACTAAAACCAAATACATATTGCCGAAAAGCCCACGTATTTCCAAAAGTTCTAATTTTAACACTCACATCTAATTCATGTGAAATGGTGTGGACCTTGAAAAACCATTATATGAAATATATTTCGTATTAAAAGCGCCGCATTATCCTTGAACTGTATTTAAATGTAGATATCTGAATCTGAACGCCTGTAAGCACCCGTAATTTATTGCCATTTCTTTGATCATTTCCCACTTGTCCCCCAGCGAGTTTGAACGTCAATGCACGCAGCCAGCTTGTAGGCCACATGAAAAATCAAAGTCAGCCAGCGGCATGGATACACGGTCACTTGCAACAGCCTCCTCCCCATCCTCGCGTTCCTATCTTCCTCTCCATCAGTCACATCATTCATATGAAGACCAAGGTAGCGGCGGTACACAGTGGAACTGGTGGCCGCCTGTGATTCCTTAAATATTTGATGTATTTTAGAAATATTTTTCGCACTTCTGATTAAATTCTATCATGACCCAGCAGTTTATTCCCCTTACTTATTTATCCAGTAAACATTGTTGTTGACGCAATACAATACAATCTCATTCGCATGCATAACAAGCGTTTATCGCTAAGTTCAAAGTTTATGTTCATTTCATTATACATATACTCTCCATATTTCATGATTTAATGTTTCAAGCGATTTTCAGACAATCCTCTGAAATGAGTTATACTAATAAAAGAAATATTTAGTTAATACGAAGATAAATCTGCATATTACATTACTTCATTCGTTGTCGTTGTATATCAGTTCTGTATTAAATATTTGATATTTCTTGAGAACAGCTCAGTGGAGGCGACAAAAACATACCCTCCTGCTAGGGAATACATTTTGGAACCATTTCCATGGGACTCGAACCACTGTGGCCCATCCTGTCCGCAGCCGTCGTGTCGCATGCCATTGAAAATGTGGTGCAGGTGTGGTGCTGTCGTCAATGCTCATGAATGGAAGGCCCAAAACGTTGAAAGCACTCAACTACATGGATGGGTATATAGAAGTATGAATGTGGAGTTGGTGCGGCATGGGCCAAAGGAAAGTGGCTACGAAGAGAGGGCGTGGGAGGACTTTTGCAACCATTAGAGGACTTGTAAGTGCGGCCGATAAGATAATTATTTTAATAAACGCAATCGAAATTCTGCTTTGCGGTCTAGCAAAAACGACAACGGCGTTGTCGTTGAAGCAAATAGCCGCAGGTTGCTGCGGCCGCACTTGCACCGCAAACAATGTGGCAGGTAATTCAAAACGTTTGCACTGTTCCCATTGTTATTATTATTTATTATTGTGCTGCTCGTAGCCGTTGTTGCTGTAATTACAGTGCACTCGCAGACAGTGAAGCCTCCCCGCAATGCCCGCACTCAGCAAATTAGCATCTGGTTAACAAGTGCGCTGCGGTTAAACGGTGAAAATCTACGACTCTTCGCTGGCGCAGCATAATTAGAATCAATTATATCGAATTGGAGCAGAGCACACAGTCAGTACAAGATGGGTGTGGACAGGCGGCACTCGTAGAAATGGACAGGAATTTATTTGGGAATCACAGGGGAAACCATTTCGGCGATATAGTATATTTCGATTTATAATTTACAATGTGCTTTGTTGATGACTCAGATTGCGTTTGTAGTTCTGTTATAGTTATTACCAAATTAAATTGGAAAGTACAGTGAGTGCAAGAAAATGACAAGGAATGGAACATTTCTTGAGGCAAATTGATTTTAATAAATAATTTAAAAACACAACACCAGACCCAATTAGTTGTATTCTTCCAACATTTAGATTACAATGAAAGGGCTACTAAAGCCGAATCTTTATTTGTTCTTTCTATTATTTTTCATTAATTAATTAACATCAAAGGAGTATCTATCCTGAATTCCATCTTGTGTATAATAATAGAAAGACTATCCATGATAATTAAAGAAAATTTCAGCTTTTAACAGTTGGTTTTGGTTTTATATCATTTCCGTGCCAGCAAAGTATCATTAAATTCCTATTCTTCTACATGGCACCAAATCGAGTTAAACAAATGGCAGGAAAACTGAAAATGATTTTGCGAAAATCTTTGGGCTTTCAATATGTAAACGTGCTTTCGTGTGTATGGGTTTTGTATGTTTTCTTGCTTGTTAAAAATAGAACATTTTGTATTTTTCTTATTTAATGCTTTTGGCCGTTTGCCTTTTGCTTGTGGTTGTTATTGTTGTTGTTGCTGCTGTTTTTGGTTTTGCCGTTCTGGCCATTCGACTTGTAAATCGTCGGCTTGCATTAGCCATGTATTTGCTGTATTTGTTAATATTCGAAATTCGAATTGTTGTTGCGGCGGCGGTGTTGAAACCGCAGAAAGAGCACGAAATACCCAACAACAATAATGGTCGAGCGTCTAGCGATCGGCACTGCACAGTGGGCCTAAAAAGGAGGATTATTCTTGACCTTGAAAATTCCTAAATAATAATAATTATCGTTTTTGTTTCATATCGAATTTATCTTCTCCCCTTTAATCGTGTAAAAAAAATCGCAGATCTTCAATCATTTTAGTAATATGTCCTTTATGTTGAAAATGTTTTATTTTAAACATTTCTGGTCTTCTTTATTCCTTAATTAAATAAAAAAATTTCAGCATTTTGCATTTAAGCAACTTTAATAAGATTTACATATAATTCCTACTTAAAGACTTAAAACTAATAAAATTAAATAGGTAATCCTTGCATTAGGTAAATTCTTTCACTTACTTCAAGATACTCTTGCAGAACTTTGATAATTTGATGTCATGACCCCTTGGAATTTGACCCACCGTGCGACCCACGTCAGCACCACAGTTGGACGCAACGCAACAGTGTCGAAACTGCACCTCCCCGCGCCCGTTCCACCCCATCCCCATCCCCTCCCCCCTCACCCCCTCGCCCGGTCGCGTGATCGCAGTTGCGGCAGACTGACGCAACGCCTAGCTCCCTTCTATATGGAAATCAATCCCTGTTGCAAGGGGATGCAGTGTGAATATATGTGCATATGTATGTACATACATTAATTAACTGGACATTGCACCTGATGCAAGCGCACCCTTGATAGAATGCCTAATACTCGCCGCATTTACGCAAATAAAGCGGGAATAATTCAACTACGAAAGCAAGCTTCTATTATTTAGTTATAAATAATATATTTGGTGGATTGGCTATTCCGAAGCAGGAAATAGTAAAGTATAAGCCAGGTAAGCGAGTGCTGGCAGACTCACCTGGTGCAGGGCGGTGAGTCCATCGACGTTGGCGGTGTTGATGTCCGCGCCCTGGTCGAGCAGCTGGACGACCTCGTCCTTGTCGCCGGAGAGGCAGGCGGCGAGGAAGACGCAGCCGGAGCTGAACTTGATCCTGCGCCCGTGCTCGTGGCGGGGGGTGGGGGCGGCGCGGTTGGTGTCCGACTCCTCCCAGCGCTTCAGCTGCTCGGCGCGCTTCATCATCGCCGAGTTGTTGCGCGCGTCCAGCGAGGACATCTTGGATGATCCTTCTTGGCCAGACGGACGATCCTTCAGATAATCCTGCTACTTGCTGCAGAGCAGGCGCTCTGTGAGAACGCTCGACTGCTCCAGAGGTGTGTAGCTATGTATGTAGCGCTGTTAGATCGCCGCTGTCTTACTGTTGTTGCTATTGTTGCTTTACTGCGCTTTTGTTTGCAGTGGGAATTGGGCTTTGATTTTGCACTATTTATAGAGAATGCTTCACACTTTCGATTTTCGATCACAACTACACTATTGCTGTTTGTACTGCTGCTGCTTCTTCTTCTCCTGCTTGCTGATTATAATTATTTTACGATTTTTCTATTTTCTTAGCGTGTGTGTGTGTGCGTGTGTGTTTGCGTGCGTGCGTGTGCGTTTGCTTTATCAGCCAACTTCTTAGCGTTTTCTTCTCACTCACACAATGCCGCAATCTCTCTCTCTCTCTCACTTGCTCTACCGCAATACAACGCTATTTGTTGTTGTTTAACGCGCACCTTTGTTGTTGCATTCAATGAAAATTACACAAGAGAGGGCGAAAACAGGACGAAACTAAATAGTTAACAGGGGAAATTAATATTTTGCAACCGCTTTATTTTTGAGCTACCAGCTGCCGGGCTACATAGTGTTAAGCAAACACATTTTCATATCAATTGAAAACACTTGCGAGCATTTTTACAGCCGCTTGTTTTTTTTACACTTTGTTTATCATTCTTCCTTTCGCGCTCTCTCTATTTCTCTCTCTCTCGCAGGCACACTCACACACACCCATGCAGTTAGGGCCTGCATACGAAGAGCGCGAATGGCTGGGGCTGCATGTGTGTGTGTTACCAATTTGACATAAATTCAACAGCCGCTACGCTGACGTCGCGAGTAAATAGAACGAAATGGAATCGGCGTATTTTTTTCACGCGCTGAAGTGCGATGATTTTATGTAATTTGGGTAGCTGGCGGAATTGCACAAAAATCCTTGCAATTGCCCGTGTAATTATGTAAAGGCATTTTTACATCGCCCCACATTTTACATTCCACTCCACACACACACCACTCGCCTCGCACACAGACGCAACACACACACACGTATGCCGCACACGCACGTAGAGAAAAATGGATTGCAGTAGAAACTTTTCACACACACCGAAAGGCCAAGCGAAAAACGCACCTTTCCCGCGAAATTCTCAGAACTTTTAATGCTCTCTGGACTTTAATGGCTGCAGGACTCTTCGCTGACGCGCTCCTCGTCCGCGAGGCACTGGTATTTCACTTTATTTTGCATATTTTCGCTGGCGTTCAAATCGAATTTTATCCGCACGAAGTTCACAGACCAAAATTTTTTGTCGATGTGAATCGGAGGGCAATGCGTGGTATATTCCCAACTGTCCGCGTCTGGTCACACTTACGCTTCGCCGCTCACAGAATTATAGATGGCGTGTTAGCTATGTTAATACCTAGCAGTGCTGTTATGCGCCGATATTTTTAGCGATGTCTATTAAACTATCACTCATTAACACTTTTGAATATTCGCAATTATTCGCCTTATATTCTTGCTTTCTTTTAAATCTATTTCTTTACTTTTCATTTTAAAAAAGTTTTAAACGCCTAACATCAGGCGATAACCATCGATATTTTCAGTGCTTAGTAACTTCTAACAACTTATTTAAATCTTTATGTATAGAAGTCGTGGAAGATATCAGTCCTGAGCAGAAGAAGAACAAGTTAAGAATAGAATTTCTGAAACAATTTACAATCATTTTAACGATATTTTTGATAACAAACATAAGATTTATATAAAAAAATATCTTGTTTGTAAGATCAAATTGGAGTTTTCGCGCTGTTGCGGTAGCAGCTTGACTCTCTTGTTTTCTACATCTCTCAGCGGTTTATTATTTTTACATGCGATATATTTAAATCACCTTTCCGATATCTAAACCGGTTTATTCGATGAATAGTGGTTGAAAACGTCGCTAAGAGTCTACGATAGACTTTATTGAAGTGCCCGAACTTATCGATATCTTTCTCACGCCTATCGCGATTCAGCAGCGAGCCAGGTACCTTAAACAGTGTGACCACATTCAGCATTTTAAGCCAGGGCGGCATGTGATTGCTTACAGTTGTTTTTGAAATTTTAAAAAGTGTGAAATATAAATAGATGGCAAAATAGTTCCTATTTCCCACAAAAAAATAAGTGGAAACATTCCAGCTTTTGAGATAGAGAACTGAAAATAGCAAACGAGAGAGCGACACCCCCTAAAATAATTGCGCATTGCTTAGGCGGCAAAAAACTATTGCGACCGTTCCGCCCCGCTAATTCTCTCTCTTTCTCCCGCCACCACCCTGTACCTCTCTCTCTCCAGAAACGTAAGCAAAACAAAACAAATGAGAACGAAAAACCGACAAAACAAATACCTATAGGAAAGTAGGCTATATAGACACATCGTTTTGGCGTAGTCGCTGTAAGACACTCAAACCCACCGGTCGACGCGAGTAAAATCGAGGGAAATCATTTTTATCGCAATGCTTACGCACTTCAAAGCATTCTTATAAGATAGTAAACGGTGATAAGGGGAAAACCAACAAATGATAAATTGATACGTTAAAATGCCTCTGGTAAGTACGTAGATACTTATTTGTTTTACTTCTACCAAGCTAAATTAAATTTTGTAGAATATAGTATGCGGTCATTACTTTATGTGTTTCAGTTACCTTGTAGTTTTTCTTAGTTCTTATCGGAATTTAAAGGGTTTACATTACTATAATTGAAATGTGCTGCATACAAATAGGCGCCGCCTGACTCCCCATCTCTCTCTTACACTCCTTTTTTCATTCATGTCCTTACTCACATAACCACCCCCTGGAAAGTGCACACGGACACCACCACTCTCTCTCACTCTCCACTCTCTGGCAATTTCCAGTTATTTCGAAATCAATCTGCAGGTCGAGATAGGGTCAGGATCCCGTATTATCTGCGTCGTTCTATGGGGTTTGCAGTGCTTCGGTGTCACCTTCTCCTTTTGAAGGAGATTCGAAAGTGTCTTAAATAGAAAATTTGAAACTATCCATAGGATAGATAGTTGGATGCTTCCACCCAACCCGAAGCCTACACATTCAGCTCTGACTCACGTGGCCGTGCCTGGATTTTATCTAACATTACATTCTAGATTGTGCCTTTTATCTCCGCCGAGCTCTGCTGAGCGCATCGCATTTCATTCATGATGAAACCAACCCCACCCCATGCGGCAAACCCACCCACTCGTAGAACGCGACTAGCTAGAATTTTCCTATTTTTAATTACCGCTCAATGTCACTTCCATTTACAGCGCTGCGTAGGTTCCGAAGATCTATGGGATTTCGCCTACACATCAGCTGCTACCTCACTCAATTGATAGAAGGAAATTTCTTACCTAGCTGCATTCTGGTTTGCATCATTGTGTGACTAACTTCACACTATAATTACTTCCGTTTCTTGTGGCGCCTCGTTCTGTCCCGCTTATAAGAACTGGACTGTAGGGAACCACATGTTTCTTTGAATCACCTGTCATATCATTTCGAAATCTATTCCTAGCCTTGGTGACTAGCCCGATTAAAAGGAAAGATTAAAATTCTTAATTAGAAAATGTACGAAGTCACTAGCAAGTTAAATAGAATGCTGATTATGATGATGATGCAAAGCTGGAAGGAATGTACAAGTGAATTTACTGATAAGTTCGGGTTCTCAAGGAATTAACATTTCTTATTTGGCATTACTTATCTGATTATTTAGAGGCAGTTATTAATTTACTATTGGACTCATGACCTCGTCTCCATTAAGTCATCCACAAATTGCGTTAAGATATCATTGAATTCAAATGAATTGCCATGGATATATACACTTATGTACATAATACACAGTTGTCGCATCGATATACATAGTAGAACAGATCTCTTGCTTCATTTGACAGCAACAGATCCGCAGGACACCTTAGATCGGTGTGCTCATTATGGGATTGTTCCACACATCCACATACCCAAAAAGATCCTGACAAAGGATCGACGGCAGCTGGCGACGTCATGTGCCGCGCGATCCTTTCGCTCGAAGCGGGCACATTAAGGATGAGGACCCCTGCCCCAGGAGCAGATGTTGCTGGCTCCGCTTTCGGCGGTCCTCTGAGCGGTTTATCGGTTTATAGTTGCTGCAGCTGCCGGCACACGTCCGCAATTGTCGATTCAGTTTCCTTCTTTTTTGTTGGCCCTGATTGGAGCAGGTAATTGCATAGTGGCTAGAAAAGGGACCGACAGGCAGCACATGTTATACGTAATAGGTAATGGGCAATCTAATCGAATCGTGCCCAACTCGTCGGTATGACACCTTTTGCCAATCGCCGATCGCCGAGCAAATGAAGAGAATGCAAAAATGGCAAATGCAAACAGGTTTTCAGACCGCTGGCTGCATTGGGCTGTCAATTAAGAACCGCAGTCGAAGCTAGCAAAAGCCAGTACCAAAATTACAGTGGAACGTCAGCGAGCATGACTTGTTTTCGATAAGAAAATTACAAATTTATTTTTGTATTACTAGGTTAAACACCTAAAAGTGTGCTATAGAATATAGTTTTTAACCCTAAAAGCAGTTTGGGAATCAAATAGTTGGACAGCTTCTATTTATTTATTTAAGAGTGAAAATAATTTCTTAAATATTTAAAATTAAACATATAAAGATACAGTTTTCTGTTTCGAGTACTCAAATTGAGTCATAAACGTAAAGTGGTTTCAGTATTAAAGCAACAAAGTGACTCAAACTCAAGTTGTTTGAAATAACAGCTGAGAAGACATTCAGATAAGTCGCTGTAGGCTATTTTAACTGTGGATAAAATAAGGTGTATGGGTGAGCAATCGAAATCACAATGTGCAGCACCAACAACAAGAACGGGCGAGTGCAACAACTTTAAAAGGCCTTGCAAGGCCGTTTAGCTCTGAGCTGAGCCAGGGATTTTTCAGCTCAAACTTGTCCGGCGACTCGAGACCCGAACTCTGTGTGGTCAGCGGAGTGATCTTTTGGAACCGAATACAAAATACAAAAAACACAATTGCCTCATGCGCCGTCCGCAAATAGAATGCTTATATAGCCGCCACATTTTCGCTTAATTTCCACCAAAAGACCGCCTGCAATAGTGTCGCCTTGCAACATGTCAAAGTCGTCTAGACTCCGCATTTATAGGCAAATTTTTCAAATGCGTCGCGACATCTTCGTGGTAAATTTAGCGACGTGTATTTATAAAATTTGAAAAGTTCAACCCGTTTGCGGGCGGACGCCATATGCAAATGTCGCGCACTGTTGCCGGGTACTTTCCATAAATGATTCAAACTTGGCAATCTTTTGTATTACAGTTCTCGAACGTGTTGGCATTTCCTTGCCACTATAACGCAAAAATGTATACAATTTTTTTATGGACACCTAAAAGTCCATGTCATGGGTGCTTAATTAAAAAACTTGTAAGACTTTAATTAAAAATACTTCACTTATCGTCAGTTTGTAGGAAATCATTTCTAGATAACGCTAACCGATGATTTCTTGAATAGACGAATTTACTGTATTATCAATAAACTTCTAGGCAACAGAGTCACTTCAATAAAAATATTTTTAACTTCAAATAAGGTCGCAAAATACATATACATAAGTAAAATAAAATAATCTAATATAATCTAACTGAATGCATATTTTACATTCAGCAAATATTTTAACAATCCCTTTGCATGTTATCTACTATGTACCTTAGTATGTATCATAGATATTCTATGTACATTAGAAGTATGTACTTTGTGCAATAAAGATATTAGAGCCAAGCCCCGGAAACCTTATTTTCTGTTACCTAAAACCGAACCAAAAGCAGACTTTTTAACCGCCTTAGCTGATATTTAATAACACAATTTTCAAAAAGCCGATTTACACTTTAACTTAAAAGTGTTGTTCTTAGCTGTTTAGCATTTAGTCCGTTGCATTATTGACCTTTTTATATGGGCTTTCATATCAATCCTCATGAAATGAACGATAAGATCCTATAGATTACCTGTGAAGATCTGTGGGTCTAACCTGAGAAGATAAAGTTAAACCATTATTTTAATAAAAATAAAATAATAAAATAATAGTCCATACAAAAATTATAATTTTAGAGCGTGTTTCGGACAACCGAAAAAGGTTAGACCAAAAGATTCTTATCTACCTTTTGTGATAACCGCGGACATTTCCAGCTGCTTCTCTTGAGCGAATAAGAGGCAGGTAAGGAGGAAATGAGAGAGGGAGAAGGTGAGAGCGGAGTGGGAATGAGGTGCATACACAAAAAATTGCAGCTGCTGTCTGCTCTCGCGCTCTCTCTGTCTCTTTCTCGCTACGTCTGGAAGGAACCGTTTGTGGGATGAGAG